GTCTGCTCAGTGAACCATAAAAGTATATCAATCCAGGAAAAGTCTTCTCAGGATGGTAAAACAAAAGCTGTCGGCATCATGGACAGGAGGTTATCGATTCCATACCCATTCTTTCGTATTCACTTCAACTACTGGCTCAATTCACTCTCTGTTGGCGAGATTGTGGATATTGCCGTGAAGGAGCACAATAAAACTGTTTGGAAGCGAGGCCTCATCATGAGCATTGAGCAGACCACAAAATTGGAGGTGATTCGAGTGGGTGTGCGTATGTCCGCTAGTTCATATCAGCAAAATGACCAGTCCAATGTTGACATCATCTCCATCAAAGATTTCTCACCTCATGTGATTAACCGTGCGTTTCTTATGTCGATCAACGATGCGACGCCGTTACTCGAACCCTTGCGATTCACCTACACGCACAACCTTCTCTTTTTTCGGCCGAATATCTGCCGTTCTTTGGATCGATGCAGTTGTGGATACGATTGCGAAGCTCGCGTGTCTTCTCTCTATATCGATGTGCTCGAAACCATCACCTCTCGGAACATTCTGCATTCGCTCATGGAGAATATTGAGCCTGTTTTATTGTGTTTTTTGGGGGATCATGTGTAGGACATTTTCCTTTGTCTAGCATATTATGCCAGGATTCTGAAACTCTTTTCGAGCTTTTGCTATCTCTACACGCAAGATAAGATGAAAGCAATGTCGGGCATTGTCTTATATCCAATGCGATTGTGGTATCTAACGCTCAGTCAAAACGTAGATTGCATGGGTGTGCGAGAACGTGTAGATAATCCCGATGGATGTGATGGAGGTAATGAAAATCATTCAGCTGTACTCGGACATTTACGATATGCAGAAGGTTCCAATTGACGATACGATTACAAACCCTTCCATCTTCTTTAACACGATAATAAGGTCTCTCATAGGATCGCATGATAACAATTTGCTCATCGCTCTTTATCTTTTAAAGCACTTGTGCCTGGACCCCAATTTGAATTCTAGTTGGAGAGAGGATTCGGAACTTTTAGTGGTTTGAATTCTCTTTATTTCTCACTCAGTAGATAACAAACTTTGATATTAACGAACTGAAAGGATTGCTTTTAGAAACAGATCTGCTTCCCTTCGTATTAACTCACCAGAATCATGAAATTCGCGAGTATGCCGCGTATGTTCTGCTCATTGAGTGTCTTCCGGAGCCAAACAACGAGTTCCTTTTCTGTAGTGCTGGTTAGACGTAGAATGATTGCCATCTATGTCGATATGATGGTGTGCCAGCTCCAAAACGGCGACAAGGTCACTTTCATGTCGCTCTATCGCTTATTGCCTTCCTTTTCTCTGAGTTCGTATCCTTTATTCATGGATGTGTTGATGGTAAAAATGAGAGATAAGCTCTTTGTTCCTTACGAGATGTACGCCTTTCTGATCAACAGAATGCACGATTCAAATTGTTTATCGTCCAATATCGCTCAATCTTGTCTCGATCTCTTTGTCGATTTGGAGCTTCCGAACGATCCGAATTTCCAGTACGCCAATCTGAAGAATGCATGCATGATTTGCCTCAATGCTCTGCCTGCCTCGGTGTATGATGATCGCATAAGAAGGATTATTGCGTGTGTGAACAGATCGCGTGTCACTTTATGCCAATTACTGGAAATGGTTTGCTTGTTGGAAAAATCGGAGCTTTTTCAATCAGAAATTGACTTCAATCCGATTTTCGACAGTTTATTTGCGATGCTCCTTACAGAGCTACAGCAGAAAAACTACGTGAAATGTTCTGGTCTGCTTATTGTCTGTACCTTTTTCGTTTCGTACGGCTTCAATCTGAACTCGGATCTCTTCGCAGAGCTTTGGGACGTTTTGTGGAATCATTCAGACCAACGATTTATACTCAACCACTTAAAGGAAATCCAGGAGCTGCTGATGATCGCTCCTCCCTTGATGTATGAGAAGATCGTGGAGGGTATGTTGAAAGACAACCGATTGGAAACGGTGGATCCAAAATGCTGGATGCTGATTTTCCGCATTTGGAAGGCTGTGAATGACGTTTACCACTTCTTTGAATTGGGAAACGCGATTGAGTCCGTGCAGGGATACGTAGAAACGTGGAACCGAGTGAATGATAGAAATTCCGAACGCAGTTTATGTATCCTGAGTTCTTCATCAAATCGGTAACCAGCTCGAAGCCTTTGCTCGCTTCCGTCGTTCGAAAGTTTTTGCTTAATTTGTTCTCCTCGCCGTCGCTTTCGATTGCTCATCGCATTCAAATTTTCCAAAAGTGTTTTTTCGATGCTCGTTTGACTCGCAGTTTAATCAACGGTACGATCGAGTACGTGAAGTCGCCGTATTCTCCGCAAGTGCAGACCTTTTTCTCTTTTCTTATCAACACTCTAAACTCGCAAGTTTGAATTTCTCGTTTCGCTCTGATTTCGCGTAGATGCCGGACTCTAAGCCGCGTTCGAGTGGCAACGAAATCAATCTGCGAATCGAAGTGACGATCACTCCGAGCTGCACGCGAAACCTGACGATTTCGATCGACAAAAACGAAACGATCAGCAAGCTGAGCAGCTGCATTCGATCCGAAATCAACAAGAATTGCATCCTGCAGTACTGTGGAAATCTCGGATTGATCAGCTCCATCGACATCAAAACGATCGATGAGTGCAATTTGTACAATGGAAACACGGTTTTTGTGCGCGTTCTGGAGGTTCGAAACAACAGCAACACGCAGGGAGTGTCATTTCCGATCGATAACAGCGCGGATGTGAGGGAGAATTTAGTTGGCATTACGCTCTCAATCGTGAAGTTCTTCTATCCGCTGAGCGTGTTATCGAAGCAGGAAGATCGCGATTTCGCAGAGAAATTGTTTGCGATTCTGCCTCCCGTTTTGGAATTGGATCAACTCGTTCAGCTAATTATCGAGTTCGTTATGATGATAACGAAGTGATGCGTAGAAATACAGGGCCGTGCTATTTCGGATCGAATGTTCTCACATCGCTCGACAGTTTTATTTATCTTTTCTATCATCTGAAATCGGAGATCGACAGGAAGATTCAGTTCGATCCCTCGTTTATTCGATATGCGATTTCGGCGCTGTGCGTAAGAGAAACGAAAGAATTTGTGAGTTGTAGGCGCAGCATATTCCACTCTTATTCTTAACGACATTGCAGCATTTTCCCCGGGAGTTCGTTTTATGGGAAGCAGTGATTCAATTTCTCTTTGAAACATTTCGTCCGATTATTTTGTTTACATCGTATTATCCCACTCTGTTAATGTATTTATCATACCACTCACATCACGATTTTTCGCATTACAATGTTCATTCTCCAATCGAATTCCTCTCATTCCATAGAAGTTTTGCGTTGTTTCGAATTCGATTCCGATTCGATTTGATCTTGCATTGAAGGAAGAAGTCAACGTGATGTCTGTTTACAAGTCGGCAGCGTCGATCTTTCGTGAGCGACTTTTCGACAACAAAGATGGATTGATCTGGATGTGGAATCTCCCAGAATTGAATCAAAGCAATCTGCATTTCTGGTTTCTCTCCTTGTTTGTGTTTGCCTTTTTTTTCATTCATAGTATGTGCGCTTGTACGAATTTCCGTTCTCCAAACGAAGAGCAGGTGATTTACTATTTGCTGTACTATTCCCTTCGTCTTGTCTTTATTACGATTATCCAAAATCACTCCCAACCCGTTTTTTCTTTGATTGATTGCTTCTAAAACGTAGACGGAAATTAAGGAGGCGTTAACGCAAATGCTCAGCGCAGTGCAGAATTGTGATAGTCTTGGTTCCAAAGTAACTGACGATCTCCAGACCTGGTTCAACTATTCGATTCAGTTCCTTCGCATTCACGTTTCGGACCCTTCTTATATGTGTTATGAAGCCTGCTTGGAAAGCGTATTCGAAGTCGCTCTCATGAATTACAACTGGAAAAACCAAAAATCGTTCATTGTTTCGCTGATTTTCAGCTTGGAAGAATGGGTCAATGAAGAAAATGAACACTCTCTGCTTCTTTTCCGGATCTTCGCTGCGAACTATCCTTCGATTTCGGAAGACGATCGTGAAGCCTATTTCGAATTCTTCTTCAAACTGAAAGAGCTCGATTATCTAACCTTTTCATCTCCTCTCAAAGGGCGGGAAACACGACTCATCATCGACCTGATTCATTTCTATATCAGCAAGTTGACGACATTGCAGGTCATTCAATGCGGTCGTCTTTGCAAGCAGTTGAAGCAGTGGATTCAAAGCAGCCCGATGCTTCTTCATGAATTGAAACCTTTATTTGAATGGAGTTTTGACAACCAATCATTGGTTTTGTTTGTTCTTTTTGTTTGACTGTAGATGAGTTCAATGCAGCTACCCCAACTCGATATTTCCGTTGCGCACGGTCTCGTCAACGAGGGATGCACGTGCTATTTAAACTCGCTCCTGCAAATCTTTTACCACATCAATCCGTTCCGAATCTTCATCAATTCGATTCGAATCGCTCCCAATTCGAAATCCGCCGATCTCAATTCGCTCGCTGCCTTGCAGGACGTTTTCCACGACTTATCGCAAATCTACGGTTCCTTCGTGTCTGCAAGGCGTTGGATTCAATGCCAGCAAGCTCCGAACGGCGAAATAATCGACGTGCACAAGCAGGAAGACGCTCACGAATATCTCAACCTTTTCCTGGAAAAAATCGAATCAATCTGCAAGGCGAGCGGTCAGCCCAACGTGGTTCACGATCTCTTCGATAGTGTGATGCAGATTCGATTACAGTGTCCCAATTGTGGATTGGTCGGAACGTCATCAGAAGTTTTCAATTGTTTGAGTGTGGATGTGAAAGGATTTGAGTCATTGGAAGAATCTCTTCATCATTTGCTGGATATGGAGGATATCGAATCGTATCATTGTGAGACTTGTGGAAAGCAAGTGACTCTTCAAAAACTGTCGAATTTGAGTCGTTGTGCACCGTATCTATTCGTACACTTGAAACGATTCGAATTCGATCAGCTGCGAATGCAGCGTGAAAAGATTGGCGATTTGTTTACCTTCGGGGAAACCTTAACTTTGGAAGAAGCGAACAATGCAAACCACTCAACGTATCATTTAAAAGGAATAATAACGCATGCTGGTGATGCGAATGGAGGACATTACATGAGTTATATTCAAGATAACGGGAAGTGGATGGAGTTTAATGATCAGGAAGTGACCGTTTGTGATGATCCGCAAGCGATGTTTCTCTCGTGTTATGGTGCAGAATTTGTGTGTTTTTGAAATGTGAATTGAATGATAGATGAAATGTGCATATCTGCTGCTATATGAGAAGGATGCGATTGAATCGATATCGGAGAGAAAAACCGAATCGATTCCATTGTTGTTTATTACGGAAGGGTTCTGGGATTTGTTCTTCGAAGTGATCGTCCTTTCGCTCCAAAACGCCTCTCAAAACCGAATTCTCAGCGAGAAACTCTTGGAAAGCACGAGCATTGTTTCGTTCCGTAGACTTTTTCTGACTTTCTCCTTTACCGTTCAGTTACTTCTTCCACGATTCGAATCCTTCCACTCCTCGTTCAACAATCATTCAATTGTGGGCTTTATATCAACGAAACTTCCCGATCCTCCAAATCATTAGATTCTTCTTACTTCTTGACGATTCTTCAAAAACTCTTGAATCCTCCGTCCGATTGTTGGATTTGGGGCTATTCGTTCTTGCAGCAAATGATTTCGCAGCTTGAAGTAGGGTCGAATTGCTATTTGTGAGTACAGGACATTGTTCATAAGCACTATTCACTCCAAATCCAATGGTATTATTATCAGCTCGTCGATAAAGCGCTTTCATTCTGTAAGAATCCACTAACAAAGCAATTGAAATGTAGGTGAGGATCGTCTTGGCGATCGAAAAGAATGTTTTGTGATTGTTTTGAAATTCTTTTCGACGGTTTTCCAGCTTTGCAAATCGCTTTGCGACGCGAGAGAGCGCATTTCGATTCTTCTGCTTCGCATTTTCCAGCGTTTTATCACGACGAATAGATTAAAGCGATTCGTATTTCTCTCTCCTTTCGTTTCACAGATCCACTCCCTGATTCAATTCTGGGTGCAATATGCTCCTATTTATAATGAAAAGCTTTTGGCTTCGTGTCCCGAAATGAAACCAAACAGTAATTCAAAACCATTTGAATCATGCGTAGACTCGCTCATGTCGATTGTGAATAATTATTATGTAATGAGTATCTTAACGACTGATTTAGAATTCGTTTTGAACGAAAATAGCGGGCCTATTCTGGTTCTAATGTCGGATCCTGAAGCTCTTCAAGAAAATGTCGCATCGATTCAAAACGAATCGGTGGTTTCATTTGATGAAGTGTCTGTTTTCTACAAGGTTGTGCAGAACGTAGTGAGCGATCCATCGAACGAAATCGATATGGAGATTGTGAACAAGATCTTGAAATGCAGCTTTTATTATTTGATAACGAAAGACGAGCAATCATGGCTGATCGAAATGAACACCATCAGCCGTTTTTTCGAATTGACTCAAGAGAATAACAGTTGTTTCGTGTTTTCATACTATTTAAACAATACGGAGTGGGGGATTTGGATTTTATTAACGCATAGTTTGATAGAACACTTGGTAAGTGTGCTTCGCATTATGTTTAACTCCCCTGATTATTTGATGATACATCACGTGGAAAGCTTCATGAAGATTCTGATTCTTGCGCAGGACGATGATTTGATTCCCTTTTTCTCTTGCCTACTGAAGAAGAATAACTTCTTGCATTCTGTGATGCAGATTCAAAACGTTAGCAATCGACTGGCCTTTGCGCATCTGATTTGCGATACTTTGCAACGAAATTTAGGATTGAAAAATGCGATCTGGCAAGGCGAAGTAGCTGCCAGTGGTCGTTTGTTATGTCAATATTGTCATTCAGAAACGTTCGAAGATTCCAGTGAGTGAAAGCAATGGATAGATAATAAATAGATAAGCTTGTCGCAAGGAATATTTTAAGTATACTATCTAGTTTTTAGTATGTTTGTTTTAGAAATTGAGTGATTTATATTAGTGGTTTCATTATATTTTTCTGAAATATCATTCTTTGTACTCAATATGGATGATCATTGTGACAGAAGAGAATCGAAGTATCAACAGAGAATCAATACAATAAACCACTTGTCAAATAGAAATGATGGATTTTGCATTCTACATACTACTGCCATACTCTCTATTACGAATCAAACCATTCCAACAGTATTCACTATTGTGAGTTCGATTGATGCAAAACAAGATTAACTACCACATAATGGACATATTTTGAAGAACATATATCCATTATAGACTTAATAGAACAGCCATTCTGACATGAGAGAGTAAAGGTGATCAAAATGAGTAATAGTTTACAATCGAAGATACAAAAAATAAAAATAATGCCAAAAAATGAACAAATGGAAATGCACCGATGCAAGAAAAATAGAAATGGGTGGAGAATATGAGATTTTATTATATGTATTTTAGTTTGTAACACACCAGCATATCATAACCATACAAAGTATGATATGACGTGTGTTCTATCGAGAAATAACGAGGCAAAACTTGTTTCCAAATTAACCTTTTTTCTCATATTTCTTTTCATTTCCATGCAAAACATTGCTGATTTTGTCAATTCTGTTATTAGTAACTATCATATTGATAGTTCCATTATTCAAAATGTGCAAGGATGCTTGGGTAAACAAATGAAACCAAATGGCTGGATTTCACTCATTTTGAGTAATAGAGAATGTGTAGTATTGCAATTCAATAATGGAGTATTTATGAATCAAGGATTTGTACTCAATGGGCAGAAAGTGTTGAAAGTGATTGGAAATCATCAAATTGGTGCTATTTCCTATAATGAAGAACAATCCATTGTAGTAGTAGAAGAAGGAATAGTGGATTTGGATCATGGAAATCGATTTGAAGGCTTGATATTGACAGAAAAGGAAAAAGAAAACGAAGGTAAAATAGGAATTCCATTTGGATATGGTGAAATGTATGATGATGATGGAATATTGGTGTACAAGGGCATAATGATCAATTGGAAACGATTTGGCTATGGAACGAGTTATCATAATAATGGTTTGATTGACACATCAATCAAAATTCAGTATCATTGTTAAAATGGTAAAGAAGAACATCATAATAATCAGGCAGGATTGATATTTTGATAATTATAGAATCATGAATTGTGATCAAGAATCGGCTTCAAACAAATAATCAATGGAAATGTTCCTAAACAATGACGAATCACTGAACAAATCAAATCAAATCAAAATCATAGATTTAATACCTGATTTTGACAAGATCAGCGAGAATGGAAGAAACATCTATGAATCAAATCAAATCAATCAAACTATACTCGAAATTGATTTCGATCGAACTCTCTGGAATGTATAAGGTAGCTTGACATTTTGAAGATTTGGAATATCTAAATACTATCAATATTCAATATTCAGAAATACTTGCCAATGTCACTACAGTAATACAAAGGAAACTATATCCTTCAGAAGATATTGATGTTAGATTTGGAAGATCTACAAAACAAATCATAACCAATCAATTCATTATTACTTCGCATTGTCAATGTAGTTGTGCCATTATATAGTCTTCCACCAAGTGTTTGATTACCGAGTTGAATGGATTGTAATGATGGAAGATCTACATCAATCATTTCATTCGAATTCATTCAATACTTTCAATTATAGTCGATAAGGGAACATTGAATGCAGCATAGCCTAATGTAATAGACTGTAGATTTGGAAGATCTAATCATTATATATATTTAATATCATATCAATACCTCGAATCACAAATGAACTATAACAGAAATTGCATGACCTACTTCCAAATGTACCAATTTGAATGGATTGTAATTGTGGTAGATTCTTCAATTCAAAGTCGCCAGCAAAATCACTAAAACTGTATTGACCAATTTGAATCGATTCCAATGATTCACAATTCAGTATGTGGAATGACTTCGATTGGTTGTTGACCTTTGAATCCCATTCTTCATTGGTATGGGGTTGGTAAAACCACTCTTGTTTCACCTGAGTAAATGAACTGCTTCCGATTTTGATCGTTTTCAATCGATTCAATCCATCGATTTGGAATATTTGCACTGATTCAAAACATTCATCCCCAATTTCGATAGATCGTAGCGACTCGAATCGATTCAGATCCAATGCATTCAAATCGTTACAGCAATTCCATGAAATCTTTAAATCGGTCACTTGCAAACTCACATCGGTCCATTTTGTAGATCCAGTGACGCTGAATCGAAGAGGAGCAGGTTCTTCGCGTTTTGGAGCAAGAGCAAGAGCAAGAGCAAGAGCAGGAGCAGGAACAGAATCAGGTCTAGGAATCATGGCTGTTGATAAACCATACCTCAATTTTGGATCGTACCATCCATCAGTCAGTTTCACTCCACTCACTTCCTTTCCATCTTTCCATTCACATTCTCGAGTTGCGATTCCAGTCTTTTCATCAATCAGACATCCTTTTCCTTCACGAATAAATCGTTCATTGTTTTCATCATAGCGAAATCCACCTACATAGATCGGAATTCGTTTCGTTGGATCCAAACTATCTGCTCCGTTTCGCTTTAATTCGGTCATCGTATCTCCATTGAAACATCGAATCACTTCTTTCAATACTCCTTTGCTCCACATCCCTTCCACAGCCACATTTCCTCTTTCTTCATCGTATTCGATGCCCCAGCCTTCTTTCATTTGTCTTTCGTTGTACTCTCCGTGAAACAGCAAATGTCCCGTTTGGACTGACCAGATTTCCATTCGAAGCCCTTTCTTGTGGTAAACAAAACGTTTGTTGTTCATTTGTTCCAAAATATACTCGAATCGCTGACTGAAATCAGCTCGACCATTCTTGTATCGAATAAACTCCTCCGATTTCTCCCCATTCTTGTCCTCCTTCCATTCTTGTTTCAGTACGTTATTTTCAAACAGATACACATTACCAGTTTCTGAGCGCAATAGAAATTCGTTCTTGTGCTTTCCCTGGAATCGCTGAACAGTGTATTCGATTCCACCCTTGACCAGGGTTTCAGGGTGGCCGAGCGTTCCGTATCCGTCCAGCAGATACTCGGTGAAACGTTTTTCAGTCAAATGGGCTAAACATTAGCATGGAAGATAACAAAATACATTCTTCTACCATTTTATTTGACCAAAATAAAAAAATAATGAGAAAATCCAAAAGTACACTCAGTTTAATATCCAGTTTAAATATCACCGAAACACAATTCTATTTTTCTATTGGAAATTTAGGAGTATGTATACACGGTGTAAGTCGAGCTAGAAATGCCTGCTTCTCAAATTCCAACAAAAGTAGTTCTATTTGCTTCTCGATTTTTCATATTTCTTCTATCAAATATATCTTGCTATTTTCAAAGTGAATATTCAAAAATGAACCATTATCAATTGAGTGGTGGAGCATTCGATAGGAAATATGTCAAATCATTTCAATTCCACAAATACATTCCATTGTTTATTTTGGGAATCTTTGTTATTTTTGGTTGGGTATTCACACACTTTAATAGCCTACACAATTATATGAGAAGTGAAGAATGCTATTTGAAGTGTTTTTGTTTTCCTGAACACTTGAGAATGGAGTGTCTTTGAAACAAGATTTCCTAAGCTATTCTGCGCTTACAACACTATTATTGGTGTTATCAGAGCTTTGTAGCTAGTTCTGAAGGAGCACAGTAGAAAACAGTTTCAGTAGTGTATTTCGCTATCTCAATATAATCCATCGAAATAATAGGGCTCAAGAATAGTTTTACTTTGGCTTGTCGATCCAACTGGTTAATCACTTTCGATTTGCTTCGAAGGAATTGCCTATAATGTAATAAAAAAGTCCAAATTGTAGATTTCGTTGTTTCCAAATGGACTTCGTGTATTTTCCATAAATTCCACATCTACCCTCATTTTATATTTCTAGACTAGAAAATTGTTCATATGAACTGTAGAAAATAGCCTTTTTCTGGTGTTGACCAAGATTATGTGTGCTATCCATGCTAGTATCAAATGAATTGGTTATTCTATACGTAATATATATTATTTTCATTGTTTCTATGACCAGTTGTCTTCCAGTCTTATTTCTACATATATTTTGATTCGTATAATGTTCATGGTTTATAATTATATGTATTCGTATTTATTGTGCACAGATTTGACATAATTTGTCACTCACTTTCCCTCAGTGTGTTTCACTTCTAAATTATGTCTCTACAGAGTCAATTCGTTTGATTCGTGCTTATAATCGAATTCCTATTTTCTTTGAAACAGTAATAATCACATTTCTTCCTACTATCAGCAAACTCATTCTACAGCTCAGTCTGTCGTTGTGTAACATGCACACATTGATAATAATGATATGCATCATCTTCCACAAACAACCCAATCAGTTAGTTATTCATTGTTCTCATTTGGATTGATTGATAGCTATTCATTCGATATCTAGAGAATAGAAATGATAGTGTATGGAATCAATCGAAAAGCAAGAAATCACTTTTCACACTTGGCTACTCTGTTGTGTGGGTTGCATCTTAGTGTTGGAAGTGGAGATTTGGCTAGATGAGCCTTTCGTTTTGCTAAGCCCTACTTTATTTGATCTCCCCAACAATGCCCAACCACACTCGAACATGTCATTCAAATACGATGGAATTCCAATCCTCTTTTTAATCCATTATTTCGCTTATGTAATGAGTGGTAATAGTAGAAAGTCATTGAGATATTACAATTATGTGTATTGCTGCTGTGTTCTAAGACAATATGTTCTCGGTAGATGCAGTAGAATCATTAGCACAATGCTAGCAAATCAACCATCAACTCACAGCACTCTATTATTATTATTATTATTATCAACTAGAGTCGTTTGGTTCCTCGTTCTGGATTATTCTGTTCATGTTTCTAAATCATTCCAACACCCTACACACTCTAAATCTACATTTTCCTTCTTTCCTTCCTAAACACATTTTCGATTCTCATTCAAATCCTACAACGCTTCAACCATTCCACATCTCTACAATTCCATCCATCCATCCATCCATCCATCTTCCAAACCAAACACCGCAACCATTTCTCTCTCTCTTTCTCTCAGCAACTACCAAATCGGTCTGGATCGTGGAAACGTGGAAACATCGCGACCCACGGCGCACCAGGCGTGATCGACGAGGTGGGCGCGGATGAACGCGCCGGTCACGTCGTAGGCGAAGAGGAAGCGGAGGCGGAGGGGCTGGGTGACGGAGACCACGGTGGCGTTCTGCGCCCAGTTGGAAGGAAGAGATCCAGAGAGCCCGGTCGACTCTGCACACCTTCGTAGGGAGCCACGGACCCCACCCCATCGCCCACCAGATTCCTGCTCACTCACACCCACACCCACACCCACACCCACACCCAGAGCGAACCGGTGAGCGAGGAGGTTGGCTCGCCGTCCACCACCAACACCCAACGAATTCCGACGTGGCCATCGTGGACACTCCGAATTGCCTGCCCATCCACTCGGCACTGCCCACTTCGCTCGGGACGCACTCCAGCGTGTAGGAAGTCGCGGGGATCCCACCCTCCAACACGTCCCACACATCGCGTCCCGCGGGGAACCAGACGGTTCGGCGGAAGGAGGAAGGAGGAAGGAGGAAGTGGCGGGAGCGCGAAGCTCGCACGTGGCGGTGCAGAGATCATGGAAGGATCCGGTAATCGCCATCGCACAGTCCCACTCAATGCCCTCCGCCTGATTCCACACACACCGCATACAAAACCGCGGGGAACACCACGTCCGTCACGTACCCCATGCCCAAGCCCAAGCCCAAGCCCAAGCCGTAAACCGACCCGACCAATCCATAGCCGACCCCACACCCGCCGTGCAGGCACGCTCGATCACGTGTCCCTTGCTGCAGGTGGAAATGGAGATGTCCAAATGGGGCGTGATGGGAATAAGCATCCGCGGGACAGAAGCAGGGTAGTTCATGCTATTCCATTCGCAGAAGAGATCGCAGGAAGCCCTCCTGGAGTTGAGTTGAGTTGAGTTGAGTTGAGAAAAATAGAATGGAATAATGGAGTAAAAGAACAGCATCGAGACTTCTCAGCGAGTCACCCACACTAGTACTAACTCGACTCGTGATGACTTAGCTTCCTAGATCGGACGGGTTAGGGCGCTTTCCATCAGATATGGCCGTTCTCATCTCATTATTCTTTCCAGCCTTATTTAAATATCACATTCTTATCATCAATCTTTCACTCACTCACTCGTTGTTTCAAACAAACATTTCCAAATAATTCTTTCTTCTCATTGTTACCACGCTCAATACTTCGAGAAATCCGGGCAATAATAGGTGATCTTCGAGCATTTTTCCATATCTACGCTCGGTCCGCGGATCTCCACCTTCTGCGTCAGCACCTCCGCATATCCCTTCTGTCCGCCTCCCACCTGGATTTCATACGCGCCCTCAAAGATTCTTCGCGCTCCATTCTCATCAATTAGCGAGAAATTGATCGGCTCCAGTTCAAATCGCACCGTCTTCGTCTCTCCATTGCGAATCTCCACTCTCTCGACTCCTTGCAGCGTTCGAATTGGCGTCAGCGCGATCGGAAGCTCCGCTCCCACATTCAAAAACGACACATACAACTGCACGACTTCATTTCCATCATCTATCCTTCACTTCCAATCCTTCACCGCTCTACAAGGACCCAAATTCTTCACCTCCACTTCCACTTTGACCGATTCGCACGCCTTCATTTGATTGGTCGACACGCGAAGATCACTATACTCGAACTTCGAATACGACAAGCCGAATCCAAACGGGAATTCGGGCTCCAATCGATGATATCGATACGTTCTTCCCGGATAACTCGTCATATCGTAGCTCCCAATCGCAGGCAGCTTCTCCGTTTCTTTATACAACGTAAACGGAAGCCGACCGCCCACATTGAAACGCCCAAACAGCACATCCGCGATCGCCAGGCCCCCGAAGTTGCCCAAAAACGGCGCGAACAGAACGGTCTCCGCGTTCTTCGGGTTGTTCAGCTGCTGTCCGCTCATTCCGACCAACACAACGTTCGGATTGACGCTCAAAATCGCGTCGAACAGGCGGCCTTGACAGCCAGGGAGCTGCGTCGCGCCGATCGAAACGCCCTCGCACGTGGTTTCCATCAAATCGTCGCGCTCACAGGCCGCGTTTTTGTCCGTACCGAATCCCAGAATGACCAGATCCGCGGTTTTCGCGAGGGAAAGTGCGTCATCGAAGAGCTCCGTGCTATTGCAGAAAATATCGCGGCAACCCGGAGCAAACACGACCTCCGCGCGAGGTGCACGCAATGAAACGCCCTCGAGAAGCGTGTAGATGTGATCTGCCAATCCCTCGTAATCGCCTGTGAACACCACGGTGCTGTTTGCATTCGCGCCAATAACCGCGATTCGCTTGTAATCCCCACGCAACGGCAGCAACCCGCGGGAATTTCGCAGTAAAACGATGGCTTCGTGTGCGCTCTGCAAATTGATCGCTTTGAATTCGGGGGTATTGATCCATTCACGACCCATTTTCTGCATCGAAACGCGCTCCGGCGAATCGAAATCGCCGACCAGCATTCGCAGACGTGTTCTGTTTGTGAAATTCCCGCGGTTCCTACGCTCTACGCACAGCATCTCGCACGGTTTGCTCGGCGACTTTGCCCTCGCGAACGTTCTGGGCCGTGTAAACGTCCATTACATTGTCTCCCTGGTTCAAATCCATATCTGTTCCCGCGTTTATCGCCAGTTCTGCAGCTTCCGCGGGGGATCGCGCGTATTTCATCTCGGTGTACGACTGGAATCGATTCTCTCTGCTATTAATACGAATAAAACCGCGGTATTATCGGCCATCACGTGGATATCGGATCGATTCCAGCGATCTCGAAGCAAAGTTTGTAGTAAAAAGTGGTTTGCGACGTCGGGTTCGCCTTTGGGCGACTCTTTCGATCGAAGACCTCTAGATAACCGCGGTGAAAAAGAAAAACGAATAAGCTGGCATGATTTCAAGTGCGTTTAAGCATCGTGTTTGTGTTTCGAATTGGGGAAGGAAGAATTCGTAAAGATCGTGTCTGTGTAAAAAAACAAGCAAAATAAAACTCCGTCGCGTTCGCGACGAAGGAGAGGCGCGAGCTGTCGGGTCCGGAGTGAACGGCGAAGTGCTTAGGAGACGCTGCGAGCATGTAGTAGCCGTCGACTTTTTGCTGAGGTTTAATCAAGCATGGAAAGCGACTTGGAGACTGAAGGTGTAAACACCACCAAGAATCGTTGTTAGATACGGATCCTCAGAGAACACCTCCATGTTCCGACCCCACCTAGTAGATTAAAATGGATTCTCGTAAATACCGAGGATCGCGAATAAGATTAATATTGGGACTGAAACAGTTCAAACCGCCAGCTTCTGGAGTCGTTCCATTATAGAACTCGAGGATCATGTTGTGAAGTGCACGACCCTCCTTTGCAGTGACATCTGCGACCTTTTTAATCTTTAAAATTACCACGCAAAAACGGATTTACCAGACGAGGGTTGAAAGTCGCTCCCAAGCCTACCGGCATGGGGAAATTCTGCCAGCGCAAATCTCTCCAGTCCGTAGTACGACCCCACCATCCCCAACCATGAAGGCAATTGCTTCTCCAGTCATAGGGACTGTGGTCAACTTGGAATCAAAAGCGTACCGTACGCCCAGATGTTCGATCGCAGGAGATTCGCTGTTAAGGAGAGAGGCACATTCATCGAGAGTAAGTCGAGAAACGAAGTCATCTACACGAGTGTCAATGTCCAAATCTGGGTTGCAGAAAGGATAGCTATGTGACACGCTTGGAATGATCCTACTTCTTTTGAGGCTCGGCAGAGCATTCAATACTTCTCTGAATTGAAAAGGAAAGGGAAATATAAAAGCAAAAAAGAATACACCAAATCATTTTTGAGTGTTTCGTGATCCTTAAAATCTAAAAAACACAATTTTTAGAATAAGGATTGAAACTCCTATCAATTGTATCAGTTGTGCATAGTATTTTATTTTACTTTCTCATCTTAATGATATGACTAAAATCAAATTCAATGCATTTTGCAAAGGATGATTAGGGTGACAAAAAAAGTCCGAAAAATAGGCATATTCGAAAGTCAGCTGACGATAAGTATACTTACTATTATTATTTATAGCAAAGTTGTCAAAACCTCATTTTAATATATACCAAAATAATCGTTCAAAGACATAATACTAATTCAATTAAATGAAGGGCGGTGAGCATCACTTCACGGTAGTGCAATGCAAAGGACACTCGCGCTGGCACAACCTAGTAAACTAGGTTTACTGCCTGCCCAGTCGAAAAATACAGGTGAAAAAGATGTACCCAGTGGGTACATTTTCAGTTTTCACACTGAAAAGAACAGATACTACACTTGATCTTAGCCAAACGGCTGAGAAGGTACAACATAACTGTTGACTCCAATCGGCTACTAGCACTCTATTCAATTCTTCGTTATGGGTTTAGGATATCAGGATTATACTAAATTGCTGGCATCAGAATGTTTCATTATGTTGAAAAGAATAGATCTGAATTGTTTCATTGAAGGAAAGGAAGATAACGAAACATGGAATTTGATAGTGATAGAAATTCGATTATTTGTGCGGTTCCTCGTATCTATGTGTATTGTCAATCAAGCAATGTGTTAAACATCCGTAACGGCAAAGTCTGAACCAAAAACCCTTTCCAAAATCGATTTCCTGTGAATATATAGTAAAGTTGTCAAAACCTCAATTTAATATATTCAAAATCATTCATTCAAAATCAAAATACTTATTCAATTAAATGAAGGGCGGTGAGCATCACTTCGCGGTAGTGCAATGCAAAGGACACTCGCGCTGGCACAACCTAGTAAACTAGGTTTACTGCCTGCCCAGTCGAAAAATACAGGTGAAAAAGATGTACCCAGTGGGTACATTTTCAGTTTTCACACTGAAAAGAACAGATACTACACTTGATCTTAGCCAAACGGCTGAGAAGGTACAACATAACTGTTGACTCCAATCGACTACCATCACTCTATCTCACTTTTCATTACGGGTTAAAACCCCAATTTCGAATAGTTGAATTGCAAAAATCGGGTACAATTTGAAAAAGAAAAAAACCTCCTAACGGACTTGAACTCCCATTGTTCCGTTGCAGAAAAAAGTGATCAACCATTTAACTAAACAGTTCATATACTTTCTATTATTTTTTCATATTTGAAACCTCGCTGATCTTTTTTTATAAATTCAAATATGTCTCTATCTATCAGTTGGTTTCAGTGTGCATATCCTGATTTTGCACACTACTTTTATACAAATCCAAATACCAAGGAAGCAACGTGGAATGTGAATGTACCGGACCTTTCTTCCGTTCGTATTCAATATTTGAATGTTTGCGATTTATGTGGAGAAAATAGCTTTATTTTTTATATATCCTTGTTTTTTGTTCCGTTGTTTACCTTGACAGTACTTTGGGAAGGCGCGCTCTGTGTTTCGTCGTATACAGGATTGTGAAATGGATCTGGATACTGACCAGCTCGTGATCGTACGTACTAATGTTTATAAGGGTTGGGTCTTTGCTCAGTCATTGGATGGAAGCAAAGGCTATGTCCCCTATGACTATATTCAGCCGATATTGCCTTCAACAGAGTATGTTCCTAAATGGAAGTCGGTACTCTCTACGCGATGTGATCATTCTTCTCCAACTCCCGCAGACTACAAATTCAGTCACGACTATTCTTCCATTCAACGGAGTATCCGGAAACTATCTCCCACTATTTGTTCCAATATGTCCCCCTTGTATTTCTCGTTCAAAATGAATCTTAATTGCTAGTTCTACCGCGCTTCGTTCCTCTCTTTCTGTGGATACGAATGACGAGGTGAACATCATGAACGACAATCGTATTTCCCCACTCTTTCTCTCTCTAATCCTCCATAGTCAGCGAGCTGCAGCATCGAATCCTCCAATTCATCTACCAATATCTCAACTCCATGAATGACCCCAAGCTCATCTCCCAATACGCCGTTCCCTCTCCTCCTCTCCCTCCACCATAGTGGTACTACGAAGCCTTCCGCTTCTCCGTCGAAGGCTCTCGTCGCTCTCATTCGCGCTCTCGATCCTCCAAGCGATCTCCGCTCGAGTCCGTTCTCTCTTCCCAGCACATCTCCATCAAGAACGTTCTCTCCTACATCCCCCTCCGTACCTCTCTTTCTCTCTCTCTCATCCCCAGGCCTTCACAGCATCCCCGTCACCTACTGTTTCCACTCCCGCGGGAATTCACTTCTAGCCAGCAGCCGGCACAATCGCCCGCTTTTCATTCTTACCGACGTCTGGGCGGAGCTGCAGCAGATCAATCCGCGCATTGCGGGGCCCAAACGCATCGAAGTCGGGTCGCCCATTCGCCGGTTGAATTCTCCGCGGCACGGAAAACGCCCGCTATCCCCCATTCATATGCCGTTACCGCGGTTATCCGACTCCTCGCAGAGTTCGCGGTTTTCGGAGCCAGCATTGCCGTTAGAGCGCGTATGGACGCCGAAACAAGCAGGGAAACCGGAGAAATTGGAGAAACCGGAGCCGATGGATGAGGTGGAGAAAGCATTGGAGAAACTGGAGAAACGGGGAGATAAGAAACCGCTTGAGACTCGGGAAACGCCCGATTTGAAGGACTTGAAGCCCCCTAAAGTTCCAAATGAACCAAATGAACGAATCGAATCAGTAAAAATAAATCAATCAAACGAATTAAATAAACTACATACCACAAATACCACAAAGGAACTGCTTCCTCCACGCAAATCGATGAAATTCTTCAACTCGATCGAATCTTCCGACTCCAAAGAGGCCGAGAAAACATCGGAATCGATGCATTCTCTGCACTCTCTGCAGTCGCTTCTCTCCTTCAAGCAGGAGCGGAGCTATCTCTTCCCCGACGTCGCGGATTACCGCTTTGTGGACTACGCTTCGGTCTATTTCCAACGCAAAAAAACCTTCTTTCGAAACGCATCGGTGGAGCCGCTCTGTTGTTTCTCAGCGAAGCCACTGCTTCATCCATTGCACCCCGTAAATCGAATGCATCTCGCGGATATTCTCGGCTTCGAACACTCCATTCTGACCATCCAGGGCGTGCTGCCGGATGCGAAAAGCCAGCGCAATTCTACTGTGTGCGGGCTTCTCTCCAACGCAGATCTCCAAAAGCTCAACTCGATCATTAAGGGATTGATCCGCTTTCCCGACCTCACCGACGAAATCTTCGCCTTCTTCATTCGACAAACCAACGAATGTACCGATGCTCGCGCCGAAACCAAAGCCTTCGAAGCGCTCTATGTGCTCTCCCAGTTCTGCAGGCCCTCCGATCAACTGCTCCCCTATCTCGTCGCTCATCTGCACAAACGATGTCACTCCGATGACGAAGTAGGCGTCTCATCGATTCTCTTTCACCCAGAACGCGGGGATCGCGCTCTACACCATCGAAGGCTTGCTCGAGAGAGCGGTGCCCTTGCAGGACCTCGAGGAATCCGAATGGGAGAAACGGAGAACCCAGGTGGTAGCGCGGCTGAGCGAAGTGGAGAACACGCGGATTCCGTCGGATCTCCGCGGTTGTTCCGTGGGCGAGCTGCTCACCGTGGAGAAAATGACGGAGCTGTTCTCGCGACACGGCTTCCCGATCGAAACGGAAGCCGCTGTGCGACTGTCGCCGATCGAAAGTCGCTCCGAGTGCTACATGGACGAAGACCGCATGCTGTTCGGCCTTCTCAATGGCGTCTTCATCCACATGTCCGCCTCCGATAAATCTCTCAAAGAGAAGCGGTTCTGGGTCACTCCCACGCTCGAAAGCGTGTGCTGGCAGACGCGAAGCTCCTCGCAGATTCACCGCCTCGCTGTGCGAAGCATTCGCGAAGAAGTCCCTTTTTCTGGAATTCCATGATTCGTAGCTACTCGGAATCGAGCCGTCAGGGCTGTTCTTCCTCCTCCAACTGCACTGTCGATGGGATTTGGCCTCGGAACGCGAGAAGGAAGACGCCGACCACGTCGTGACGCTCGGGTTTCTCTCGCACCAGGAAGCGCAGCGCTTCCTTCTCTTCCTCAGCCACCTCATTCAGTGGGTCCGCACCGAGCTTCCCTCGCTCCTCGGCCGCACCGAAGAAACCGCGGGAGAAAGCGAGGGCGTCCGCGCGGCCGAATCGGTGATCCAGCAGCAATTCGCTCTCTCTCTGCGCCATCAGATCAACGAAACTTTGCATCGCACGCTGCCGCTGGCGCGTTCCCCGCAGAACGAGACGCTGGACCCGCTGGCGGCGCGGTACGCGAAGAAAGTCCCGCGGGTGTTTATTCTGTTAGCGCGGAAACTGGTCGAATTGGAGGGCTATAAACAGGAAGGAGCGTTTCGCCACAGCGCGGCGCAGGAGAAGCGGGACAAGTATCTGCGATGGATTGCGATGGTAGGGTCGGGGAGAGCGTGGGAGGTAGGGCGATTACGCGTGTATCGAGACGATGGATTCGGCGCACGTGGCGATCACGGTGCTGAAACGAATCTTTTATGATATGAGGGAGCCGTTGTTTCCGTTTGAGATCTACGATGACTTGATTCAAGCGGCGAAGAGCACGCGAGAGGATTGCTTGAAGGTGCTGGACTTGCTGCCTCCGCCGAATCGCCAGGTCGCGCAGTTTTTGTTTGACTTGTTCTGCTGCTACTTGGACCATTCGGAGAACCTGCTGACGCCGAATAGCTGCGGAATCTGCATTGCTCCGTCGATTATTCGGAGGTAGGAGTGCTGGAAGGAAGTGACGGCAAGTCGCGATATCACGAAGGACAATCCCACGATGGCCGCGAGTTTCCTCGAGAAGATCATCAGCAAGCTGCACGAAGAAGGCCGCTATCCCAAAGGGCTCTTCGATTCACCCCTTTCTCCTGTGTGTTGCAACAAACAACCCATCCATCCATCCATTTATTCACTCATTCAATCATTCATTCATAGTCCATTATCGATCCTATATCACTCTCTCTTATCGTGCTGTTATTTATGCACTCTGAGCCTTAATCGTCATCGGCTTCAGACTGTCTTCGGTGGCCTCCACGGTCGCTACCTGAATGCTTCCCTCGCCTCCAGCACCCTGAAGGCCGTCCTCCTGCATCGCATATTCCTCCTGGTCCTGTCTCTCATCCGTCGAAACCTGGACGTGATAGGCGTACGCCAACGACCGCTCATTGGGAGCCCACAAATACTACGAGATCAGAGACACAGCCCAGCAAGCTTACCATGATCACAGCGACCAGCAGCAAATAGGAGCTGGTCCATACACCGTCATTAAAGAACCACTGATACTTCCAGAGCGAGTCGATCTTTTTGAACATGATCAGATAGCTAAAGAGGACGTTGTAGAGCGTCGACACGATCACGGCCACGATGATGATGTTTCGCAGACTAATGAACACGTCCAGCTTTCCGGTCTGCTTCTTATCCTCCAGCTCCTGGATGGTGTCCAGAAGCGACTGCAAGATCCAGAAATAGATGAACGAGTCGAGAAGGGAAGCGGGGATGATGCGGTAGAGATTCACCTTGGAATCGGTGGAGTAGGTCGAGACGATCGAGTCCCAGAGAGAGAAGAAGAAGTACACGACGCCCATCACCACGATCTTCCACATGGAGTTGCCCAGCGAGGCCTTCGACACGCCGAGACCCATCGCGACCATGATAATCAGACACCGCGCCACGGTGTGCGTGGCCGACGTGATGAACAGAGAGAACATGGTGATCTTCCGGTCGTACACACCTTCGTGATTGAAGTTGCTCAGCATCAGCAGGCGGATCACCGTGTCGAACAGGAACGTGCCCACCACCACCGTGATCATCACGTGCACGCTCATCAGCTCCTTGCGGTACCAGCAGCAGCGGATGATCCACGCCAAGAAGAGCGCTGTGTAGATCAGCAGCACCCACTTGGTGAACGGGATGATGCCGTACATGCGAGCAGGGATGTGGCCGTAAGGATTCATAATCACCGCCTTGCCAGACACCTTCACGTTCGACGTATCCGGATCGCACAAGCCCAGAACGATCCAGTACTTGCCCTCCTTGGGGACGTCGAAGTGAACGTTCACGGTGCGGTTCTCACCCCTAAAGAATGAAAGGAGAAGCGAGCAGCCAACTTGAAATCGATGGAGCTAGAACGGTACTGAGACGTTTCGTTGCTCCGCACCCACAGATGGTTATGGTTCTGGCACTGGTTGTTCTACAGCTCGAGCCAGAAAAGTAAAACTACATCGTACGCCTGATCATCACAACAATAGTAATGCTCATTCTTCTCATCGATACCTATGGTCTGGAAAACGTCGTCCGAGACGACCATGACCTAAAATTCAGTTAACACACAATTAAGTACCTCTACCACTGCCTGTGCCTCCAGGCTTGGATTATTCTTAGTTACAAAGAACTCCAATTCAATGTAATTATCTACGTATCCAGAACCACTTCAACTGAATTTCACAAAGAAAAACGTACCTAGACGCGGGAGACGTTTTGTTATCAAACATGAACTGGACTTGCTTGATCATGGTAGCATTATTTAGTACAACAGGATCATATTTAATTACGACAGCACTCACCAAGAAAGGTAGGAGCACAAGATTCTAGAGAATTAGATTCACTTTCTGCACATACCACGATCGAAAACAGCCTCATAATATTCTTTTTATAACCTCCATCGCCATTAGATAATACCGCGGGAATGCTATGTATTATTGAAACAGTCTTCTTCGTTATGAGATTTAATTTTGTGGCTTTTGTTATCTATATTGATATTTAAAAAATGATCGTAAAAGTTAATGTAAATGAGTGAAATAAACTGATCAAACATCTATCGCTTTTTATGATGTTATTACGTATTATTAAGAAGACTCGTGCAATTACTGTCCTTCCAGATTCTTTTTCCACTTACACATTGACATGAACGTGCAGGTATTGAATCGCTCATGATGTTTATACCCACAGATTGATCGGGGTTTGATATTATGTACTCTATTTCAATTCTATTGTCAATTGTTTGATCTAGATATGATTTCCCAGTTCTTCATTCTGACTGATAGAGGAGATCGTCTTATTCTGAAGGATTGTAGGGATTTCGGAGAGTACTCACTTTTTCAGTCCGTTTTGATACTCCCATTACTTCCTGCGAGAAGTTCTTGCGTGTGGTGCGTTCGTGGCCGCATGGAGACTGTCCTCCGGTGTTTGTAGGATAGGTCGCGTTTCGTTACTTGCAGATTAGCGGAGCGATTACCTATATTTTCGAGCGCAGAAACGGTCTGTATTTCGTTGTCACCACGAAGGTTTGGGCGCATCTCGTTATTTCCCTGTAGATGAACATGTCTCCCGCCTTGGGCATCGAGATACTGAGCCGTCTCCTCAAGATCATCAAGGATTACTGCGGAATGCTGACGGAAGAAGCGGTTCGCAAGAACTTCTCTCTGATCTACGAATTGCTGGACGAAGCGATCGTTCCCCTCTCTCTTTATCTTTTCTAACCCCCAGGATTTCGGCTATCCGCAAGACACATCCAGCGAGGCTCTTGTGCAGTTCGTGCACAACAAGCCCGTTGTGATCGCCGACCCGAAGGTTTTCTTCTTGTAGTCCTATTTTATTCCATTAGAAGAACCTGATCGGCGATGTGAACAAGTCGATCCTGACGGACAAGGGCGCGAAGCGCAAGGTGAACGAGCTGTACGTGGACATCTACGAGCGTCTGAACGTGATGCTGGCGTGCGACGGCACGGTGCTGTCGCAGTCGATCGACGGCAGCCTGACGATGCGGAGCTACCTGAACGGCTGTCCGCCGGTGCGCATGCTGCTCTCGCAGAACCTGCTGGTGGGGAAGGACACGCCGATCCCCGTGGTGCAGGACGAGACGGGCCGCACGCTGTCGGCGGAGGACTTCATCATCGTGGACGACATGAACTTCCACCAGTGCATGAACCTGGAGAAGTTCGAGAGCGACCGCCTGCTGAGCTTCAACCCGCCGGAAGGCGAGTTCGTGGCGATGAACTACCGCATCACCACGCCGTTCCGCGTGCCCTTCATGATTCGGCCCATGGTGGAGGAGAAGAGCGAGACCAAGATCGAGCTGATTCTGCAGGTGAAGTCGCTGTTCGAGCCGGACGTGGACGCGAGCAACGTGTTCATTGCGATGCACACGCCGCACGACACCACCACGTGCTCGGTCACGCTGGCCTCCGACGCTATCGGACAGACCAAGGAGTACCGCGAGAAGGACCACCGCGTGCTGTGGATGATCCACAAGGTCTCGGGGCAGAAGGAGTACTATCTGAAGGTGATTTTCAACCTCGAAAAGCCGGCGACGCAGTTCGTGACCAAGGAGATCGGACCCATCACGTAGCCGTCGAGGGGCAGAGTGAGGCGTAGCATTCGGTTCGAGATTCCCAATTACGAGGTGTCGGGACTGCGAGTGAAGGGACTGGCTGTGGACGTGGAGGACAAGAATTACAATGCGTAGGAGGAACATGGGGGATGGTGAGGCGTAGACACAGATATATTCGCTATATCACTCAGTCCAACAGTTATTGTTGCAGATTGTAAATTAAGAGAGTTGTTTGTTGAAATTAACAAAGAGTTTGGGTTTGGGATATGTCGCTAAATCTCTTTGCCTACGGAGACGAAGACGTGGAAAGCGCACCGAAGCAAGTCGAAACTACCGGCTTCAAGGTGAACGAGACAAAAGTTGAAAGTGGGCTATTTGTTTGAGTTAGAATGTGTAGAAGTAAAGGAGGAGAGTATTTCAAAGGAGAAAGAAGCCAAGATCGAAAAATCCTCGGAGGTGAAGATTCAGGAGGAAAAATTAGTGTCAAAAGCATCGAAATCAAATAGTGACAGCGTTCCAAGAGAGGCGCCTCCAGTCCCAAAGGAGGACGAATCTGCGTATTGGACTGCTGTATTCGATAAAAACACAGGTCACTATTATTATTGGAATAGAGTAAGGAGAGTCTATTCGTTGTGATTCTTAGAAAACAAATGTGACTACTTGGACTTGTCCAGAGTTTATTCATTGATAGTTGCTAATGTTTTAGATGCTTTGCCACGAACCCACCTCCACAGCAAAGTGTGAAACGTCCCACTCCGCAATCAACACGCGATACGACTCCGATTCATAGCCATACTGCTGATGTTGTTTTTGGGCAACCAAAGCTTCGAAATTGTAAAAAGCGTCCAGGTGATGTCGCTTTCCTCTTGTTCACATACAGAAAGTAATGTTCCTTTAAGCCGCCGAGGGAAGCAGCGATGGGAGGGAACAGGAATCGATCCACTAGAACTTGGAGGTAAAAAGCGGAATAATTATCGAGGTTAAAGTCTTTGTTGTAAACGCATTGTGAATAGTGAATTAAAATTGATGGGTAAATGTCATTTAGATAGCATATATGTATAATGAGTATTGTTTGGATAAGGGAATGCTGCTTAGAATTATATGTGCACTCAAAGAATGAGATTGTTATGTTACCATGCAATACTTGTCAGGTGTTCAAAGAGTTATCATGAAAGAAATAGACAATAACGAGAATGTGGTATATCATGTCTTTGGTGGAAAAGATTCAATAAAGAAAAATCGACAATAGCAACTCATTCATATAGAATAGGGGATGTACCTAAAGATTTATAAAAAGAAAATGCATAATAAGTAAAGTGCGAGTGAAAGAAAATGATGCCGAAAGAGAATGGTAATTTAAAAATGTTTATTTACTATCGTACAAGTAATGTTGACAACAAGAAATGGTCGTGATAAGATTAAATAGTTCATTTGTTGCGAATCAATTATCTTTATAACGATTTCACTTATGTAATGAGTATAGTAGTACTTGTCTATACTTTGCTGTTAAGACGAAAACTGTATATTATGGTTGGTTACATCTGTATAATTGTGTGTAACATTAAAAAGTCATTGACTTTATGTTGTAAACGAATTACATCATGAGAGAAATAGACTACAGCTGTTCTTGTGTCAATTATAAAGTATAAAAAGCATTGGTTTTGCATTATTATTATTATTGTCAGAGATAATGAAACTCTGTGATTGTTAAAGAAAAAAGATGATAAAAAATGTTAAGAATCATTAGCATGACAAATATCAAACGATACAAGAGGAATCTCCAGTATCAGCTCTGTATCTGAACGGATTAGTAATATGGAAAAAGTCTATAAATGAAATCAAATCAAGCAAACAAAGTATATAATTTGATTTCTATCGTACACCAAAGAATGAGAGAGGTAGACTGACATTACAATGATTTGAAATATCAAAATGCATTCATAATTCAATACTTAAAACTACCTTCTAATATCACTAAACCTACACTATTGAAATCATGACCATTTTTACTGTTAACACCAATCCTTCAAATCGATTTCCATGATCCAAATCCACTATTCCTTTTTCTACTACAATGAATTGTTTTTCATTATATGAAGCATCACCAATTTGATGATTTCCAAGTACTTTCAATACTTTTGGTTCATTCATCACATATTATTGTTTTACGAATACTTTATTACTGAATTTCAATTATATACATTCTCTATAACTATTCATGAGTATAATCGCTATCTATTTTCATTTCTTCACCCAGGCATGCTTGCACACCATTTATGATAGGACAATCAGTACTCATAGTCATTATTAACAGAATTGATAGAATCGGTAATGTTATGCATTAAAATTAGAACAAGTAATACGGCAAAACTGTTACTTTATTACTATAATTGCTTCATTATTACTCATTCTAATGTATTAACAAGCTTTTTAACCACATGCTAGTATTAACTGAGTGATGGTTAATAAAAATACGAACTTCTGTTCACTCTCGCTTTGGAGTTTTCACTCTTTGCCAATCATGACATTTAATCCATATCGTGCTGATATGGTTTAATTCGACATATATCGAACACAACACGAAATATCAGGTATAGTTAATAATATATCTTTTTCATTACACAGACCTATGGACGCTTTTGCACAGACAATCTTTAGTATAGTATTTGTTAGGTGCCAGTATGTCACATAATACAAGAAAAAACTCAAGAATGTGTGTCATCTCGTTTGACTTGTGTAACCCTGTGATTACTTGTCTTTGATCCTCACAATCGTCATAAAGAAACGATATTCATTGTTTCTGTTTTTAGAATCCATTGAAAAGGAGCGGAACTTGCACGTATCTCCCTGCATCAATAATACAATACAATGGAAATCATTTTGTGAAATAATGGTCAAACACTTGAACATTGGGCATTTTGCATAGCAAATACTCATTTTCGTCATGTCTGAATTTCAGTTATTTACTGATGAATAGCCACGTTCATTTTAAGTTATATCCAATTAATATGGTATAGTGATATACTTGTTAAACAAAAGATATCCTTACCAATTCCGATTATAACGACATTGAGCAGCATCTCCATCATTATTCATATCAGAGTCGTTCGTTGAGGATTCGAAATCGTCATCACTCACACAGAATACAGAATGATTCACTCATTATTTCCTAGCTATTATTATTGCATCATCATCCGACATATCTCCATTATTCTCAACAACACAACAGTATCCCATCATTCTAAAACATCCTTTTGATATATTATCTTATCTGTAATTCAATACGAATGCAAATCTATCATAAAAATAGAACACCATCACCTTCGTACCGGAATCCGTCGATAATCCTACAAATCCAACACATCATTCCTTTCTATTTCATATCTCTTTTCTCCCACACTATCATCATCATCATCACCCTCCCTTCACAACGCTTATTTCAACAAACATCCTCCTCAATCACGCTGAAACATCTTCCGATCAAACGGCAACATCTCCGTCACCGGCTTCGACACATCATAAAACCTCGGCGACACCGTCAAGATCTCCAATCCCGTCTCCGTCACCAACACCGTATGCTCAAACTGCGCCGACCGCTGCCCATCCGTCGTGACGACCGTCCAATCGTCCGGCCATCGTTGATCGTACCGATTTCCCTTGTTAATCATCGGTTCGATCGTGAAAACCATCCCGGGTCGCACCGATCCCTTCGCGTTGTTGTCTACTTTTAAGCTTTTCGAGCGCCAATACGTCGATAATGCGGGATCGTCGGGTTGCAATGGAACATTTTACCGATTCCGTGGCCGCAGTAGTTCCGATCCGCTTGGTATCCGTACTTGTCCACCACATCGCTGATCAGATCGCCGATGTCTCGGATGTGCATGTTGGGCTTCACTAGATGAAAGGATTTGGGGAATTCTACAATTGGAAATGGCGTGGCGAAGACTTTCGTAGGCGCATTCAACGAGACGGACATCCTCGTCGGATACTTTGCCCACGAAGAAGGTTTCGTTGAGATCGCCGTGGTATCCTTTGTAGTAGACGGTAATGTCCAGATTCACGATGTCGCCGCTTTGCAGCTTGCGAGAATCGGGAATGCCATGACAAACCACTTCGTTGACGGAACTAGATAGTAGGAGAATCGATGTGGGATACGTGCAAACGCTTTTAGGGAAGAAATAGTAGTTCAAGGGAGAGGGATAAGCATTTCGCTTCACGCACTCCTCAAACACGATTTTATCGATTTCATCGGTTGTAATTCCAGGTCTTACAGCGCTTCCCGCTATGTCGAGGACTTCACGACCCACACGGCAAGCAGCGCGCATTCCCTCAATATCTCGCGGTGATTTATATTCGATTCCGTTCGTTTCCGATTCTTCACTCTTCGAACGACCCGTAATCGCATAATCGGGCTTAGGGATGTGATCGGGGACTTTCATCATAGGAGACACTTTTCCTGGACGGAGCGTTCCCGTAAATTTATATCCGTGAAATTGCGGGGGCATCCTGCACATCGAACAATGGCACAATTTCTACATCTTTTCCAATTCTTCCTCGTGGTACTTCTTGTGAACCTTCCACGCAGCTCGTAAGCATTCCTGCGAACAAAAGAACGAATCAGGAAGTCCGTATTGAATACACGTAGGGCACTTCTTCGTTGCTGGTTTGCCGCATCCCTCGCGGCAGCACGTGTGAGTTGTTGACATTCGATAAAATGACAAAGAAAATAATAAGGGTAATCGTATAGTTATCAATACATCACTATGAATAATAGGAGAACTACTGTACATACACTCCTTTGCTTGAATACGGAATACAAAAAGCTAGGAATTCTATATATTATTGTGAATTTTTATCAAGTACATTCGCTAGAGGCCACTAATGGATAGATAGACCGTTTCTATGAAAAGAAAGTCTAGAACATCTTTCTCGAATAGGAGTGGGCTGGAAAATCGATTTTTATAACGTGTAGGCTCATATACTACTGAGGGGAATGAGAATGAAAATGAGAATGAGGTGATGTTTTGTTTGTCTGTCGATATTTAGAGTTTGGCACAAACGGTCAAAGATCTTAAGGATGAAAATAGTGCTCCTCATTTCATTCACCATTATGCCTCTTATTCGGATACATCCTCTTGCGATAGCAACAGATGGAATAGCTATAGGCTTCGGGATAGAAATTATGTCGTGAAAGTGAAGCTCAACAATACAACAGTGTTTTCTGTTGATTTGGGAGAGGAGTCTACTGAAATTGATGTGGATGAAGTGATTTCCGTATTTTCAAGCTCTGGATTGTAAATGTAGGAGATTGCTACAATGAAAGGCAAAGTGCTCGTGCAAGATGCGAATCTCTACAGTGACATGGAGTTCGACGCAGAAACCAAAACCTTTACGCTCCTCGTCGATGTACATCCATTTCCTCTTTTTATATTTTATTCCTCAGGCCTCCATGACAACAAAAAACCTTTTCGAAATCGTTACTTACCTGTACTCCTCTCCTCCCTCCCCCTAATTATCCAGAGTCTTTCTCACCAAGTCTCCATCGCTCGCCTACCAAGCCTTCCTCTATTTCGACTTCCACGACGCTTCTCTCCTGCCCTCCTTCACCACGCTCTCCACGCTCTCTCTCTCCCTCCTCCCCTCCGCCGACCCTCTCCTCCAGACCCGCTTTCTCCGCGCGCTCTCCTTCCTCCTCCTCGCTTTTCTCCGCTTCCCCGACGCTTCCCTCCCCTTCCTCCCTCCCTCCACGCTCCACGCCGCGCTCTCTTTCCTCCACCAGCTCCTCCTCCTCGCGCTCTCTCTCCTCCGCCGCTGTACGCCCCGCTCTCTCCTCTCTCCTAGTCAATCAAGCCGCGTTTTCTCTCCCCTCCCCCCTCTTCGACGCCGCTCTCCGCCTCTTCCAGCGCGTTTCCACGTTTCTCCAGCCCCCCTCCATCCCCGTCCGCCGCCCCTTCCGCCTCCCCGAGAAGTTCTTCCCCCTTCTGCTTCGTTTCGCGCGCGAACTCGCCCGCTCCCGTGGGAAATTTGCGCTTTTCTCACCCCCAGCCCACTTCTTCGACTCCAAAAATAGTCCCGATTTTTGTCAATTGCTGCTGGCGCTGTGGGACCGCGTCCCGCCCTGCTACTTCGGCCTGCTCTTCGACAGTTTCGCGCAGTGCGCCCAGTCCCGCGGGTTTCGGCAGAGTTTCGTGCGGGAGTTTCGCCTCGAGAGATTGTGTTTGTGTCTCGGCGAGCCGTTTTGCACGCCGGATCTCGCGGTTTCCATCTTTTTAATCCTCACCGCGGTTCTGGCCGACTTCTCTCTCCCGCTCTCCCTCTCCGCCCCGCGGTTTTCTCCGATTCTGCTGGCGGAGGGGAAGCACAACCCGCGGTTTATCGAGGCTTTTTCGCAGATGCTGGTGATTGGCGAGAGCCGGTGCACGCTGCGTTCTGGCGATTTTCTGGACGATTTTTTGGGGGCGGTGAAGGGCGTTTCCGCGGTTATCGAGCAGTTTTTCTTCCACTGCGAACTGCGGCCGGAAATGAATTCGACGCGGCGGATTTTGGCGCATCAAATCCGCGAGTTCCCGCCATCTCTGCAATCCCCGCGGTATGTGGGGTATATCTCGAAACTCCACGCGTGTATGGACGCGCTGATGGTGGAAACGGGGAAATCGGAGGTGATGGTGGAAATGGTGGAAATGGGGAAATCGGAGTTGACGGTGACAGTGTCAACGCTGTCGTTGTTTTTATTGAATGGTAGGGAGTGCGAAGTGTTCATCATGAGATTTGTTTCGTGTGTATTTTTTGAATGAGAAGCTGCTGCGACGCTGCTTGACGCTTTTCGTACAGTTTTACGAAGACCCGATCATCTCTCTGCACTTGTTGGACATCATGACATTCATTCTGAAAAACCGGTTCTATCTTTATTACGATCAGGGCTCCAAAAAGGATTTGGGTCGACGGCTTCTCACGCCGACGCTCTGGAACCAAATCTGTAAAATTGGAGACTATTTGTGGAATTCCAAAAATCCGGGGCAAATGAAAAGCTATTTTGATTGGCTCTGCGTTTTGATGGAATCCTTCCTCCGTCGCGGCGGAAAGAACCGAAAACAGAAATATTATTTCTTTGTCTTTCTGAATGGACCCACCTGGCAGTCGCTTCCCCGCGGTTTTCTCCCCTATTTCACGAAATCGCTTTTTACGAAAGACTTCGATTTCCCCGCGATGAACAGCTTTCTGCAGCTGTTCCTCCTCTTCGACAAGCTTTGTACGGTGTAATTGCGCATTTTCACACAGACGTAACGGACATCGCGCAATTGCAGCAGTGGGTCGAGCTGCTCTGCGGCCTGGTTTCCCTCCCGCGGCGAGAGTTTCACTCCATGTTACTCCTGTTTCGACTGTTGGAACGCATCGTGACAAACTGTGGAAACCGTGGAAACGGCTGAGAAATAGTTTCGCTTTTGGCGGTTCTTCGAGATTCCACTTTTCTGAGTTTTTTTTTACGGTGTGTTTCGGAGAGCGAGTTGTCGAAACGAATCGATTTGTTAGATTCGTTTTATCGGTTGTTGGCGAAGAACGAATCGGATCCGAACCTCAAAACTTTGCTCACGTTGCCGCACGCGATTCAGTTGATCGAGTTCTCGATGTTTGAGCCCGCGTTGCTTTCCTTTATTCTCTTTCTCGTCTTTTCTTCGCTCACCGTCTGTCGTTTTTTCTCTCTTTTTTTCAATTGTAGGGTCCGTGGAAGCCGTTTCGAGCTCGATCCATTCGCTTCTCCGCGTTCTTTTCGAACTTCTCGACATCTACACCACGCAATTCGAGAAAGATCGCTGCGTTCGGCGCCTCATCTACCGAATCTGCCTCCAGCTCAACTCGATGGGCTTCCATTCCTCCGTCGCCATCGCTTCTTCGCGCCACCACGCGACGCTCCGCGCCATTTGGAACCTTCTCTCCATCCCGTTCAGTCGAAAACTCGCCAATCAGCTTCGCGAAGCCAGCGAGTTCGACCTCGACAGCGAGGTCTGGAGCGAGTCTGCGGGGTCCAGCGTGGCGAACTCGCGGCGAAACAGCTTCGTGCAGTCGCAGCGATCGTCGGTGCAGTCGACCGGAGAGTTCGACGTGGAGTGGATGCTGCGCTGCGGAGAAACGGCGAAAGTGGCGCTGAAGGAGACGACGGAAGTGGAGGAAGCGAGAGAGCGGCTGAATCGATCGAGGAAATCGATCGGGAAGGCAAGGAGGAGAGAGAGCAGGAGCGAAGAGGGAGGAAAAGGAAGGGGAAAAGGGGGCCGAAAGAGCGAATCGAGCTTGCTGACGAGCGGAGAGGAGAAGGCGAGCGAGAAGCTGAGGAAACGGTTGAGCGAACCGGTGAGACGATGGAGCGAGAAATCGAGTGAGTCAACGAAACGAGCGGGCGAAAAAGCGAAATCGATAAATGAATCGTTGAGGAAATCGTTGAGCGAATCATTAAATGGAAAATCGAAATCGTTGAATGAATCATTGAATGAATCGTTGAATGAATCATTAATTGGAAAATCGAAATCGTTGAATGAATCATTGAATGAATCGTTGAATGAATCATTAATTGGAAAATCGAAATCGTTGAATGAATCGTTGAATGAATCATCAAAATCGATGAATGAATCATTGAGGAAATCGTTGAATGAATCATTAAATGGAAAATCGAAACAATTGAATGAATCATTGAATGAATCATTAAATGGAAAATCGAAACAATTGAATGAATCGCTGAATGAATCATCGAAACCATCAAATGAATCATCGATTGAACCATCTAAACAATTGAATGAATCTTCGGGCGATCCTTCGACCGAAAAGGCGGATGCCTCGCCAGAATCAAAGGACAAATCGATCGACTCTTCCAAATCGAATTCCAACGATTCTGTGCCCAAACCACACAATGAAACGCCTTGCTTTTGCTTCCAAGTCGAACGCAACCCGAACGATATCTCACACTCCTCAGCACGCTTCCACTATCAAATGGCCTATTACACGTGCCAGTGCGATCAGTGCATTCAAAACCCGATCGAATTATTCGATATCGTCGATCCAAACTTTGAAAACTACTTGAATTCCGAGGAAATCGAGGCAGTCTATCTGTATTTGGAGTTTTTATTATCGATTATGAAGAAACCGGGCGACTGCTTTGAGCAAACTTTCGGTAGCGGCCATTCCTTGATATCATGTAGATGTCGTGCTCTATGAAGAGATCGAGTCTTTAAAAAAGAACGTGGACCTATATACGAAGCTGAATAAGCAACTTAGCGTAAATGAACTCTCGAGAAACCTGCACATTATGTTGCAGTGGCTAAATCCTAAACGTATGTTTGTTTCTTGGATTGTGAGCGTAGAACAACCCGAGCCCTACAATCCCGACCAAGGGAATCTCAGAATTATACCAGGCAAAGGATCGTATAGAAAAGAGATCAAAAAATCGGAGGGTGACGAGAAAGAAATTATTTCGGAGGTTTCTGTGGCCTTATCCAACTCCGTGTTGTCCCATCCTTGGAATAAGGATAAACGTATTCAAATCGATGAAATTGTAAATTGACGTGTGTTTCTGTTTGTTTGCAAAAGCAAATGCGTAGGGTTTCGTTTAGGACAAGAAAAAGAGAAATCAAAGTTTTTCTTTCCTATTATTACTAACTACTGGAATATGAGTTTGCCAATGTAGAAGGATGGCGATCCTGCTCTTATATCTAGTTTCCGAAGTGTGGAGGCTGTCCGAGAGTATAGAGAAAAGATTGTTACTGAATTTTTTGAGAAGAACCATCGCTTTCCTAAGATTGGGTTTGTCCCCACCATGGGAGCTCTCCACGATGGTCACTTGAGTTTACTCAAGATTGTAGCCATTCGGACTCCACCTAAGGTGTAGGCTCGTCAGAACAATGACTTTGTGATGGCCAGTATCTTTGTGAATCCAAAGCAATTTGCTCCTCACGAAGATTTCGCTGCCTACCCCCGCACTCTTGAAAATGACTGCAAGCTCGTTCAGAGTGTTGGTTGCGATGCGGTGTTCGCTCCTTCTGACGAAATGATGTACCCTAAGGTCCCCAAGTACCTTACCTACGTCACGATCGAAGGAAGCGACAGCATCAGCGAAGGAGCGGCCCGTCCTGGTTTCTTCCGCGGAGTCGCGACCGTGGTAACCAAATTGTTCAACATCGTGCAGCCCACGAACGCCTACTTCGGCCAGAAGGACGGCCTGCAAGCCATTATGGTGCAGCAATTCGTCCGCGACCTGAACATCCCCGTGCACATCACGGTCTGTCCCATCGTCCGCGCCAGCGACGGACTCGCTCTCTCCTCGCGAAACGCGTATCTCAGCGCAGAGGAACGCGCCGCCGCGCCCGCGCTCTACCAGTCGCTCTGTGCGTTCCGCACAGCGTTCGAAAAGGGAGAACGCGACGTGGAAACGCTGCGTGCCGCCGCGATTGTAGGGATAACCGCGGGGAGTGAGGGGTAGAAGCGATTGGGAGAGGAACCGCGGTTCAAGCTGGATTATCTGAGCGTGGCGAACGCGGTGACGGCGGAGGAATTGAGCGGAAAGATCGAGGAGGAAGGGATGGGAGATGGAGTGTTCGTGTCGGTGGCCGCGTGGATCGGAACGACGCGATTGATTGATAATATCGTGCTGAGAAAGGAGAATTAGAGAGAGAGAGTTCATGAATGAATGAATGAATGAATGAATGTGTTTGTTGGAATAAAGAGTAGAATCAATATGGTGATTATTGTTGTAAATACATGGGGAGAAATTGAGAAAGAGAGAGAGAGTGGAATGGATCAATCACTGAGTGAATGATAGAATAGTGGGTCGGGTGAAGGAATGAAGAAGCGACAGAGAGAATCTCTAGGTGATTTACTCTTGAATTATAGGTAGAAGAATGAACGATAGGCTTAATTATTTATTTCCTCCCCATATACACAATGATTAACAGCCATACCAAGTCTATTCGCTCGCAGATCCACTCACTATAATTCCGAATCTCACTCCCGTTTCAAACAAACACTTCAAAGACCAACATCCACACTCAACTGACTATTCGCATCCGCGTTATGTACAGAAAAATTCGGATCCAACGCCGTCTCTGCATTGGCTTCCATCTCTCGCTCCTCCGCCGTCGGTTCGGCAGGAAACAACTCTCTCTGATACGGTTCCTTCGCGGTGGCCGCCTGCTGCGGAACCTCTCCCTGCTCATTCAACACCGATTCATTCACCATCGAGATTCCGCTCTGCGAAGGCAGCGGAAGTCGCGGCGATTTTTGATTGATGGCCTGCAAAAGGCGCGAGACGTTGCTCGTGACTTCGCTAATCGCCAGCTGCGCGCGCGAACGATCGTTCACCGCGAGGAAGTTGATTTCCTTCAGCTCTGCGATTTGCTTTTGAAGTTCTGAAACAAACAAACTCTGAGACGCGAGCGATTGCTTGAGACCTTCCGTCTCTCGCTCGTAAAGACTGATTCGCTTCTCTGCCGTGTCGCTAATGTCTTTAAACCGCATAAACTCGCGACTCAGCCGCTGGCTTTCGTTCCGAGCCTCGGCAAGTTCGCTCTGCAACTCTTCAATTCGCTTCAAATTCGCTTCGTCCTTCTCTTTCAGCGCTGCAAACTGCGTTTCCAGATCTAATCGCTCCGCGTGCTCCTGCGCCAACCGCGAATTCACGTCTGCGACTTGCCGCTCGCGCAGCGCGCAGCTTTCCTCCTGCTTTTTCAACGCCGCCTCCTTCTCGAGCAGCTCCTTCCGCTTCTCCTTCACGAACTTATCCATACTCGTGTACAACTGCTGCGTTTCGTTCAAATTCGACAACGCTCCCGCGATTTCGCTCTGATGATCGCTCAGTTTCGCTTCCTACAATTCGTGGCGAGTCGGTTTTCGCTACTTTCTCCGCGATTTCGCGCTCGAATTCTTCCTGACGCTCCAAAAACTCGCGGTCGCGTTTGTCCGCCTCGCGAATCCGCGCTTCCAACGCCTCGCTGTGCTTCGCGAGCTCTTCTTCGAGCAATCGCACCTGCTCTCTTCGCTTTTCGATCGCTTCTACCGTCACATTCGAATCGAATTCGCACCGTCTTTGATTCGTTCCAGGTCGTTCAGCTCCGCTTCGCGCGAAGCCACTTGTTTCCGCGCGTTTTCCAAATCGTCCACGTATTTCCGCTTCGCGTACAGCAGACGATCCGCCTCGTTGCTCTTCTCTTTCGCTTCTTGGTTTAAGCGAAGCGCCTCGCTGTGCAGTTCGTCCGTTTCGCGCTCGCGCTCCAGGATGGCTTGTTCTCGCTTGGTGAGCTCTAATGCGCGGCGGCGGTAGCTTTCGCGCTCTGTGGAGAATTCGTGGGAGGAAGAGCGGCTTTGGAGCTCCAGCTGGAGGTTGAGATCGCTGATTTGCTGGCGCAGCTGGTGATTTTCTTCACGCAGTTTGCGGACTGTGCTGCTTTCGTTTTCCGAATCTCTGGATTCTAATTGCCTTTCACGGTCTGCTATTTCCAACGCTCGTCTAAACGTGCAACCAAACTTGAATGAAACACCTCTCCAATTCTCGCTTCTTTTGATCATAACGCTTTTTTCTTTTTTTCAGGGACTCCTTTACAGTGTTAATACCATCCAGAGCACGTCGCAAAACATCCATGCTGACTTTCCCAGAATCCTACTTGTAACAATCTCAAAAAAACCAAGTTACGGTTGGTAAATAGATTACGGGCTTCTTTGGCTGCTCTGGAGAGGAATCGGACTCACTCAGGTCGCTACTACTGAGTGTCATCAACTGTTGTTCCATTTATGCAGGTTGAAATTAAAACCACTTGAATTGCTAAGCTGTATGAATGGAACTCAAAAAATCAACTCGATTTTTGGAAAACCAATGAGTGGTTTCATTCTCCAGAAACGTCAGACGATTCTACTTGAACAAGGAAATGTCTCTTATTGGAGAGGAAAATCTGAATGTGCCAGATCTGAAGGAAAATGCGTATTTGTTTATAGTGGTTTTAAGGGTGTAGCGTGGATGAGGTGGCACTGAGCGTGCGTAGAGATAGAAACAAGAAATTAACTGAAAGAGAGGGTTACAAAAGGAGACAAAAAAGAGTAGGGCTGGTTTTGGGAACTTGACATTTTCAGGAGCAGCGAAAGGAGCTCCGCAAAAAGACCCAGTTCCTCACTCCCGAAAAGCTTGTAAAGTTGAACATCAAGCAGCGCAACGATCGGAAGCGTTTCAACCGCCAAGCCAAGCGTCTGAAGCAGAACTTCATTAAAGTGGACACAAACGAAGGTCTGATTGCCATTGTCCGAATTGGTTCGAGTACGGATGCTTCGAGAAAGACGAAGGCGATTCTGAGCGATCTGCATCTAACGAAGCTTTACTCCCTCGTCTTTGCTCGTCGCACCCCCGAGCTGCTTCGCAAGCTGATTTTAGTGAAGCCGTTCCTTGCTTGGGGCGTTCCGAACCGTAAAACCGTAAACGAGCTGCTTACGAAGCACGCGCACACGATGGTAGGCTTAGAGCATGATGCAGATGCTGATGGGTAGATCGAAGGAAAGCGCGTTCCTGTTTCGGATAACGTGATGGTTGAGGACCATTTGGGAGATAAAAACATTATTTGCATTGCTGATATGGAGAACGAGATTGTGACCTTAGGTCCTGAGTTCGATGCGGTCATGGAGTTTTTAACTCCGTTTGAGTTGGGCCGTGCGTTCACGAAGGTGGAAGTGGGAATTCTGCACAAGAACCATATTGATGCAGGAGATCAGGGAGATGACATTAACAAGATTATTGAACGTATGCTTTAGTCGGTTGTTTATTTGTGACTTTTATTTGAATCGTTTGGAAGCTGTTTGTTCAATTAAAAGTTTGTCACACGCTGTTATGTTGAGGGCAGGACTATATGCTTCGAAGACGAGTATGCGACGTTTTATGAGCACCGGCTTACCTAGTTCGGGGCGAAAACTGGCAGTATCGAGCGCGAAGCTTCGTGATCGCATTCAGACGATTTATGATACTGTGGGGTCTGACGAATTGCAAGCAATATATAGACACTGCTTCCTATTAATGAACGTGTTAACGGTCCTCTTGAGAAGTATCTGTTTGTTTTTTCGTTTCAACGCGCAGAGTTAGACAGCAATTTCCAGCAATGCCCGTAGTTTTCTTGCTCGGAAACCATTCGAGCGGAAAGTCAACATTTATCAACTATATCACAGGAGCGTAGCACTTTTCTCTCCTCCCTTCACGATCCAGAGAAGTCCAGCACACCGGAGTGGCTCCCACCGATGACAGTTTCACAGTAATCGTCCCAGGCGACGAAACGTCGACGAAAGACGGTCGCACGCTCGTCGACGACCCCGATTTCGGCTTTGGCGGCCTCCAGCACTTCGGGCTGTCCTTCCTGAGCCACTTATCGATGAAAGTGCGCAACGACATTCGAACAAAAGACATCATTTTAGTGGACAGCCCCGGAATGATCGACAATCCTTCTCTGGGCCTCACCAAGAACTCCTCGCACGACCGTGGCTACGATTTCATGAGCGTGACGAAGTGGTTCGCCGACAAAGCCGACGTGATTTTGTTCTTTTTCGACCCGGACAAGCCGGGAACGACCGGCGAGACGCTTCAAGCGTTAACGCAGGCGCTGCAGGGGCAGGACGCGAAGCTCCGCATCATTCTAAACAAGGTCGATCAGTTCTCGAAGGTTCACGACTTCGGCCGCGCGTACGGCGCGCTGGCGTGGAATTTGGCGAAGGTAATCCCGCGGAAAGACATGCCGGAGATCTTCACGATGTGCGTTCCGCACGATAAAGAAATGAACGAGCCGACGAGTCCGTGCATTCCGCTCGACGATTTGCAGCACGTGCGCAGACAAGTTTTAGAAATGGTGCTGAACGCACCGTTAGTGCGATTAGACAACATGATCTCGCAGCTGAGCGACGCCACGCATCTTTTATTGCTGCATTCCCGCGTGATTTCAACGCTCAAAGCCACGCAGTCCAAAATGAACACGCAGAAATGGGTCTCTTCGATCGGATCCACTTGCTTGGGACTCGCCGCTGCCGCCGCGGTCGCGTCGGAATCTGGGTGAGGAGTGAGGGGTAGAGCGACCGGACTGGCGGGCGCGTGGAGTCTGGGAATAACCGCGGGGATTGGGGCGTTGTCGGTGGCGAATGGAGGCCGGATAGTGGTGTCGCGGGAGAAGAAGTAGGTGGAAACGTGGAACTGGGAGGTAGAATAAAGAAGACGCTGGCGAAAATGAGCGACGACGCGTATCTGAACGACGTGTTTAAGAAGTTGTACTTTAAAGAGTTGTCGGGAGGCGATGAATTCGTTGTGTCCATGTGGAGTCGGATCTCCCCGTCGATTAAACACATGCTGGAGACGATTGGATTGAAGGATTGCACGCCGGTAGGAGAGAGAGAAGGCGGTTGAGCGTAGCTGAAACGGTCGGAGATCGCGAAGCTGGAGGAAATCGTGAATGTGACGCTGCCGCAGCTGCGAAGAGAGACGAAGCCGCTGCGAAGAGGAGACGATCGAGAGAAGGAGAAGGAGGAAGAGGCATGGATTGTTTGTTGGAAACAGAAAGAGAAGGGGAAGGGGATGAAGTGGTTGTGGTGAAGCAGAGAGAAAAGAGAATTGAGAATTGAGGGTTTGTTTGAAAGTGTAAATAGATTGAAGTGGAAGAAGAATAGGGTGGAGGTATGATGAAGTAAGCAATAGAGAGTGAGAATGAGACAGGAATGGAGTATGTGTCAAAAAACAGAGAAAAAGTAGAATACAGTACGAAGTTCAGACCAAAACATCGTCATACTTCCTTAAGAGGTTTGATACATCGAGGACGGCACATTCTGATAGAACGACGGATTGACGCCCTGGTAGAACTGCTGTCCCAAGGGCTGTCCCAAGGGCTGTCCCATCATTCCGCCCATCTGCGGACCGATCGGCTGATTCAACTGCGGGCCCATCTGCGACCCGATGATTCCGCCCATCGGCTGCCCCATCACTCCGCCGATCGCGGGGCCCATCGCTCCGCCCATCTGCATCGCCATGGACGGATAGCTCGGCGGGTAGCTCGGCGGATAGCTTGGCTGGTAGCTCGGCTGATAACTCGGCTGGAACCGCGGCGCGTTCATCATCGGACCCGTCTCCTGCGGCTTCGTGATCGGCACACTCGGCGTCTCCGCCGCTTCCTTCGCATTCCTGCCGTTCTGCTGGCCTCCCTGCCCCGCAAAGCTCTTCGTCTCTCTGCTCTCTCGGTTCCCTCGGGGCTCCTTCTCCGCGTCTCTCGACTCTCTCGCCTTCGATCGCAGCCGTCCCTTCTCCTTCGGCTCGCGGAGCTTAAGCAGTTCCCGCGCAGGCTCGGCGCTGCGCAGCTTGGGGTCATAGCCGGGCATCACTTGCTGCGTCACCGACGAGAAATAGGACGGGTGCGAGAACCGGCGAGGGAAGCGTCCACCCGACGCCTGGCGGCCGCTCGGCGCCTCGTTCTCTGCTGCCGGCTGCGCGGCCGCGGCAGGCTCACCGGAGGGTTGCGAGGAAGGCTTCGAGGAGGGCTGCTGGCGCTTCGAGCGCGAGGGCTTCGACTCATTCCCAGCCTTCGCGGTCTTCTCGGTCTTCGCAGCCTTCCCAGGCTCACCAGAGGGTTGTTGAGGCTCACCAGAGGGTTGTTGAGCCTCAATGGAGGGTTGTTGAGCCTCATTAGAGGGTTGTTGAGGCTCACCAGAGGGCTGCTGAGCCTCATTGGAGGGCTGCTGCTTGCGTCGGACGGTGTGAGGCTTGCGTCTGGCTGGCTCGAAGGACGCGAAATCGGCGTGCTGGCCTTCCTGGCCGTGCAGGTCGTGCGACCACTGCGAAGCTGGCGCTGCAGGTTCGGTCTCCCTAGCGATCAAGGAAGCAGAACAGGACTACGCTGCGGGCTGGGAGGGCTTCGGCTCTTTTTTGGCTTTTTTCGGTTCTTTTTTCGGCTTTTTGGTGGCTGGCTCGGTCTTTCCTTCTTTTGGTTCCGTCGCGTTCGGTTTTGTGTTCGGTTTTGCGTTCGGTTCTGCATTCACCTCTGCATTTGCCTCTGCGTTCGGTTTTGCGTTTGCATCGGCATTGGGTTCTGCGTTTCCACTCTTTGCTTCCGCTTTTCCACCACGTTTCTTGTGGTACTTACCTCGGCCCCTGCCTCCGTTCTTCCCCGTCTTCTTTGCGGGAATCTCCTTCTTCTCAGAACCCGGCTCTCCTTCAGGGTTCTTTGTCTCTGTTTGCTCGGAATTCTGATCTCCACCCTCTTTTGGTTTTTCATCATTCTCAGCACCGTTTACAGGCTGCGGGTTCTCATGTTCCTCAGTCTTGACCACTTCTTTCGGAGTGGACTCATTTGACACATTAGTATTGGCGTTTTCAGCAACGGCTTCCTTATCAGATTTTCGAGTCTGAGGATCCGCAGGTGCTGCAACAGCATTCTAAGGATAAATAAAGCAGGTGACCTAAACAACTTGCTTATTATCATCTTGTTTCGGCTCTTCCGCCTTTGGAGCTTCCGATACAGGAGCAGGAGCTTCCGGATTCGGCTGTTGAGCGGGCTCTTCCGCAGACTTGCCGCTCTTCTCGTTTTTAGTAGCCATTCTAAGTTAAATCTTAGCCAAAACACAAACGGTGATATTTCCTCAGAAACAGTTACAGTGTTGGGAGATTGGTCCTTGAGTTTACACACAATCATAGGACGTACGACAACAGGAGCTTGATCTTCCGTATTTTCCATAACTAATGTGATTCAAAATAAAAATTGAGATGATTATTGTTTGTATAATCGCGGTTATTTGAAAATCTCTAGAATTTTATGGACGAATACAACAAAGGTCATTTGGATTCTGTCCTGACCTATGTTGCAGGGAAATCAAACCCAATGACCGAACCACTAAGGGAACGAGGTACTAGCTGGTCACTTTTGCAAATGGTAGAGGCAAGTTCATGGCTGCTTATGGCGACGGACCTCGTTCCATTCTCTCCTAATCCGATGAGTTCCGCCCCTCAATTAGAAATGGATGGTAGCATTTTGAATTGCTTCTGATGGTAGACCGTTATGGCAACGATTTTTTGGGATGGGATGCTACTAATCCATATGATGATGGCATGTTGTCTAACTTTTCTCTGCAGCTTCCGGAGTCATCGTGCGATACGGTAGATGATTATACGGAAACGAACCAAATCCAATTCAACGCTGCTCTACCCTCCTCTACTGATGTTTTGGAAAACAGGCAGCTTCCCTCTCAGCCCTTCTCTGTAAAATACTCATCGATGCCTCCTCCCAGTTCTTCCTTATTTGCGCAATCATCATCAACCACCACCACAACTTCATCCATATCTTCCCGTTTTCTTCTGCTTCCATCGATTGATTTTAGGAGCGACCACGCGTAAACGTCTCCTTCCATCGGGTCCTTGCGTCCCGACCCTTCCCGTCAAGCGCTCGGAGACGGAGGAGAAGCGCCAGCGCCGCTTGGAGAAAAACCGCGAAATCGCGAAGAATTGCCGCAAGCGGAAGAAGGAGAAGAAGGAGGCGCTGGAGGAAGAGATCAAATACCTCAGCGAAGAGAACGCGCGGCTCCGCGTGCAGCTGAAGGACGAAACGGACGATGAGACGCGTCGAAAGCAGCGGGTGGAAGGGCTGGAGAGGCTCCGCGCGAAGTACGAGAGCGGAGATGCCGCGGGGATCCAGCAGGAAATAAGGCAGTTCGTGGCGGATTGGGTGTCGTTTGGGCAGAAGCGTTTGATGATGGCGGAGTTTCATTTGGATCAGCTGAAATCGCTGATTCTCCCAACGCAGGTAAGACAGAATCATCGATTGAATGAATTGAATGAATTGATTGAATTGAATGATTTTTGATCGGGTTTTGAATTGAATTGAATGAAGGGAATGAAGGGAATTGCAGAGAACGATCATCAAGAGATTTGTGATTGAATGAATGAATGAATAGATGAGTTTTGAATTGGCTTGTTTCTCCATTTCGTTTCCACTTTTCCACTCATTTCGTTTCATTGATTCTCTCTTTTCTCTTTCTCTCTGCTTTGTTCGTTTGTGTTTTGTGTGTTTCCCTTCCTCCCTTCGCAGCTGTCACCGAGGCAGTCGAGTTCTGTCTGTCCTCGCAACAGAGCTGCCACATCAACAAACTCTACACACACCATACTACCCTTTTGAGGGGTGAGACTGCGGAGTCTCGATCTTGGAAGGTGTTGAACGCATCGAGGACCCGCATTGCCTGGCGGAAATCGCGATGTCGCAACGACAAACTCACGCTCTCTAGGTCTCCAAGATGTGCATGTGGGCGCTGCAGCAGAGCGACGAGTTCTTCGACGAGAAGCTCAACGAAGTTCGCTACGGCGGAGGCATCTGGAATCTCATCTCCAACGTGCTGCATGTAGGCGAACGCTCTCTCTGCCAGCGTAGCTCACGCGCGAGCAGAAGCACGCGATTCTGTGCAGCCGGCAGGGGACGGTGCAGCAGCAGGAGAACGTGGGAATGGCGATGGACATCATCGATGAAGTGCAGAAGCGAATGGAGAATAGCATGAATAGCATGAAGGAGCAGCTGAAGGGGATTGTGAATGTGCTGACTCCGGAACAACAAGTTGAGTCCCTTCTGTTTATTCAGAAGGTGTTGCAAGAACCGAGGTCGCAAGAGTCGATCTTTAACACATTGAAGAAAAGGATCGATGTTCAGGAAAATGAGTCTTCTTCCACTCCAGAAGAAGAAGAAGAAGAGGAAGGTAATTAGTTTTTTTAGTGTTGTTTGTTTTTGATAAGCGAATACTATATAATTTGTTGGACTTTTGACTTTGTTGTTAAATTTACATCCCGATGGAAAAAGATAGTCCGGAATATATGGAAGAAGACGATTTCTGGGATTTTGGTACGGATCGATCATTTTTGATTTTGGTAGATGAGCCTGCAAGAGTGATCCATATCCCATTCAGTCGCTCCAAAGACGAAGACGTTCCAGCAGCACCTACTTCTTTTGGTATGGACAAAGAAATGATGGGTATGGAGAAAGAAATATCCTTATACATGACAGTTAATTAAAGATCCTTCACAAGATACAGCTTAGAAGACTTTTCCGATGAGTATGAAATAGTCGGTAATTCAAAAGATGAAACATTCAATAACGTGATTCCTGATAAGGATAACGACATTGCCACTTTTGAAGAAGAAGGTGTGCGAAAGCGTACTGTTTAACGTTCTAGAGGATCTCAAGCGGATCTTACAAAGTATTGATATCGAGTCAGATGACGAATCTGTCGATGATTCGGGATTAGAATTAAAGTTGGGCAGAGAGCTATCATTGGATTCTGCAAGCGACGAGCAACCTACAAGCACAATGTCGATGTCAGCCATGCTTCAAGAGCTAAAGAATTCAAAAGCGAAAGTTGAATCTGTGGAAGAAGAATCCCCAAAGAAAGAAAATCAGGAGACGGAAGAGGAGAGCAAAGGGGACGAAAAGAGGATAGAGACTGAAGCGAGACCTTTCGAAGAAGCAGTCGAATCAGTCGAAGCAAAGCAGGAAGAAATGCAGAGTGACGAGAAAGAAAATTTTGAAAACGAAGAAAGCCCAAAAGAGAAAGAGAAAGAGAAAGAAGAGAGCGATCCGGAGGAACAGGAGAAAGAAATCAAAGTGGAGGCCGACAAGGAGACGGAAAGTCCTGCTCAAGAAGAATCAGAAATCCATGAATCGAAGGAGGAGCCAGAATCCACAGGCCAATTGAATGTGGAACAAACAGAAAAACCCGATCAACCAGAGCAAGCAGAAGCAGAAGCAGAAGCAGAAAAACCCGATCAACCAGAAGCAGAAGCAGAAGCAGAAGCAGAAGCAGAAGCAGAAAAACCCGATCAACCAGAAGCAGAAGCAGAAGCAGAAGCAGAAGCAGAAAACCCCGATCAAGCAGAAGCAGAAGCAGAAAAACCCGATCAACCAGAAGCAGAAGCAGAAGCAGAAGCAGAAGCAGAAAACCCCGATCAAGCAGAAGCAGAAGCAGAAGCAGAAGCAGAAGCAGAAGCAGAAGCAGAAAAACCCGATCAACCAGAAGCAGAAGCAGAAGCAGAAGCAGAAGCAGAAGCAGAAGCAGAAAAACCCGATCAATCAGAACAGACGCTAGCAGAAACACAATCCCAGCCCCTCAACGAAACCCCCTCTCCAGAGCCGTCCATTCCCGCGGGAGGGTCCGGTTCTCTTCCGAATTCGCAAGTGGTAACGCTGGAAGATCTGTTCCCGACCCCCACTTCGCTCAGCCGTTTCTCCGAAGAAATCCCCGACGATTTCAACACGCGGCAGTTCCTTCTCTCCCAGCAGATCAGCCAGGCCCACCCAGGTTTCCCCGGTTTCCCCGTTTGAAGGGTAGACCGCCAGCTGATTCGGCGGCTTCTGTCGTACGACCCGCTGCCGTCCATTCCGCGCGAATACCAAAAGAAAGTGTATTTGGCGTTGCTGGGCGTGAGTGATCGGGTTTTGATGGACGGTAGGTGGAGCGAGAAAGCGTGTCGCGGCTGCAGTCGATGCAGTGGAGCGTGGACGCGCTGAATTCTTCGCTTCTGGAAGACTATTGCAACGCGATCTATTCTCATTTCTCGCAGGACGGTGCGTCCCGAAGGAGTTTTGCGATCGTAGAAACGCGACGCTCGCAGATCATCGTGGACGTGCTGTGGATCGTCGAGGGCGTTTTGGTCCTCACCGGCTCGCGCTATCGCCCCTGTATCGCTCGGTTTGGAGGCTCACCGTGCAGTACTCAGCGATCTGGCGCTGCTTCTCCTCACGCAGCTCGCGCTGGAGCGAACCGAAGCGCTGCTCTGCGTTCTGCGAATGTTCGCCAGCGAGCCGCAAGCCGAATTCAAGGAGCCAGTCGATGCGTATAAAGACCGCGTGTATTGGAAAGGGGACGCGGCGAATGATGGACTGCCTGCTTTCTTGCCGGTCGTTTCGACGGCGAGACATCAAGGCGCGCTGCGCATCCACGTGATGCTTCGACTGCTCACCAGGTCCGATTTGGGGGGAACCGCGGGATTTGGCGTAGATTTTTCTGCCCGGATTTGTTCGTCCATTTCGAAAAAATCGACGATTGCTGGTGGTATCCGCGTTCCTACGACATCGAAAAAGGCGACGATTTCATCACGGTACTCCACAGAGATCGGGTTTCGATCAGACCTCTGCCGGGCTCTCGGACCCCTTCGACGTGCCCATCGCGATCGAGGGTTCGGGTTTTGATCTTCCTTTGACTGAAGGCTGGATCCCCACCGCCTGGCTCCTCGGCGCCTTCCTCAACCCCGAGCTGCTTCGCGAGGAAGTTTGCTGGTCCCCCGCGCTCTCCCTGCGCTGCCTCGACCAGATGCTCATTCTCGGCGACTCCACGTTTCCCCTGTTTCTCCTTCTCGCCCTGTTCCGCCACTTCGCGTCCGCGTTGCTCGCGCTGAACACTGCCGAGGCGCTCGAGGAATTCATCGCCGATCTGCCCTGGCGACTCGACGCCTCCCAATCCTCCCAATCCTCCCAGCCTTCGGAGCTCTCGAAGCTCACGCAGCCTTCGGAGCTCGCACAGCTCGCGCAGCTCGCGCAGCTGGTCGAGTCTGCGACGATCCTGCACAAAATAGCCCCGATTTCGGTCATCCAAAGTCTCCGCTGCGTCGGCGCGCAATGCGCGTCGGGGCTTCTGCCCGACCAGCTCCCGGGCGACTCCGCGATTTGGCGGCGGCGGTACGACGCGTTCACGCAGCACATGCTGCTCCCGCGGGAATGGCAGCTCCCTCTGGAAGGGAACGAAGGCCGTCTGGAGCACGTGATGCTGCAATGGACGGGCGTGTATCGCGTGCTTTCCCGCGATTTGCCGCATCTGCCGTGTCCGTCAATGTCGGCGATCGCAGGTGCCTCGCTCTCTCTCTCTCCTATAACGCGCAGACTTGTCCGCGTGCGACTGTCTTCGCATCGACGCTCGCGAGGCCGTTTCGTCGCTCGACCGCCCGTCTCGCGCCCGCGACTTTTTCTTCCTCGACCTTCGCCGCTCCGCGGAGGGCCAGGGCGTTCTGCCCTCCGGACTGGCCGCAGAGGGCCCCGCGTGGCGCTCGCCCGTGCTGGTGGAGGGCGTGGTGGGCTGCCTGCGCGCGCTGAAACCCACCGTAGCTTCGCTCTTCCCGCCTCACCCAGAGCGTGATCGCCGTCGTCGTCAGCGGGCTCCCCGCGGATCTCGCCTCCGACCGGGAGTTTCTGCAGGACTGTCTGGCGTAGGATTCGATGGAGGCGTCGAGCGAAGCGTGTTGGCGCGAAGCGCGGTTTGCCGCGTGGCGGTGGTGGACGGCGGGTTCGCGGCGATCCACGAGTTTCTGCGCGCGAAGGACCGCATGGAGTGGCTGGTGGACCACAGCGAGCGCAGCTGCGCGGTCTGCTCGGCGTTCCGGCTGCAGCACACCGTGCAGCGAGTCCGCGAAAACGTCGCGTCCACCGCGCAGTCCGTCGCCGGCCGCGCCGTTCTCGCCTTCCAGAAGGTGCAGGAGTCCATCCGGAACGGGGAGTTGCCGCGGGAAACGTCGCTTCGGAAGGTGCAGGAAACCGCGCAGGCGGGATTGGGGAAACTGGGGGAAACGGGGCAGAGCTTGCTGTCGAAGGCGTGGTCGTGGACGAAGGAGCGTGGAAGCGAGTTGGCGAAGCGAGGTGAGGCGAAAGGGAGAGAATGGACGATAGTGGCCGCGGAGGAGGAGGATGTCAAGAATGATGTAGAGAAAGATGTGTTTACTGTGGAGAGCGAGGAGGAGGAGGACGTTCTGTTCGACCGGAAGTTCCGCGATCGGTCGCTTATCGCGCTGGCGAACGACATGAAGAAGGGACAGCGCTTCGAGGCGGATGTGTTCGCTAACGCGGGAGGACTGGTGTACGATGTGGAAAAGCTGGAAACATCAGACGATATGAATCGAGAAGGGCAAGCTGAAGAGAATGATGGTGGAGAGAAGGTTTTCCATGTGATGATATTCGGAAGCAGGGTTCTTGTGTATTTCCAGGAAGATAGTGGCCACTCCGTGGTGAAATATAACCTGGATGGACTGAACATCAAGAAGATGACGCTGAAGAAGGACGATAAGTCGGTGATCACGCTTTACTTCGTTGGTGAAACGGATTCAGTGTTCTTCCTCCGTTTGAAACTGGCGAATGCTTCCGATTTTCTTGAAGATGTTCAAATTATGATTGAAGATAACGCCAATTAAGTTGTGCTGTGTTTGTTTACGGAATCAATGCGAAATTGGATGAAACGTGCGAACAGTCGAAAATAGCCCGGATTTTTGACATTCAAGGTAGAAACGCTTGCTTTTTAGTGTTACCTTCAATCCTCTAGAAAATGCAAGCTAGATTTAGAGGTCTAACGAACTTGGTGCATTATGCAAAATATGTTGTTTGCCCTCGTGTGGGTTTGCGAGTTTTCTCTACAGAAGCTTCTCCTTCCCAAGATGTCTACGAACATATTAGCAATATGAAGACGAAGGATCTTTTCCAATTCGAGCCCTTCAACAACGAGGATCTCCTGGTAAGTGGTTTTGGCGAGTCATAGGAGGCTAATAAATAGGAATTCCCACGGACAAAGGCCGGAAGAGACTATTCCCTTAATTGGGCACTGGCGAACGAGTATTTCACTGTTTGGGGAAATGCTTACAGAAACCCTTCCATCGATATTCTGGAGAGAGACAGTCACGGAGAGGTGGATCGTGATGGCAACACAACTTGCACTCGTCACTATTTGCCCTCCTCTGAAGTGGCTGTGAAATCTGGCGATTTTGAAGATATCAGTGACTCTGTATGCCCTCCATGCGTCTTTCGCTGACTCACAGGTTAAAGATTTTCTGTCCCAGGTCCCCAATCTCTACGTGGAAGATGCTGCCGTCTGCTCGGGTCGTTGCGCGGAGCTCCGTATCCGTTCTGTGACCAACGACGCCGTTACCGCTATGGCTCTAAAGAACCTCTTCGTAATGAGCATCTTTCTCTCTTCACGATAGCACCGCATGCCTCTGCGCGACCCCATGACGCCGCACCCTCTCAGCGTGATCGTCGCTCGCGGCATGCCGGAGAGTTTCACGGCGATCGGGACGGATCCTCACTCGAAGTCTCTGACGGTGATCGCGACGGGCAACACGCCGATCGACCGGATTGTCGCCGAGGTGGCCAAGGCTGCGGCCAAGCAGATGGACGCTGCGCGCGGCACGTTCGAGGTGGAGATCCCCGAAACGGAGCCTGGCAAGGGTCCCACGAAGCAGGTGAAGAAGGGCCCCGTGCTGCAGAGCGTCGTGGGCGCCGCGGTGGTGCAGAACCCCGCGGGGGAGACCGTGATGATCTGCGGAATCCCGGAAGAGGCGAAGAACGCGGCGATGAAGGCGGGGAAGCTGTAGGAGAAGGAGGAGGGCGCGATGGGTAGGTTCTGCGGAAGCAACGCGGTGCTGACGAAGGACGGAGTGAGCCGCGTGTTCGCGGGCGAAGCGGTGAAGGCGGGGGCCGCGCCGGTGAGCGGAAGCATGATCGTGAATGGCGAGGCGTTCGTGCCGATCGCTGGAGATAACCTGCTGTCGTTCCCGTCGAAGGTGGTGTTCGTGGAGGAGAATGGAAAGCCGGTGCAGAGCGAGGACGTCGCCAAGATGCTGGGCGCGTATTGCTGCTGCGAGGACACGGCGAAGTTCGCGGCGGAGCTGCTGCAGAAGCAGGGCGCGGAGTTCGTGTGTGTGGACGCTGCCTCGGTTGGATCGCTCTTTTAATAATTCGTTCGGATGGTGGAGTGTTTGTTGGAGCAATTGGGGAGATGTGTGGGAGGGAAGGTGGCCACACTGGGAGGTATGTGGTTTCCATGGAAGACGAAGGCGACATGCACCGAAGAAGAAAAAGAAAAGAAAGAGTGTGCCTTCAACAAAAGAAAAGCGTGGTCTCGATAGACAAAGAACGTGACTTTTAGAAAAGAGGAATACTGATACAAAAAAGGATTCATTTGGAAAACAAAAAGGGGTATAGTAAAAAAACGTAGAATAAAAGTGACTTAAAACCACTATATTTTAATCTTTTGTTACAGGTTTGTCTTCTTCTTTCTTAGGAATATCGTTACCACACTGCGGACTTGCAAAATTACAACACATGATAGGGTGATAAATCAACTGAGCGGTACAAATATCATTCTTCATACCACTAAACTGCATAAAAGGCTTGATACAAATCCATTTCGAGCATGGAACAACACTTTCATGCGGAGTAGAGTCAAGCGGAGTGTTAGTATAAGATGCATAAGTAGTTTGGCTTCCATCTTCGACAGGAGAGGTAGTAGTTACCGGGGAAAAATTTGAAGTTGAACTGCCCTCCTGGCTTCTTGCCATTTGCTCCGCCTTTTTCAGCTTTTTAAACCGGTTCACTAGAATTAAAGCCTCCCACACACCGCCTACAATGGTACCTCCTCCGCTGCGAACTCCGACAACGATCACATATTACACAAAAGTTTGTCTTCGATTTGTTGAGAAAACATTGTAGTGGCTTACTAGCAAAGCATTGCCTGCACTTCCGGGTTTGACTAATCAAGCTCTCCTTCAGGGGAAGCTCTACGATAGGCATAACACAATAAATTTATAATGGGAACGAATTTTATCCCCCACTTTATGATTCTTAATTATCAAGAACCACTTTTCAAGTGATTAATCTATGTTTCTCCACAAACAGGCCAGTAACCTCTAAAATAAAACACTTTTTCTGGAGAAGTCTTAGGCTCGGAACCTTCTTCCTTTTCATCAGGCACCACAGGCACATCGATAGTAATCTTTCCAATCGGGCTAATAAGTCCCATAGCAATAGGCACTAACAGACAAGAAGCAATCACTGCAAATTCTACGCTTCATACTTCGACCCAATTCGTACCAGTGAAGATTATTCCTTTCAATGGAGTGAAGAACACCATGTTTCGCTTTTCAAACAACGAAACCAACCAAAGTGGAACCGTTACATTAGCCAGAGACAATAAAGCACGCGAACCAGCCACATAGCAGGTTCCTTCGATTCCTGCGCGTTTGTTTTTGCCTAAAACGACTCCATTCTGTGAGAAGATCGTGTTTCCCTCCCTAAATGAAAGACAAAGAGTTGATCAACAGGAGATGGTTACGACGACTCCAGAATAGACCGATAATACTCGGTACCGCGACCGTACAAGTGCTAGTGAGGTAGTAGCGGAAGGAGCGATGGGGAACTTTGTGAATTCTCTGAGTGTTACACGATAAGAGGTAAAGAGAAAACGGTGGCAATAAGAGTGGAAACAGCGCCCAAAACGACTGCTTCTCCTAATTGAAGGAGCATTTGTTTCTAGGGGAGAGCGGAAAAGGGTATCATACAGTAGGAGTCTCGTATCTATACAAAGGAGAATACGTGTAATTCAGATCCTGGAGAAAGTACTGAATACCGGTGGAATAAATAAAGAATCTCCCAAACAAGTTCTACAACTATCTAAAAAGACATATAACTACTTGGCAGGCAGCACGATAAGCGAAGTAGGCAAATGCTTGAGTTGCCATCGGAAAATGACTGTATCGGAATAAGCGCTGATCCCAAGTTTCAGGTTCTCCATTCCATCGAGGCAAATAGGTCCAATTCATATAGGAGATGCGCATCGACTTGAGGACATTGGATCTGAGCTTGTCCCACTTTGAAACTTGCTTTTGTTGAGGAGTAGGCTCCACTTCCGGTTCTTCACTCATCACCCTATCAAACTATGAACAATAAGGCAAAAAGAGAAATGTGGAAAGGATGGATATAATGTTATTTGAATCATCTGGTGATGTTTACAGGTAGTTCACTCCATTCCGCTCATTCCTCAGTCAAACTAGGACGGATTCTTTACAGATGGACTCAGAATCGACCATCCACTACTCTCTATCTATATATTCCATCACGTTTTACCCTCTCAATTGCTCTCTACACTCCCCATCCTTCGGTCTTTTTCAACAAACATCCAAGAAAACTCCCACATCAACCCGATTAACCTCCTCTTCCTCCTCCTCCTCTTCCTCCTCTTCAGTCTCCTTCCCCTTCTCTTTCTTCTTCTCTTTCTCCTCTTCCTTCTATCCCTCACTCTCCTTCTTCCCTCGCCTACTCGCTTCCTCCGTTCCTCCAATTCCTTCTCCACTTCCTCGCGCACCGGATCGAAATACCGATGCGCCATCGCTTCCTTCGCCGTCAGCCGTTCCTACCGCTCACCTTTCTCTCCCTTCTTCCTACCGCATGATCATACACCAGCGTCTTGTCCAGATAGTCGTACAGCTCTTCGCTGATGAATTTCCGCGTCGTCTCGTTCTCAAATTCGCGCCAGGATCGCTTTTCGTAGCGACCCAAGATCTGCAGAGTCTCGCGATCGAGGCGAAGCTGGTACTTGGCGATGTACCGATCGAGGTCTTCGCTGCCCATCACTTCCGCGATGCGACGCAGCTGATCGTAGTTGTCTTTCCCGCGGAAAAAGGGAGTGCGGTTGAACACGATGCCGAGAAGCATGCACGACAGAGACCAGATATCCAGAGAATAGTCGTATTCCTATCGATTGAAAGGGGGAAACGTGGAAACTGTGTCGTTGGTGAGAAGTTCGGGTCCTTTGTAGTGGCGTGTACTGACACGGACGTTGTATCGCTCATCTAGATGAAAGAGAACGAAGAGACGGACGAGGCATGTAATAATCGGCGAGGCCCCAGTCGATGATGTAAACTTCCTTCGTGATGCAGTCGATTAACACGTTCTGCGGTTTGATGTCGCGGTGCATGATGCCATGGCTGTGAGCATAGTCAAGGCCCTGCGATAGAGAGGAAACGAGATTCGTACGACGAGAATTTTGTAGAAATAGTATCGAAGATCATGATCCGAAAGCTGCGGATAAAACTCCTATGAAATATGCAATCTCTCAGGGCCATACGCGGAAATCCTTTGTCTCCACCCACTTCGTAACAATACTCGGAGCATTTGTCTCGGGATTCATCACCATGCCCAGTAGCTATATGTTACTCAAAGACTACCATTCCTACTGGAATAATGTAGGGTCCATCACTCAACTGCTGCATAATCTTGACTTCTCTAAATCTGAGAAAACCCATGGATCCTTTACCTTCGGATCTTCTTCTTGCGAACAGGCTTGAGGTATTTGATGCTAACAGGCTCACCGGTCTTCATGTCGATAGCTTTGAAAACCTCGCTGTACTTTCCTCTCCCCACCTTCCGAATGATCTGATATCTCTCAGGAGATCTGTATGCATTAACGGAACACAGAAAAAACTAACTGCCAAGAGATCGTCAGCGAATCATAATTGGCATACCCCTCCGGCATGTCGCTGATGACATCTGCATATACACGCGAGACGCTCATCTCCTAACGAAAAAAGTGTCATCTCTGAAACAAACAGCAATACTGTAACAATTCACGAATCTCATCCACCGTCAACTTCACAGCCGTTGCATTCTGGAAATCGAGCGTGCTTTGGATCAGCTGTTCTTTCTTCTGCTGCAGTTTGATTATTTTTTCCTCGATGGAATCTTCAATAATGAGCCGAAACACCTTCACTTTCCGTTTCTGCCCGATCCGAAACACGCGATTAATCGCCTGGTTTTCCACTGCTTCATTCCACCACGGATCGCACATAAACACCGTATTTGCCGACGTCAGATTGAGTCCCACCCCTCCAGCTCGCAGCGAGATCAACATGATTCGTGGAAACTCACCGTCCGTTTCCACTTTCTGCCGTTTTTTGGCGGCAATCGGCGTCGAGGCGCCTCGTTTCCGCGTCGACTCCCAGTCCTCGCTGATCTCCTGCATGAGCTCGCTGTCGTCCATTTCCTGCTCGAACACGGCGTTTCCCCGTTCGAATTCTTCGAGAATTCGCTCTCGCTCCTGCTTGCTGAGCGATCCGTCGAACTGAACGAAGCGCATTCCCTCCCGTTTCAGCGCGATCTACTCGCAACCCCTTCGAAAATCGAACTCCGATGTCGTTCAGCATCTCGACCCACTGACTGAAGATGAGAATGTTCCCGAACTGAAGGGAGGCGGCGTTGCGATCGGCTCGAAACGAATCCCAAATGGAGCGAAGCGAGGCGAGAAGGAAATCGATTTTGGTGCTGGAATGCCACATTTGCTCGGCGTTGAAGTCCACTTTGGCGTATTCGAATAAGTGATAATCGGTGCGAACGAGGTCTTGACGTGTGTTGCGACAGCGACACGTGGGACAAGCGATGGGATACTTGGGCGTTAGTATGCAATGAAAGAAGGAGGTACGCCGGTTTGCTTGGCCATGAGGTCGATGCAGGACTCGCAGAAAACGTGGAAACATTTCGTGAGAACGGGGTGAATGCCGATGGGATCGCAGCAGATCGGGCAAATCTGCTGGCCAATGTTCTTTTCTTTCTCCAATTCGCGGATCACCGAGGTAGCGTACGCGTCCGCTGTGTCTTTCTTGCGAAACGCAGACTCGTAGATCTTTGTGATCATGTCTTGCGTAAGAGCAAGCTCCAAATCTTCTTCTTCTTGGCGTTTTAACAGGCCTCGAGCGCGTGATAAGAGAAGAAACGGGTGATCGCAGGCCTGGCGCAGCGAGAGAAGCAATGAAAGAATGCGAGCGTATTGACGCGTTGCGTTGCCTTGGACGAGATATTCGTTGAACATGGTTCTCGTTTTCAGGAGCAATTGCGAGTAGAATTGGCGCTCTTTCGGCGAGAATTTCAACTAGCGTGGAACGGAATCGATGGAAGTACGTGAACGAGCTCGACGTCTTTTTCGGGGAGAGATACGATGGGGTTTCCTTGTCGATCGCGCGACTTGTAGGTTCGGCGCAGCATGATGAGGGACAGAGGATACTACGAGGATGAGAAACGCAACGAAAACGAAACCCGCAGTCGATTGAGATTGGTGTTCAAATCGATGTCCATGTTGATGTGAATGTCCTTCTTCGCGTCCTTCCCTGCCGATCCATTCAATGGATTCAACGAGTTCGATTGATTCAACGAGTTCGATTGATTCGACGAGTTCGATTGATTCGATTGATTCGATCCACTCTGAAACACCTTTTTCTTCTCTTCTCCATTGTTGATGATGTTGTCCCACACGTTTTTCTACACTTACCTTCCATCGCTTTCCCTACATAACACCACGGCTCGTAGCGCAGAAAGCGGAACAACGAATAGAGATCGCCCACTGTGTTTTGCAGAGGCGTACCGGAGAGAACCCAGTGAATCTCCGAGCGAAGCGCTAAAACGGCTTTGTGGACGAGCGTTCTGCAATCCAAACCAAGTGAAAATGCTACTTATCGTTCTTTATGATGTGTCCTTCGTCCAAAATAATTCGCTTCCATCGCGTGCCATAGAGATAAGAATCCCCATTTCGAGCGAACGCTGCAGCACAAGTGTCGTACGTCGTGAGAACCACGTTGTAATTCAGAAAGCTTTGCAGCTTCCCGGGATATCGCCCGACACACAATTCGAACAGTGTTCCGTTGTGGATCACGCAGCAGCGAAGCGCATCGGACTCCAAATGATTCACGATTTCATTCTGCCAGAGATAAAGAAGCGAGAGAGGGCAGACGATGAGCGAGCCGCCTTCGAATCGAACGGGAATCTCGAGGTTCGAGAGAACGTCCTTTTCCACTTCTTTCGTAGTAGGACGGATCGTTTCTCGGTCCTTTCCGCGATTCAGGAGAAGGAGAGAGAGCATGGTGATGGTTTTGCCGAGACCCATTTCGTCCGCGATGATGCCTCCCTTCATTTTGTACAAGTGCGAAGGGTCTTCGAGCGACGCCAGACGAAACAAGGGGCAGAAATAGAACGTTGTTTTGTCGGTAAAGAAGTGTCTCTCCCACATTCCATTGTCATCGGCGTCTCGTTCTTCGTGGAGCACGTGCTTTCCCTGCTCGCGCTGTACCATCCAAAACAACGCTTGCAGTTGATACTCTCGCAGCACGATGCCGTGCAGTCCCTGAAACGAAGAAACGGTCGGTAGATTCTAGGAATCGAGCGAAAATCAAACCAGCCACGGCATTGTATTCATCGTTACTCACTAAAGCCACTTCAGATGGCTCCGTTTTCTGTGGAGATTCACGCTTTCGTTGCTCTTCGAGTCGCTGTCGGATCCCGCTAATCATCCCCGTCGAATTTTCTGAGTGCAAAATCTCCACAGTCGCCTTCTTCTTCTTCTCTGCCTCAACGATCTCTCTATAATCTTGAGTGAGATTATTTCTTCGCGTACAGGTCGGGGAAAGCGGTTTGCATCGAGCTGGTGACGGAGGACGCATACGAATCGACATGATTCTGCTTTTGCCCCTCGGTCGCGTAGACACTGAAGTACAAAACATCTATATATATAAATCGTGAAAGTTTGGGGATGTACAATAGACGCTCTCTGTAAGAATATCGCTAAACAGAGTTTGGCTCCCAGTGGGATACGTTTTCTTGAGGATCGAAGAGGGCGACAAAGGGAACTGCTTTATGTATTGGAACATATCCGAAAAAGCGGTTTGTTTGATAGTAACGTCGAGGAGAAGCTACAGTTAGCGCATTCAACGGCTGCTACGGTGATTGGCGCAAAGATCCGCAGAGGAGAAGGACAGTTGGCAACCATACAACGAACCGAGATGAGATTGGCTTAGTGTGAAGAAAACAAAACTTTCAAGATTCACAAACAAGGATATTTCTAACAGAAGCGCCAGATCACTCCCGATCTTGTTGTCAATTCTTCCAAAATACCACTACAGTAAAATAGGAGTATCATAACGCTACTCGTTGGTTTTCCTTCGGACCTGTTTGGATGTACAAACGACAGCGCGCAGGGAGTGACTCGTTTACATTACGAGTTACAATTTGTGCCTTTTTCCTTGACACTCGCACCTTACATTCTGGTTCCAGACACAGACTTGTACCCACAGTAACGCCAGAGCCAGAAGACTCTGTAGAAATCGCTTCAACGAGGAACGAAGGAAGATCCTTCTCCCATCCTGCCTCAATCAGAGTCGGAGGCGTCGTAATCTCCGGCTCTATTATTTCTATGTTCTTTTTACATTCCTTTTGCTTTGACTGAATCACCTCTAGTTCGCCATCGAAAAAGCTGCACCTCAATCGAACAATAATTCCAATACCCACAAATCGCTGAATCGCAGTCCCATGCATGTTTTTCTAGTAACAATCTGCTAGAGCTCCTGGGAATGCAGCAAACATCACTCACCTTTTGAATTCTCTCATCCACAGATAATGGAGGCATGCCAATAATAGCATAAATGTATTCACGATGTTGCTTTTCGTACGCGATAAACCACCTTAAAGTAGAATCGCGTGTGTATATATATTATTGTTTCGATGGATGTCTCATTTTTCTTTGAGGGACAGAAAAGAAGCATTCTAGTGGACTCTCCGATTACACTGGAGAAAATCTATCAAGCTGCACTTGTAAGTCATTAGGGAAGTAAATAAGGGTGTAGGAGGAATTTCATATTCCAATTGTTGAGCAACAGGTTATTTTTAATAATGAAGAGTTGAACGATGAGTGTGATCTAACTTCGTTGGATTTTAGTGGAAAGACGATTTTTATTTATCGGACGGCTTTGTTACATATTTTTATGGACAATGTTACATTTGACATCCGTTTTTGCCTTGACTTTGCAGGATCTGTGTTCTCTGACTTTATTCATAATGTAAGTGTTTGGTAATGCAAAGAATCAGTAGATCTTACTCTCGAACGATTGCGAAATTGCTTCTGACTTTGTGCTTATGGCTAATAACCGCCCCATCCTTCCGGATCGGACTCTAAAGGAGCAGGGAATTCTTAACGACGACGAAGTTCATATTTTACAGCCGGATGAGAACGGCTGTGAGAATAGTGATATTGAAGAAGAGTTTCTAATTGTGCATAGCGTATTGTGATGGTCGTTATTGCTGTTTTGGAATTTCTGCAATGACTATTCTATATATTAATTGGAGTGTTTGTTAATTACATGTTTTGAAATGAGACTTTTTGGCTGTGGATATAGAAAAGGGAATGTGATTGTTAGTTGTGTCTTATTGAGCATAACAAATAGTTTCTATCTGTAAAAAAGTCGCACCGTTTCTGTTTTGGTCCTTCCTCATTCCTATTATTGATTCTTCTTTTCTTCGCATCAATTCTGTTTTATAATTTGTTCAAGTACGTTACTTTCCTTCATTTCAGTGTAGGGCGTACAATAATCCCTACCAGAAAATGGTTCTGACTGTACTTTGGATGCAACTCACAATAAACACGTTCCTTCTAGGAATTTCTGATCCTGGGTACATTCTGGAAGGAGATGACATAGATTGCGAAAGCTCGAAGTTTTGCAGTAAGAAGTTGTTTCAAGTTGGTAATTAGTGAATTGTAATATGAACGTACCCGAAGATGCCTACCACTGCACGCAATGCAACATTTGTGTTTCGGACTACGATCACCATTGTAACAGTGTTTGGATTCTCTAAGTTGTAGGTGTGTGGATAGGGAAGTGCATTGGGAGGAACAACATGCTTCAGTTTAGCCGCTTCACCCTGTCTTTGGTGATTTCATTTTTCTATTTGTCGTTCTGCCAGGCTCTGACGTTCTTTAATGTGTTTAGCATTTCGGTTTGGATTGTTTGATTTATCAAATTCGGCTTATTTTTTGTTTTTCATAAAGAGCAATGCAAATAGAATCTATGGAGTATGAGGAGAGCCCTACTACAAAGTACGTAACCGGAATAGAGTTGAATAATAGGGAGTACTTGATCCAGAAGAGTAAAACCGAGAAGCTGAACGTAGGGTATGCCGCTTATCTCTAAATGCAAAGAAATATTCCTGCTGCCTTGGGTGCTATAACATTAAGTCGTATGAGCAGTTTTTGAGCGGACCGGATGTAGAATGCGAGAAATCTATTTCACATAGCTTGACGAATTGAATCGGCTTATTTCTGTTTCGAAAATGAAAGCTGATCCCGATTCTACCTATACAAAGGAAAGTTTGCTGACTCTTTATAAAAACGCTTTCCCTGACCTTCCGAATCCTCCGATGAACGGGAAAGAGTGGAAGGATCTTGGTTTTCAAGTGTGTTTTTTTGTCCCTCTTGATCATTAGAGTGAAAATCCTTATTCTGATTTGAGAAGTGGCGGAAAGCTGTCTCTAGAGAACATTGTTTATTTCAGTGACCACTATCAAGCTATGTTTGCTGTACGCTATGCCACTGAAATGTACCTGTAGAAAATGGTAAAGGAGGCTCACGACTATCCGTTTGTTGCGTCTGCCATTAACCTTACGACATTGCTTTTGATTCATCTCCGTATCTCTACTCAATTCACGTTCTGTCCGTGCTGTGGCACTTCGTTCAAGCAAGAGAAGCGAGTGCCCGCGAAGGAGATGGTTGCGTTTGCGAGCTTGCTGCAAGATTGTTCCGGTGAAACCGTGTTTAACGAGCTCTATTCTCTGAGCGTAATGCTGATGGACCATAACTACTGGAAACATGTAGAGACGGAGCCTACATTCACCATTTTGGAGTTCCGAAAGGTGTTCGTTGACACCAAGGAGCAGATTATGGCCATCTTGAGGAAGAGCCCAAGGACTATTACCGATGTATTTGACATTGCGAAGGTGTATTTGGATAAGTAGAAAACCGTGCTATGTTTGTTGTTTAATTTCATTTGGAGGTGGAAGTGTGTGCGTGGAATTTGGATAGTCTGAAGCATTGTGGAGAGTGGGTGCTTCGCGTCTGTTTTACTTGCTTGTTTAGTTAGTTGGTGGGCAGTTTGAAATTGACAACTACTCATGTATTGAATCTTGGTATGCAGGAAGGGTGAATGTTTATTTTGAGTTTTCTATTGGTAGGGTTTTATAATTATAGAAGTGCCTCCCTCTATTTCTTCTAAGATATGAATGTGACGAAAATAGGTAAAATAAAAGTATGTATTAATATATATATATAATAAGCACAACAGTCCCACTGTATACTACTCGGTTTGTAAAATAACCCAAATCATCAAAATCGAATTTCTAAAATACTCTACCAGTGTAGATATCAACTTGCTTACCATTTCTACCAAACACGATATATTATAACAACATTAACCTTCATCAACAGTATTGGCGCACAATTACACAATCTTGACTCATAAAATAACGTCTTCCTTCTTCTATTGTTCCAATCACCCAAATAATACATAGTAAAAAAAGAAATAGTCAACCTACTCTAGTGTGCAGAAATACAGTCGTTTTTCATAGTTTTTCATTCGTAGCGTTTTCCTTGGAATGAATTCTACAATTATTCTCAAGGGAATTACTACCATCGTGTTTGCGTTTTGGTTTAGCGTTTTTTTGACGCACTCTGATCTGGTGTCTTTGAATAGGTCTGAGCCTTTTCGGTATTATACAAGTACTATTCGTAAACTCTCTAATGAGGAAGGCAAGTCTATACCAAAAGACTCTCATTCTGGTTTGTTGTGTATCAATTCTGTGACGTATAGGAAATACTAAGAAAATCGAAATCGATCGTAATAGCCAAAGTAGAATTATACCCCAGCTTTTCCAACTTGAAAAGAAAGGTACTCTATTTTGTATCCTTATAAAGAGAACCTAACAAAGCACCGAATACCAATGCTTCGAAGCAAGATCGTTTCGTAAGTCCGACCATTTCCACTGACATACCTTCTAATTTAACAAACAAATGGAGATGGAACGACACTGTTGGTACAAAACAGTTGATTGACGTTACGAGTAGACTATGATGTTCTCTCAAAGAGAGTATTGGAAAGATTATTGGGGAATGGACCCGATATGAAGGCTTTGTACATGGTCTATATTGTGGACAACACAGTTGGGTTTGCTAATCAATTTCGTGCTCTGAGTGGTGTTTTTTTGTTATCGCTTGTTTCTGGAAGGCGTCTTCGAAGTAAGCATGGTCCAATTCCATGACAACTAGTTAGATGGAACGACTACTTTGTGGTGATGAATAGTCCCTTCGCTTCCTTGCAATTCAACGAATCAGAACGTACCCTTTTTTTTAATTCCTTTTTATCCTTGCAGCAACCAGTGGCTATTTCAAGTGGTACAACTCGTTCCCTCGTGGCGTGTGCAACTCCACACAGTTCGCTTCCCACGACGTTGAGAAGATTTTCGGTCGTCGCAACGTGATGTTCCGCATCCTCACGGATCTCTCTTGTATTGCTCTCGAGAATCCCCAGTACCGTGCGGTTCTCCGCGATCTGGGCTTCGATGTTCCCGAGCAAACGGAGGCGAGGAACGACAATGTGAATTACGAATCCTATCTGCGGATTCGAAACCAGATCGCGCGGCTGCTGTTCACTCCGAATCCGGAGATTGTGTATCTGGCGGAGCAGAATTTGCAGGCCTGGAAGCAGCAACAGCAAGAGCAACATCTCGTGGGTATTCAACTCCGAACGGGGGGCTATGTCGCCTCGACGCACGAGTCGGAACGGTTTCTTTTCGTCTCGTCGCTGAGTCTTCTCTACGAGGAAGTGGAGCATTTGATGAAGAAGAATGGATGGAGCGCGCAAGACACGACGCTGTTTGTGAGCTCCGACTCGGGGATAATGATGGGGAACGTTCAGCAACATTATCAAAATCAGATGCGAGTGGTGAGGACGATCGGCTATCGACAGGGTCATTCCTCGCCCTACAAAAATAGTGGCAGACACCTTGTGTTTTTGAAGCGTGCGATTCTTGATCTTCTTTTACTGTCCAACTCGGATTATGTGCTGTATACTTATAAAAGCTCGTATGGGAAGTTGGCTATGAGGCTCTCGCAGAAACCTGCAAGAGCTCTCTGTCGTGAGGTTCACTGTACTCCTCTTGAAGGATAAAACGAATCGAAAAATATAATAATAAGAATAATTTTAAAAAGAAGAATAGTGCAGGAAAGAAGAATTTAGTGTTGATCAACTACTACTACAAGTACTGTTTGTCCACAAACACGACACAAGCAAGCAAACAAAGCCTACACGCGGTTGGTCGTCTTCACACCACCAGCGCCTGCCTTCAAGTTACGAGCTTTACGTTGGTTTCTTCCAGTTCCACGGATACGAATGTAGTAGCAAGTACCGAAAAGACCGACGATCAGGACAACACAGACGACAATAATAATGATCATAGTATAGTTAGCCGCTTCGGTCTCAACAGAGATAGAAATGGTGCAAGTGGCATCTCCTCTTCGGTTACGGGCAATAATTTCATAATCAGTCTTCTCCTGCAGAGCAGAAGGAGTACCCGAAATGGCTCCCGTAGATTTATCCAAGAACAGACCAGCAGGCAACGTCTTACCAATATCGTGATCCTTGAGCAAGAATTCGCACTGATAGCAGTTGACAAAAGGAGTTACAACAGTCATGTTCTTGTTCAACTCCAACACCATCTCGCTAGGTCTGTATTCAAAAGCAGTAGGGATGAGAGGAATGCACTTGTCATCCAGAACCCACTTTCCACCTGTACATTTATATTCACGTCTACCCTCGGAATAATCAGGGCAACCTTTAGGATCGACATAAACATTTCCTTCCTGGCCGGAAGAAGGAACCTCCGTGGTAGGAGCACATTGCTGAGCAAGGACTATCAATAACCCAACTATCCTAAAACCTACTTGCACCAAAAAGTAAAACAAATGCGATCATAGAGCGCATAATTCTTCTTTTCTAATTGAAACCGTAAAAATGAATGTGACATCCAGGTATTATAAATGGCACGTAAAAATCAGAGGCATCCAAAATGAACCAGAATTAATTGGATAATTTATTCTAATCATCCAATTAAAAGGCGCACTACTTTAAATGTCATGACATTCTCCTTATAAACCGTCCTTAATAATCGGAGATTCAATCGAGATTAATTGTGGATATATCATTACTTTTCAACATTTTACGGACTATTAACAAGCAACTTGAATGATTACGTACTTAGATCGTCCATATTGGAGTAGTATCCATTTTTAGTAATCTGCAAATCGTATTTAGCCTTTATTTCTCATATATCATATAATCGTATTGAAGGCAGGATATCTGAGATAACCACATGAAAAGTAAATTACAATTTTCAACATGGTCAACGTACAACTCAAGTACTTGTCCATCTCTCCACTATTATTGACTTGTGTGAGATGCATGTATTCCTGTGGAAGGTAAATCGTAAAAACTTACACCTTACACTCAATCATTCACTTCTCAGTCGTGAGAACAGTCGTTCAGTATAGCTCTGCATAAAATGGATTATTTACTATTTCGAAATGAGGGGGAGTTATTATTTGGTTTTGGCTTTTGTTTGCGTGTACTCGGTACTCTTTGGTAGATTTTTGGGTTCGAATATTAACTTAGGTGTTAATTGGAATCGTACATTAACTCTACTCCATAACGATAGTCTTATTGTTTCGTCAACGAATGGTACAGTTTCAAGTATGTTATTTTTCTAGATAATAACGTAGCATTTTCGGTGAAGCATGCGTGGGCTACGCAGTCTGTACAAGTGAACTATAATGATATCCGCTCAATCGTATTATCGAAAATTAATTTCGTGATGTTTTTAGGGAAATCCTACACAAGTGAAGAAGGCGAAAAAAACGTATGGAGTTCAAATCGATCTAATCAAGACGCACTCATTTCTCGTTGATTCGACGAAGGGAAATGTGGAGTCCAAGAGATCTCGTTTTGAGAACCCCATCGTGAAGGAACTGACAACGAGAGGTCTCCGCTGGATGAGGGTCCCCAACAACTATACGTTGCATAACCCACCTCCGTATGGCAAGCATTACCGTTTAGTTTTTGCCCTTACAGCCGAATATCCGGAATCGACTGTAAGAGAAAATACGTCTCGTGAGGCGTAGACAGTTGTGAATCGCAAAGAGATCAACACCCTGATTTCCCTTGCGCTTCTGATGAACAGCTACGATTTGTACCCGGTCATTTTCACAATCTCAAAGCCTTTGATCCAGCTGGCGCAATATCTCGGTCTTGGCTACTATTATGGCTACGTGTTTTGAATCGTTCGGGCTGTGAAGCATAGTCACAACTCCTTCTTTTACCCTTATGTGAGTTTCATCATGCAGTCCATTCGCCGGGATATTTCGGCCGACTACTACGGCATTATTAACAGCGATATTCTCATCAGCGACCGCATTTTTCTCGTGATGGACCAAATCGACGCGATGGTGCAACGCGGAACCTTGAAGCCGATCGTAGTCGAGAGGACGCTGCTGATTGGTAGAGAGGATTCGCGGGCATCGTGCGCGACATTCACTCGGTCGATCTGCTGACGCCTGCAACGGAGCAGTCGGGACTGTCGCTTACTGCGTATCGGCGACTCATCAAGTCGTTAATCCGGTCGAATAACCCAAGTCGCAACTATTGCAGCGCTGTAGGGAAGGAAAGAAGCGATGATGCGCAGGATTACTTTGTGTTTTCGCGGTCCACGCCCTTGTCTGTGTTCGGAGACTTCGTGCTCGGCCGAAACTACATCGATAATTACTTGCTGTCGCGACTCGGAGCCTGCAACGGATCGCTGGTCGATACGACGTTTGCTTGTCTGCGTTGGGAGGAGGGAGTGAGGAATAGTGCCTGCGTTCCATCAGGGATATGAAACGAGCATTTCGAAGATTCGAGACAGCTTTGCGAGCGAGGAGGACATGAATTTCAATTTAAGGTTGATGAAAAGCAACAATATTACAAAGGGATGTTTGTACCGAAGTGCTGAGATCGGTTTGTGTAGGAATGGAAGTCGTGGTTTCCTCTAGACTATCATAATGCTTCGTTCAAAGATTTCAGGTGGGAGAAAAGAAGGGAACGGGGTGGACAGATATTTCTCGATATGAAGCATTCATTAGAACGTTATACAAAAAGTTAGTTTTGGCTCTGTTTTTTATTTAATCACAAATGAACAATGCCATTCGCTCCTATTTCTCTGGTAGGCAGTTTTGACTTCAATTAAAAGAAGGGAAGAGAAAACGTTTTAAGGATGGTAAATTTGATTTAGATCTAACGTACATTACGGACAGGTATGAATCATGTCTTTTCTCGTGAGTTGTCTAGGATTATCGCTATGGGATATCCTTCAACTCGATTCGAGAGTCTCTTTCGCAACAGCATTTCGGACGTAGGATATGATTGATGTGTCGATGAGTTTTGTTTAAATGCTTACACATTCTTCAGGTAGCCAAGTTTTTGAATAAGAAACATGGAAACCACTATCTCGTGATTAATCTCAGTGATCGAACCTATGACTACTCTCTCTTTGGGAACCGGGTGATCTGTTCAGGATATCCAGATCACCACTCTCCAACGTTGAGCATGATGTGGTCTCTTTATTCCATTATCGACTTTTGGCTGTCCCTGGATAAGGAAAACGTTATTGCTGTCCACTGCTTAGCTGGAAAGGGACGGACTGGGACGGTGATCGTGTGTACTTTGCTGATGCAGGGTTTTTTCAACAACCTGAAGCATCTGTCTATTATGAGTGTGATTAATGCGGCGATCAACTATTTTCACGATAAACGGGGAGATGGAGTTGAAAATCCCGATCAAATCCGGTTTATCTACCAATTCTTGGAGTCCATGGACACGATGGGCTCGGACATGTCGCTGCTGTCGAGTTTATCTCTGCAGCCGTCTGTTTTTATCTCCCATCTGATCTTGTACAACCTTCCCGTTGGAGAGGGCGGCATCTTGACGCCTCGTCTCTGCGTCTATTTAAAGAAGCAGAACACGAGGAGCATCGTATTCAATTCGGTTTGGAATCGGACGCACGTTCAGCACATCGCGTCGATTCAGCACGCTTTTGTCATCCCGGTAGCTCGCAGCGCGCTTCTCTGAGCATTCTAGATTCTGCAGACCTTCTCGGGGGATCTTCTCTTCGTTTTCTACAGCGGGGAGCAGCCACTGTTCCACTTCTCGGTATCAACGCTGCTGCTTCCGCGCGGTTCGCTGCGAAAACCGTCCTCGATGTACCTGAACTACCGATGCATTTCCGTCGAATCGGATTGCGCGACTCCCTTCACGATGTCCTTCGCCTCCCAGCTGCTCTGCTTCAACCCCAAGAAGGTGAGGAGCGCGGAGAGCTCCGCTCTGGACTGCACGGCTCTGGACCACATCGCGCAGCGAGCCATCGTGGACGAGAGGATTCGGCGCAGCTCCACGCTGCTCTCCTTCCCTTCCAGCAGCATGTCTTCGAGTACCACGACCACCGATGCGTCGCCCGCCTTGCTGAGCTCGGCGTCGTCGGACATTCCGCATCTCTGGAAGGGGGCGCAGGAGCCTGGGAGCTCGACGAGGGGACTGCTGAACGACTCGAACATGGATTTTGAGATTGCTTTTCTGGAGAAGGACGCGAAGTCCAAACCGAAAGTCGATGCAACAAACCCCGAGCCCAAGTCGCGATCTCAATCGGAAATCAAGTCCGATTCGAAGCAGTCGCAAAGCCTGAACGCAGAGACTTCGACAAACCCACCCAGCGAAACGGGGCTTGATTTAGATATCCAGTTGGATCCCGAGTTGAATTCTGAGTTGAATTCTGAGTTGAATTCTGAGTTGGATTCTGAGTTGGATTCTGAGTTGAATTCTGAGTTGGACACGAACGATGACTCCGTTTCCTCGAAGGAACTTTTGAGATCAAAAAGTGCCCAGCCCTCCCCCGTGGAAGAGACGGAGGAGAAGGTGACGCAGAAGCTCGTTCCGTCGCAACTGTCGATCCGACTGTCATCCGATCAATTACCTTCAAAGCAAACGATTCGGAAGCGAAGTCATTCCTTTAGCGATGATTTTTCGTCGTGTTCCACCGATTTTTCACGCTTTTCGCTGGCGTACGAAACGGATTTGCTAGGCGAATCCTACGCGATCAACGTGCAGCTGCCTCCACCGCATCGCTCTCACAAATATAAAAGACGCGAGCTCACCGATGTGGAGAGAGAATGGCTCAACAAAGAGGGTATCCACGTTTCTCCGCTACTAGAGGATAGATCCACTGTTTGCGGACTGCCAGCCAATCGATAAAAGGATCGCGATTTCGCCCACACAACCGGACACGTCGCTCATCTCCGAGATCGTTTTCGCCTCGGCCTTGGGAAAGAAAAGCCCGAACGAGTCGCACATCGACGAGAAGGCGAGTCAGGAGATTCACTTTGCGTCGTCTCGCGTTTTAACGAAGCTGATCACGATGATTCATGATGGAGGCTCGTGGAAAACGCGATTCCTGGTTCTGACCGAGCAAAATTTGCTCATTATGAAGCACGCGGAGGACGATAGTGTGGCTCGAAAGATCGGGATTGACGAGATGAAATCCGCCGTTCTGTGTAACAATGCGAGCGTAGAATCATTGCATGGGCGAATGAGCGATAGGAACTGGGCTTCATCGTGTTTATCCCCACCACGGGAAAGGACGTGTACATCCAACTGCCAAGCTTCCAACTCGCCCAGCAGCTGATCGTCACGCTGCGACGGCTGAAAGACGAGCTGTTTCCGTCCATCATCCACTCCATGGTGTGGTCGCATGAAGACCTGGTTACTTGGCTTCTGTTTTTGTTTTGTCCGAGGAGAATGAACGAGGCCAAAGAGCTCTACTTGCTCCACAAGGACCATCTGTTTCAATGGATTATGAACGAGTTTAACATCAAGCGGGATCTGTGTGTTCTGTTTAGCACGGAAGGATTCGAAGAGGGAGTGGAGACGGCTGTGGTGGTTGACGAGGATCAGGTCGTTCCTCTAAAGCAATATCTCCAGAACACTCCTCCCTCAACGAGCGTTGTTTCCGAATCGGCCACCTTCATGGTGAGGAAGTTGAAGGAGTCGATGAGCAACGTTCTATTCGCTCGGTTAGTTCAAATCTCTACAATCGTGTATCCATCTCCTTATCCAGTGATTCGCTCTGTTTTTGAAAAGCATAGTGCTGACTGGGGTGTATTGTTCGACAAAAACCCGGTTGGGTGTTGTCAAGCCTTGCAACGTAGTGGCATCTTTATTCTGCGCAGTTACAGTAACCGTTCATTTCATTTGTGTGATGTTTGTGTAAAGAATCAAAATGATTAAATAGCATAATAGAGTTGAAATTGGAAATCAATAATTAAGATTCATTAATGATTCTCTGGAATGAATCAGAAATTAATTAATCTCCATTAATTCTGTATTATACATACAAAATTTTACAATTTCCTTTTCTTATTCAAGTGGTGTACAGTATAGAATTGCATTCCGTTTGTTGTTGTTCTTCCTCAATACTAATATGGTTCAAACACGAAATTGTGCAGAATTCTGAGTATTATTTGGTAATCATTGTAATTTATATAAATTTGTGGAGGAATCTAACACTTATGCGATTAATTCGAATCAAATAATAATTCACACTCTAATTAATCGCATTAATTCAATTCTATTATTTCATTTAGTTTTCAACTCATCATTCAACATTCATTTGAGTCTAAGACACAACAATAGAACGTAGAGTCACTTGTGTGTGTAGCGTACTAATACCTCTCTTCATTTTTGCATAACATATCATCATCTCTGCTCCTCTTCGATTCCAACTGCCAACCCCTATACTTCAAACCCGTAACAATTCCCTATAGACCCACATCTTCTAGATCCTCCATTTTGACCCACATTCAAATTGAGTAACATTCCTCATTTTTAACAATTCACAATGGTTGACCTTTTCGATGGGCGTTTCATTATCATAGAAACTTCAAATTCTTTGCCGTTATCCAGTAATTTTCCAAAATGAGAATAAAAACAATCTCTAGAACAAAGGAAGATTACGTTAAGGAGAGAGAGGGGGACATTGACAAAGTGTACCACAATTACGATCCCAAATATCACCCATTTCAGCAGCAAAGAGAGGTAAAATTGTTTGGAATGGTTATTAATCATTAGTATGTGCGTGCTCTGAATGCTGTGAAACTCGATAAGATTTTTGCTAAACCTTTTATTGGTTCCTTAACAGGACACTCTGACGGAGTTTGGTGTACTTGTACAAGCCCGAAAAGTCTAGTAGTGCATGTTTCCTTCGTTTTAGCTGTAGGTGCAATTTCTGTCGGGTGCTTGCGACGGAGAAATCCGCGTGTGGGATTTGCCCACGCAGAAAACTGTTTTTCACATTCAAGCTCATTCTCGCTTTGTTCGAGGCTTAGTTTGTGACCCTGCCGGGAAAACGTTTTATTCGTGCAGCGACGATGGTACGATCAAACGTTGGCGTTTGACCATGGACGTGGATACTGTTGACCATTGCTTGGAAGATTGAAATGTAGCAAGGAATCAAAGGGTCGGACTACAACCCCGAGCCGATCAACACATGGCACGGAAAGAATGAGTTCTAGTAGTATCGCATTTCGTAGTTCATTGTGTAGTTCGATCGATCACAGTTGGCAGGACGACACATTTGTGACCTGCAGCACCGTCATTAGTGTGTGGAGCCCGGAGCGCCAAGAGCCAATCCACGAGTTTTCCTACCAGACGGAGAATCTGTTAAAGGCCAAGTTTAACCCCGCCGAAGCGGGACTGCTCGCAGCCACGTCGAGCGAGCGAGGCGTTCTCCTCTATGATGTTCCGTCTCATGCGGCGGGGGTTGAGATGTAGGTCCGCGCGTCGTCCATTCTGCGCAAGGTGCAGATGAGCATGAATTCGAACGATATCGCGTGGAACCCGCGCGAGCCGATGAACTTCACAGTGGTACGAGAAGCGAGGATGGATGAGGCGAAGGCCAACGAGGACTATCACTTGTACACGTTCGACATGCGGAACTTAGCAACTCCGATGACCACACATACGGATCATGTGGGGGCTGTGATGTCCGTCGCGTACTCGAGCACTGGCCGGGAATTCTGCTCGGGAAGCTATGACCGAACGATCCGCATTTGGAATGTGTCGAGCAGTCGAAGTCGAGAAGTGTAAGGACTGGAATTTTGGTGTCTCATGATTCTAGATATCACACTTCGCGTATGCAACGCATCTTCTGCGTGAACTTCTCTGCGGACGGTCGATTCGTTATCTCCGGGAGCGATGATACCAATGTGCGAATATGGAAGGCGTATGCCTCGGCGCCGTTGTGTAGGCTCGAAAAAAGGTTTTGTTGGAATAATGAATAGATAAGCCGTCGAAGCGCGAAGAAGAGAAGCTGGATTATCAGAACAGCCTGAAAAAGAAGTATGCAGCGTTCCCTGAAATCCGCAAGATAGCAAGGTGAGTTGTGTTCGGTTCAGTCTATGGTGATGTAGACATCGACACTTACCGAAGGTGCTGAAGAAGATGAAAGATAAGGAGGAGAACAGAAAGAAGAAGGATAAGTCCGTGTTTAATGAAATGCAGTAGTTTTAGAATGCGAATAATTTGTGAAACAAACAAGAAAAGAAATGGAGGGCAACATGGATGCAACCTGACTTGCTTCCTTCGTTTGTTTTGCTTCGAGCTGACTAGCACCAGGACCCTGAAGATCCTTCATGCGCACGCCGGCGACTTCAAATAGTACTTTGTCGGTTTCTTCATCTACTTCGTCTTCCATGTCAGGCGATAGTTCAAATGCATCATCAGTGAGCGAAGACGTGAAATTGAACTATTCAAATGAAAACACTCGACAGAAAATACCTTCTCCAACTCTCTTGTGTAATCTCGCACAATACCCATCATTTCCTGGGCTGACATATCTCTAAACAGTTACAAAATCGCCAAAAGAGCCTACACTGACATATCTTTCAAAACGACAGTTCCTTTCTGAATAGCTAAAGCCTCGATCATTTTGGCTGTATCATTATTATCTTAACCAAACTCCCATACCCTTTTGCAATGCCATTTGAGTGAGAGTACTCTCGATGTTGGCCTTTACAGTATATAACTTCTCGATACCTTTTTGCGCCTGCAGATACGTTCTGCACTTAATTCTTATCACAGACTGAGGTGAACCCTACGACTCATCACAAGCAAGTACAGATTACCTTTTTCACCTCCAATTTAATACTTCTATCAATTCTCTTCATTTCATTCTCCAACTCTACAATTTATGCGTTGCTGCATAATTTCATACTGTGAATTTCCTTCAAAACAGTGTAACTGCTCTTTTTGATCTCCTTTTTCATGTCGGCATACTACCCATTATTGAATTACACAAAAAGTTGCCTTTTCATCAGGAGTGCGCTTATCCTTCGGTTGAAATAGTCCTTTAAACATATTAGTCACAAATTAAATATAAAAATGATCTTTTATACTGGTAATAAGTACAGTAATCTTTGATTGCTCGATTGAATCTTGATTATCATAACACTACTAATGAAGAATAGGTTCAGTTAGCATTCTTCATACCTCGGTGATGTTCGTGAATGTCTGGAAAGTATTTAGTACTTCCTATAATTTGGATCCAAAACCCAAAATCAATAACAAATAATGGGATTATACAATTGTTATAATAATTATATAGATATATTTTTGAATCTATGCAGAAGCACCTTGGCGCAGGGGAAGCGCGCAGGGCCCATAACCCTGAGGTCCGTAGATCGAAACTATGAGGTGCTAATTTATTCATTTTTCAAAATGATTTTCGTTTTTCAAAATTATCTTGTGAATCTGCTTTTTTGTTTATTTTATTTTGTGTACTAGGTGAAAATGCTCTAGATATGCGTATTCCAGCAACTCAAATGGAAAGAGTTGATAGGTTTGATCACCTTCTGCTTTTTCTTTGGGTGGCAATATCTATTGATTACTAGTTGATACTCCTTCTATTCTCTTCACATAGGGCGACTACTTTCAGGCTTTGCTAGAGTCGAAGTATATAAGTCAACATACTAGATAGAATAGAGGATATGGCTAAGACGTGTATATAAAATTGATTGAAATAGAAGTGTTTGATGAGAAGCACCTTGGCGCAGAGGAAGCGTGCAGGGCCCATAACCCTGAGGTCCGTAGATCGAAACTACGAGGTGCTATCTTCTTTTGTCTTTTTCCATTCATTTTTTACCACTCTTTGTGAATGCTGTAATTCAATAATAGCGTCAAACCTATTTTTGTCACTTTTTTCTTACCATCTATGTTTGCTTTGTCGAAAGCTTCTTGCGCTTTACGTAGTGTGCTGCGTATGCAGCAGTCACTCTATAGCACTTCCTCGGTGCTAATGGAGAAATTCAACATTGTTGTTCCACCAATGGGTGAATCAGTGAAGAGCGGTACTGCTCCTTCTTATGGAATGAGTTTAAGGAACTCTCGTTCAGTGGGAAAAGTCTGTGGGTGATTTTGTCGATTTGGATGATGTCGTGGCAGTGATCGAGACAGATAAGGTACTTGGTGTTAGAGAGTTGTGATTTAGGTGAGTATGGATGTGCGCTGTGATAAGGCGGGCTACTTGGTCAAAACACTGGTTCAACCAGATGAGACTGTGAAGGTTGGATCTGTTATCGCAGAAATGGACACAGAGAAGAAGTGTTTTGTTTGTTTACAAACAATCACGGAACAACTGAAGATTTGATAAGCGAATAAAATGATATGTATTAATACCTACCATAGTTGTATCGATTTTGATTATTACGGTTCTTTATCGAGTAGCGGGCTCTTAAAGTTTGAATATTTCGAATGGAGTGAAGAACCAGTACTATGATGAGAGAGAATAATAAGAAACGTACATGTTATTAGAGCTATAATACAGATACTCAGCAATTTCACCATCGAATTATTGGAACTTGATGAAGAACTGGAGATACCATATAGAGAAAGAATTGTATCATTCACGAGGCATGAAAACACAGAACTGTCCTGAGTCTGATTCAATGTATTCTCTTGTGTTGACGGTGGAGTCTCAGGGTTCGTTAGAGATATTCCTGTTTTATGAAGCAGCTCTTGTAGTTTTGCATCCTCTTCTTCTCTACGTTTGCGTTCTTCTTCTTCTCTACGCTTTCGCTCCTCTTCTTCTCTACGCTTTCGCTCCTCTTCCTCTTTATACTTGCGTTCTTGTTCATCTTCTCTCCGTTTAATTTCTTTTTCTACCTCTACGAATGACAACATTTACACAATACTACCCTTCATAAACGAAACAATATCGCTTATCGCTCGTAGATCGCATGCCCCTGCATTTTTCTTCACTTCTGGACACTTAGGGCACGTTGGACACTCAGGACAAGTTTGGCACGTTGGACACTCAGGACAAGTTTGGCACGTTGGACACTCAGGACAAGTTTGGCACGTTGGACACTCAGGACAAGTTTGGCACGTTGGACACTCAGGACAAGTTTGGCACGTTGGACACTCAGGACAAGTTTGGCACGTTGGACATACTGGACACACTGGGCATGAATCAACGGAAATGTTGCTCCTTGTCTCCAGCCACCGATTGAATTTCCACATTTGATATCTCACCTTCTCGCTCGTTTCATTCACCCAATCACGGATATGGTAGCCCTTTGAAGCGGTGGGTTGACATAGGGGATTCTTGTCTGGAAGATCTGCCGATTGTATTAACGCTATCAGAATAAAAACGTTGAATACAACGATAGTAATCCCAAGCAGATACAATAAACCCTTAAACACTGATTTTAAAATTGATGAACTTCGTATCCTCTGCCCAATTCCCCTCCATTCATTCCAGCGCAGAGAATTATCAATGACTGGAACTACCTCATCCTCATCTCGATCCCCTTCCTGCGGAGAGTTATTATCGTACGACGGATTGCTTGAAAGATGCAGTGGTGACGTTTCAAAAACTTCGGGAACTTCAGAAGCATTAGAAGCATCAGGAACATCAGGAACATCAGAAGCACCAGCAGCATCCGAAGCATCCGAAGCATCACGTACTTCATTGACTTCATTGATTTGATGGAGTTCAGGAGGCATAGTAACTGCCCGATTGAGTAAGTTCTTGAGAATTTCATTAAAATCGCTCTTTTCGGTTTCTTGAAACTTCATAAAGCCCATCATGGATCGAATTGCTTCCATCAGACGTATTAATGATTGTATTTCATTCAAACTTAATTCTTGCTTCTCCAACTGCTCGACAAATTCAATAACAAAGCGGAGATTCTCTTTATCTACAAGTAATTTGCTCTCTAAAAAAACGACCATCGCAATCAAGACTAATAATATTATACAACCATGATACAACAGTCGAAATATTTACCAGCGACACAGAAAGTGCAGTAAGAAGCTGCTTAACCGATTCACGATATTCCTACATTATCAACTACTCCCTACTATACTGTTTTGTTGCGTCCATAGCACTCCAAAATCATGGCCTTCGAGTTGTTAAACGTTTCGACGGATTTGTCCTTTGCAAAACGAACAATCACAATAAGAAGTTGGATATCCAATTTTATCATTTCACTGTCATCTCCTTTCATATCTTTATTCAAAATTTCCTGATATAACAAAGTATAAACAAGAGTACAGGAACACACGAAAAAAGCGCTTTGATTTGGCTTGAAGAGGGAAGAGCATCGATCTCACTTAGCGATTTTTCGAGTAAATTAATGCGTGATCGCCGATCATCAGAACTGGCACAATTAGCAACAAGTTTCAATGTTTCGGCAATCTAAATATATAGTCGCTACAGATAATTGGTTACATTGTTCAAAGACCGAGTCTCCATAGTTTATTTTGTCAACTAAATTGTCTGTAAAAAGTGGATGTGCAAATTCTAAAGAGAGTGGTTGTGTTGCTAAGCATAAACGTGCTTGGTTTTCTATCTATTTGTCTCGATCCCTTCTCACAACATAATAATAATAATAATATCCACGTTTTGTTGTACGCAATTTCACTGACCCAAGAGTAGATTTCGGGCATGGCCTCATAAAAATGACCCCTAATATTCCGTAACGAGTACTATATAAATCGTAATTATAGGGTCATCTTGTTCATTTCCCCGTTTCTCTTTTCCCGTTTCTCCTGTTTCATATAGATTTCTATTGATTCTATACAATGTTCGCTAGTGAGATATACTGGGTTCGAAGATAACACGTAGAGGTTGTTAAGTTCGCCAGACCTACTGTTTACCGCTCTTTCGCTACCTCCCGTTGGGCTGCTGTACTAGGTTAATGTGTGACCCTGACGTCTAGGTTGCTCAGGCTCCCCCAGATGCTATTCTCGGACTGAACGAGATGTTCAAGGCCGATAAGGATCCTCGCAAGATTTCTTTGGGAGTGGGTGCTTACCGTGACGACAACGGAAAGCCCGTGATCCTTCCTTGCGTTGCGGAGGCTGAGAGACGCATCGCCGGAAAGAGCGACCACGAATATCCTCCCATTCAGGGTCTTCCTGATTTCAACAGATTGGCTGCGGAGTTTGTCTATGGCGCTAACAGCCCTGCCATCAAGGAGGACAGAATTGCTGTCTGCCAGGCTCTTTCTGGAACTGGTTCCCTCCGTCTGATTGGAGACTTCTTGAAGAACGTGAAGGGATACGAGCGCATTTACATCCCCAACCCCACTTGGCCCAACCACTTCGGTGTGTTCAATGCCGCTGGCATTCCCAACGAGAAGTACCAGTACCTGGATGCCAACAACCGTCTGAATATTGACGGAATCCTGAAGGCGATCAAGGCTGCTCCCAGCAACTCTGCCTTCTTGTTCCATGCCTGCGCCCACAACCCCACTGGTGTGGATCCCACCAAGCAGCAGTGGAAGCAGATTTCTGATGCTGTGAAGGCTGCCGGTTGCGGAGTTGTCTTCGATTGCGCTTACCAGGGCTTCGCCTCTGGAGATATGGAGGGTGATGCTTACGCTATTCGCCTGTTCGTGGAGGAGGGTCACCAGATCTGCCTGGCCCAGTCCTTCGCCAAGAACTTCGGTCTCTATGGAGAGCGTTGCGGAGCTGCCTCTGTGGTGTGCGCCAGCAAGGAGGAGAAGGAGCGCGTGCTCTCTCAGCTGAAGGTTGCTGCTCGTACTCTGTGGTCGAATCCTCCTCTGTACGGAGCTCGCATTGTCCAGACCGTCCTGGGCGATCCCAAGCTGAAGGCTCAGTGGTACGAGGAGTGCGCTGGAATGGCTCACAGAATCATTTCGATGCGCCAGGCTCTGGTCGATGGTCTGAAGAAGGCCGGATCGACTCGCGACTGGTCTCACATCACCAGCCAGATTGGTATGTTCGCCTACACTGGCTTGACCAAGGAGCAGGTCGAGCGCTGCATTAAGGAGTTCCACATTTATCTGACCATGAATGGTCGTATCTCCATTGCTGGACTCAATACCAAGAACGTGGATTACGTTGCTAAGGCTTTCCATGAGGTTACCAAGAACTAAGCCATTTGAATTCATGGTTGTTTCAATTACAATTACGAGTGTCTCTGTTTCTTTGAACAAACAACGCAGTCCGTCTTGTCCCCAAACGTCAGCTTCTCAAAGTGCTCCACATCCTGCGTGTGTCTTCGCTTTCTTTGGATGTTACGATACGTCAGGTAAAAGTAATAAAAGAAAGCGAGGAGAACTAACCCTTTGAAGAACTAGAGGTTGTCATGTTACACAGCACCTACAAGAGAGCGGTAGTCTAGCATCCTTTCCTCAAATGCCTCATCGCAGATCTGTTCTTCTCTGCACATAAAGGCGCTTTTCAGTTTGAGATATGTCACATACATCACACCCATCATAATAAAAAATAAGCCGCTGACAAACAGGAAATCCACACCAGCCTTTTCGGATATGTGCGCTCGACTCATATTCACCATCTCTTCCGTTACAGTCAGCTTCCAAATGAGGACGTGGAAAGCACCTGCATCAACGTACAACACGTCCGTCGCGCGCGAGTCCAAATAGTGCTTCACTTCGCAATTCTCACCCACCACCACTTGATACAAGCCTTTATTCGAATGGTTTAGCGAGGTCTACATTACCAAACGGAAAGAAAAGCTACTCGAATAGCACAGGCATACTGCGTATCCGCATCTTCATCGTACTCTCGCTGCAGTTCCCTTTGAATGATCTACTGCTCAAAACCCGGAAATAATAATTGCATCAAGTGATTCGCGACATAGAGCATCACTCATTGAGTATTCTAAAACGGTCAGCGGAAGTCTGCGAACTCAAAGTCAAAGAAAAACACAACTTCTTTTCAGGCTCTTCTTCAGCAACTTGTACTTTCTTGTACTTCCCTCTCCGAATATCTGGCTTAAAACACACAATACTCTTCTGAGCAAAGTAGTCGTAAATCACAAACATGCTGCCACAATATTACAAGTAAAGGAATTTCTCAATCTGTGTTGCATAAGATATGTATTTAACCGCAAGATCCAAGTCATTTCCAGACAAAACACACCAATACTGACCGAACTATACCATAACAATTACAGAAAAGTAGTACACGATCCGATAAACAGTCGAATATTATCTTTTCGATATCTATCGTATCATCCTCAGCTGGTATCATTTTTAAAAAATCAACAATTGCGCTCGATAGCTCCCAGCTCCAGCTACTTTCTTCGATTTCAAATCGATCCGATACAGTTCCCTTCATAATTAATACTGAAAGTCTTCGTGTGTTTATGTGAGAAATGTTATTCATGTTTGTTGTTGATGTTGCTGCTGCTGCTGCTGCTGCTGAAGTATATGTGGAGTGTGACAACTAACACTTTGACCTTTTCTTTCAAAGCGCGTAGGATTTAATAGTCGCATGAATATTCTATTTGCAGGCATACTGAAAATTGATTAATAGTATTTAATTCTTATAGAGGGATGAGAAAAAGAAGAATTAGTGCATCCAACCAGCACACGCAAGTGAGCAAGCCTAATAACAGAAGCTTTATATTACTCTATTATAATAATATAATTGTAGAAATGGGGTTACTTAAAAACGCTTCCGTTCAAGATTGGGATGACGCTGAAAAGGCTCGTGCGTACAGTAGGTGTTGAAACGGATTACCAGCCATAGTTCATAAACATGGAATTCTTCAGTTCATTAATGTATATAAAATGTATTGTAATCGTTGTTGTGCCGAATTACGTTGGGGTGACGAAGTAGACGCGCTTTTTGTTTACTCATATAGATCGAGTGCAACATCGTTATTTTTGATCGCGAGAATAAAACTGTGAAGCTTTCTCAACGAGCTCCTGTCATTATTGACGAGTTAGCAGAACGTGCTTTAAAGCAAAAGTAGGGATTGAAATAACAACTTTATGTCAGAATGAATTTCGAGGTAAAGCCGGAATATGGTTCCTACATGCTTGAACTAACACCAACCTTCCCCTATAACCAGTATGCCTGTAGTCTTAACGGCATTGAGAGCAACATGAAAAACAGACGTATATCAATTTCCGAGTATCTCAAGCCAAATGAGCATCTCCTTATGATTCCTCATTTTCCTCTGCTCGGAGAGGGGGATTTTGCTGCTGTAATGGGTCCGCTGCATGGAGCGGACGCAGATTCTGACTATGTCCCAGATACCATAATCAGTCCGTTTACTCGTTTTTCGTATCCCGTTCTTTGCATGTTTCATTTAGTGCTCTCACCCGCAATATCCGAAAACGTCGCGGATCCAAGGTCAATATCGAGGTCCCCACGTTTATGGACGAGAACACGACGATTCCTCCCACGATCCACATGGACGCCATGGGTTTTGGCATGGGAAGCTGCTGTCTCCAAGTCACATTCCAAGCCGAAAACATCGAGGAAAGTCGGATTCTCTACGACCAGTTAGTTGTAATCGCTCCCTATGTCGTATATTTGTACAGCGCAAAGGAATGACGGGTAGATGGCGCTGACCGCTTACTCGCCCATTTATCGAGGCCGTTTGGCTGACATCGATACGCGCTGGACCGTCATCAGTCAGTCTGTGGACGATCGAACCGAGGCAGAACGGAATGGAGTACGGGGTTGAGGCGCAGTGTAATATCTCTGTAGCCCGATCGAATCATGAAGAGTCGCTATGACAGCGTGGATATGTTCATCAATCCGGACAGTTCCTATGCCAAATATAACGATCTGGATGTCCGCATCGACCAAGAATCGTACGATGTGCTGCGCGCGAACGGAATCGATGACATGCTCGCGAAGCACATCGCTCACTTGTTCATTCGCGACGCCCTCGTCACCTATGACGACTATGCGTCGTACAGCGACACCGAGACATCCGAGCACTTCGAAGTACGCCTTCTTCGCTCCCCTTTTAACTCCAGAACATCCAGTCCTCGAACTGGCAGAGCGTTCGCTGGAAACCTCCCACCATCGGAGGCTCTGTCGAGGCGTGGCGAGTCGAGCTCCGAACCATGGAAGTCATGCTCACCGAGTTTGAGAATGCCGCGTTCACCGTGTTTGCCGGGCTTCTCTGCCGCGCCATTCTCTTCTACAACCTCGAGCTTTACATCCCCATGTCCAAAGTGGACGAGAACATGAAGCGTGCGGAGAAGCGGAACGCGATCCTCGAGCAGAAGTTCTGGTTCACCAACTGTGGCGTGCCGAACACGAGTCGCCAAGCGGCCTTTCCGTGCGTCTGCTGCGATTGTCCGGTGCATTACAGCGAGTACTCCATCCTCGAGATTCTGGATGGGAACGTGGGCGTGGAGACGAGGACTGACGCCTAGAAACACTTCCCAGGATTCATCCCGCTGATTCGGAGCTACCTGGAGGTGATCAATTGCTCGCCCTCCACGCGAAAGACCGTGAGCAAGTACCTCGACTTCATTCACAAACGCGCTACGGGAGAGATTCTTACGGGCGCGGCGTGGATGCGGAAGTTCATTATGAGCCATCCGAGCTACAAGCATGACAGCATCGTGCCTCAGGACATCATCTACGATATGCTGGATCGCCTGGTGAAGGTAGCAATCCCGGCGCGGCCTCATTTGCTCTAGATCAGCAGGGGAGAAATCGTGGATCGGTCGCTCTTGGGAGATGTGGTCATCACCAACACGCTGGAGGAAGATCTGACGCCGTGCTGCGATCGTGCAATTTTGATAGGAAAGGTCTTCAAAGCCCCAGAAAAGAAGTTTAGTGTCTTTGACCTTGTAGCGGAGGCACTTGGTCATCACGCTCTGGAAGTGTAGTATACTATGTTTGTCATTTTTGTTTGTTCCCGAATACATCCGAGCAGTCATTCCTCATTTTACATTTCCTCTTTCTTAGTTCTTAGTCTCCCTATGGTGGATTGCAGTACTGCTTGCTAGACTATGCTCATTATCCTGTAGCCGATACAGATAGTTCCAGTAATTCCGGAGATTTATCGAAAGTACAAGTAGCTTTGTATTTTTGTTTGCATCGGTCTATCTATCTAGTCGTAAAAATAGAAGATCTCTCCAAACCTCTTCCTCGTCCAGTTTGGCCGACAGCCTTCGCTCCTCTATAATTAGGCATACAAAGGCAGAGGAAGAGGTTCTCTCCCCGGACCTACACGTCAATCCATGTTTTCGTCGTTTTATCCCAATCACCTCACAGCTCTGCGAAACAGCATCACGGGAAAAGTTCCAGAGTCATCCATACGAAACAGTAATATCGACAGCGCTTCTACAATTATTCGGCAATATCCTATGGTTACCCTTTCCTGCTTTCCTTCATCTCCAAAAGTTATAATTCGGGGGAGTTTACCGAAACCCCCATTATTGACGCTGCCAAAGAAGATAAGCAGTCCTCGGACTTGGTAAGTTCACATCACAAGGAAGAAATCGAGCCCGCCTCTCCCAATCTGATTACTTCTGCACCCGAAACCCAACAAGAAGCAGAGCCGGAGAGCACATTTAATCCGTGGGTGGTTCGAGTTCGTCCTGATTTCTATAGTGTTATCATTATTAAAAACCTTCCTCCCTACGACTCCCTCCCCGCCGCGCTGCAGGAGCGCGTTCTTCTTCCCCCCAAGTCTCCGACGGCTCCCAAATACACGCTGGTCCTCGATCTTGACGAAACGCTGGTCCACTGCTCCATGGAGCGCGATCCCTCCGCAGATTTGGCTTTTTCTGTGAGAGCGCAGCGCGCTGGTGAGGCGTAGATTCGACATGAGGGACAGCGTTTTACGATCTACGCGAACGTGCGTCCATTTTTGTTTTATCTGCTGAAACGCGTGGCTCCCTACTACGAGATTGTAATCTACACGGCTTCTCAGAAGTGCTATGCGGATCGATTGCTCGACATCCTCGACTCGGAACAACATCTCATCACACACCGATTGTATCGCGAACATTGTCTCAATATCGACGGAAATTACATCAAGGATCTCAACGCACTGAATCGAGATCTGGTGGGTTTCTCTCTCGGAATAGATTGATTTCTAGTCCAAAACTGTCATCGTTGACAATTACATTAGTTGCTTTGGGTATCATTTGGATAATGGAATTCCCATTATCAGCTGGTTTAGCGACAAGGCTGATCACGAAGTAGCTCGTTTGCTTTGCGTTCGATCTAGCTGTACAACCTATCTACTGTGCTGCTGTCTTTTATACGCCATGAGGACATTCGCCCCCAGATCGAAAGTCTCTTCCACCTAAGAGAAATCCTCAGTAGTTTCGATTGAATTCGTCTGTTTGATGCAAACAACACACGGAGTGCCGCCAGGCCTTCAAAAACGAAGCGAACCTTCGCATGCAGGCAATTGCTTTGGGTTCGTACTAAAGTTTTGCTACTTCTTCTTGATCTTCTTGATCTTCTTCTTCTTGTTCCATCTTGATATTCAGAACCTGCACATCAATCTTTCATCGCTCCCTCACTTCGATTTCGCCGCGATCCGTCCCGATAAACAGCGTATTGCCATCGATCGCTATGCATCCATTCATTCCCTCACTGTGCGAAGGAACGCTCACCGGCTGCTCCTTGGCATCTCCGATTAGCTATCCATCAAATGAACGCGCAGAACTCACCAGCACTCCGATCTGCGTAACGACGAACCACCAATCCTTGTTCATCGCCACGCCGACCACGCGAAACTTCTTCTGCTTGGAGCTGAGATATTTGACGCTGAGCTCTTCGGCCTGCTCCGACGAATACTCCACAAAGCAAGTGTTGTCCGACTTCTTCATCACACAGGCGAATCGTTTCGTCGAGGGATTGGCCAGAGCGAATGGGCAGCTCCACGCATTTGTTTCCTGGCTCGTCAGTCTCTCCATCGGGTTTAAACGCATATCGAACGACTAGCTCGTAACAGAGAAAAGAAAAAATAGGCAAACCTCCGATCCATGGGAGCTGCTACCAACAACGAAATAGCGAGTAGAGTCAAGCTGGATCAACTCAATTGAACGAATATGGGATCGCTTGTGGGTGCTTCGCTCCACTTCGTCGCCTGTTTCCAGATCATATTTCTTCGGATCAGAGACAAGTCACTAATTTACGTATAGAGGAGATGCAGACTGGGTGCTACATCCGAAATAGATGAAATGATCTTCAATTACAAAATCGTATATTGGACCGACACTACTGTTAGGGCGAATTCGCAGCGTTCGCTCCTTGGAATCAAGATCCCAAACCTTTGATTCAGTAAGCACTGGTAAAAATCATACCTTAATTCTCCCCGCTTCGCTGCTGGAAATCAATTTTCCCCGAAATACTGCGAGGCGATGAATTACACTTCTGTGCGAACCAATAAGCTCACTATTCCGTAAATTCCGATCGCATTTCTTGATTTGAAACTGGTATCCTCGCTTACATAAATCTTTCCCTTGGATGTAGCAAAGGCAATAAAATTATCATCAATCACACAAATAGCTGTAATCGGGTGGTCCTCTACCACATCGACTTGCGAGGAACCTGTCGTAATGATCATTCTTGTTGGATTTAAAAATGAAACCCCTTTAAAACAAACATTCCTTTCTACTCTATTCTATTGTACATTCTAGTCCTTTAAGTAATTCTACACGTCAAAAAACCACCATCTCCAATACATGTCCCCGCTTAATCACCTTCGCCAAATCTGGATCCTGTTCGAGCTCCTTCACGAGCTCGTCCACCGGCTTTATCATCAGAATCTACACTCAATACTCCCTCCCGCAGCTACCGGCCGATCGAGCAGCTTCAATCGTTTAGAGACTACAATCTTGCAAATTCCGTTGTTTATCAACTGGTCTAGAAGCGTTGTAAACTCCGCAACGTTTGGACGCGTTCCTCCGATGAGATTCTTATGAACCTGGATGTACATTTCTCTGAGCCGATTCGGAGTCACAGCGTTTAGTTTGACTTTTTCCGCTTGCTTTTCTCGTTCCTCCATGTTCTTAATCAATCCGCACAAACAAGCCAGAAGAACCTGCGCCATTCGCGGTAAGGAATCCAGAATCGACGATTGGCTGTCTCGAAAGAACTGAAATAAGGTCTTCGACATGGTCGCGATCGACACGGCCTTTTCCGCATTGACTATGATTTATCTGAATGTATATTCTCTACTGAACCCATCCGGAGCAGTGAGTTGCAGCGCATTCTTGCATACATCGAGAAGTCGACGGGCATCGCCCATCTCGGCGACTTTCTTCACGCACAATCGAATCGCTGGCTCTTGGAAGAGCGAAAGCTCCGTTCCCAGAGATTCGTTGCACAGCTGGATACGCTGCCGAATGATCTGAGTCAAGTCCGCTTCAGAATATGTGGGAAAAACGAGCGTGCAAGGCTTCGATGAACGGATCTTGAGCAGAGGAAGAGATCGTTCGATTAGATCGATGCTGTTTGCAATACCGATGATGATAAGCACGTTGGATGACAGATATGGCCACTCGAAAAGATCATACACAATACTACGTTCTTTGGTTAGCAAACGATCCACTTCGTCGATGCAAATGATTCTATGGATGGAAAGGGAAAAAAGTGTTATTACAGCGGATTTCGTTTTCGGCCTCGATTTGATAAAAACATTGATTCAAGAGTCTCTTTGGCTGTCTCCCAGGGTTGTTTCTTGTTTACTAAAAGATCGACCAACACGGAATAGATTTCTTGATTTCTGTGCAACGTCATTGCATTAACAGAAATAATTTTCACTTTGCGCTATGTATTAGATGGTTTCTATGCACCCACGCCAAAATCCCTCTTGACCTCATCCAAAATATTAAATATCAAGAGAGACTTTCCTATTCCAGGAGAGCCACATACATAATAGGATCCTCCTTCTTGCTTTGTAAAACACTCGTCAATGAATGACTTTATTGTCTACGAGGTGACAAATGGTATTTATTCGTACGTCTCGTTCCTTGGAGCGGCAGAGAATTGAGTTTGGCTTCATTGTAGTATCAAACCACTCTAGTACCGAGCTTAACGGTACGTCTCTATTGGATGTGCTTTCTACTCTCTGCCTTTTTGATGGAGGAGGCATCCAGTTGGAATAAACAATTCTTAGAACTTGTATTTGTAGTTCGTGCTATCGATTCATCGAAAACATGTCATTCCTATTTCTTAGAACTAGTTGTGTGTTAGATTATATGGGATACATTGAATTGAGATGAGAACTAGAGGGTAGAACGTAAGAAGCCTGCCAATGAGTGTGAATCCTATTTATCTGTCTTTTCTTTGCGTTGGAAATCATTTATTTTCATTGTTGCAAGAATGACGATCTGTTTGAAAGAGATGTCTATGGGTGGCAAAACGGAATCATTCATCATAACATATACATATACATATACATATACATATATATATATATATATATTCCTGTCAAAATGACACAAGAGTCAACAGAAATCCATCGATTCGATCAATTCTTATTCTCATCACGATCTTTATCTCAACCCAGAAAGCACACAAACCAAAGAATTGTTTCCAGCTCTCCTCAATCAACCTCCCGAATTTCGTTTGTCACAAACAATCCAATTCTCAAACAGTTTAGACGCATCAGCAAGCAGTCTGCACAGAATGGACGACGATGTTTTGTAGAAGATCGTGCATCCAGTAGACGTCATATTCACCTCCATCAAGCACGTTGAAGGCGTTCCTGCGACCTTTCCAGCAAGCAAAGACGTGTGAGCTACGATTTACCGCTCCCTCACCACACCCAACCCTGATCGTTGATATCAATCATCGCAACGTGGAACAAGCGATTGGCCTTTTCCGCGAACAGCCGCGTGTTTCGAAGACTCGACTTGATCTCCACTTTCTGCTCGGCCTTGCTCGACTTCCACAACGCGAAGTACTCGCTGCTGCTCATCGGCGTGCCTCGAATCATATCCACGAAGTTGAAAGGAATCTCGAGATCGAGGGTCGCTTCCTTCGACTCCTCGGCTTCCGTGTGATATTCGATGTGCCCAGTGAAAGAAAGCGACGACGAAGGAGTTGGCTTCGCGAAGTTGACGTTCACCAAGATCGTCACTTGCTCTTCCGCAGCGATGGTTCCCCAAGAGAGCTTGGCTCCCTGCGAAGCACTCTTCGGCTCGGTGACGAACTTCGCGTTGAGGCCCTCGGTGTGCGACGTGGCGATCGCCAAGTCCTTCAGCGCCACGTTGCTCTTCAGGAAGATGCAGAGAACGAGACTTCCCTCCTACACATCACGATTCGTTCTGGCGGCTACGCGGTAGATCAGCTGGTACGCGGTGTGAACGTGACCGTCGTGCACGCCGAGCGTGAGCTCTCCCGCCGGGTCCTTCGTGAAGATCTTGTAGGCGGCGCTCAGTCTGCACTGCATCATATCGATCACGGGCAGGGCGGGCGCTTCGGGCGTTCTGAAATCCATCATATCGAACATCTCTTCCTGCGGCGGATTCATTCCAGAGAACAAATCATCCGCCGGGGCTGAAGCAGGAGCAGAAGCAGGAGCTTGAGCAGGGACATTGACGGGCGCTGGCGCGGGTTTGGAGGCGGGGGTCGACGGCTTGAAGAATCCCGTCGACTGGGGAGCAGCGAAGAGCGGATTGGCCGGCTGCAGCGCGATCGGCTTCGAGTCTCTTCGGGCTTTGGCCGGCTTCGATGGCGCCAAGCCGCCGAACAGAGCGGCTGCTTCTAGCGCGCGTGGATCAGGCTCCGGCTCGTTCTCCGGCTCGAGTTCGGGCTCGGGTTCAGGCTCGGGTTCGTTCTCCGGTTCGTTGGCAGGTTCGGAGGATCCCAGGAAGTCCTCTTCGGGCTGGCCGCTCTCCGCGGTGGACTGCAGACCTCCAAACAAGTCGGCGACGGTGGGCGCCGCAGGCTTGGGCGCGGGCGCGGCGGGCTTGAAGCCAAAGGACCCGGTGACCGTGGAGAAATCAATGAACCCGCTATCGCGACGAGGCTGCTTTTCCTGCGGTTCGGCAGGCTTGGAACCGGGCCTCGCAGGCTCCGGGGCTTCGTAGGCCTCCGTCTTGAGTCCACTGTCCTTCTCGTCCTCCTCGTCGCTCAAGTCGCGCTCCTCGTAGTCCTTGGCGCCCGACAGACGCTCCTGCATGACATAGGTATCGAGGAAGTGGAGCTCCTTGTCCACGACCAGCCGACTCTCCTGCTTGGAGGGAATGGCCGCCAAAAACACCGAGGCGCCGCTCTTGCACATCTCTCTGAACTCCATCGCTTGCTGCACGAGCTCCGTGTCGTGGCTCTTCATGCACTCGCGAACCATCACCGACGCGATATTCGGAATGGTCTGCGTCTGCGCGGAGATCTTCATGAACGCCGTGATCAGGTACGACTTCGTCTCCACGCTCAACGCAGGGCGATGCCAAATGTCGCCCATCAATTCCACCAGCTGGCCGAGTGTGGGATCGCTCGAGAGATGTCCATACTCTCCAAAGATCCAGGTCGCGACGCGAATCAGATTCTCGGGCGCCAGCGGATCGAGCACCAAGGGATACAACTGACTAACCGCCAGACAGCGCAGCTGGCGGTCCATGCTGGGATCTCCCTGACTCTCCGAGAGCAGGCGGATCAGATTGGCCTCCATCGAGGCTTTGACCTGCCGTCCGCCGAACGCGAAGACCTGCGTCATGGTGTTGATATACCATGAGGGATCCGGCGCGAATCTACGAATCAAACGCACAGATAACAGCGTGCCGCTCCGCGAGTTCGCAGATCTTATCGACGAGCTGCTGGCGCTGGAAGTGATCGTAGGTGTTGCTCAGCACGAGCAAGAAGCGCTTGATAATGATATCCACGTTCTGAGAGTTGCACATTCGATGCAGAATATGCAGTGTCTAGCGATGATAATGCGCTCCGCTCCGCTCCCTACCGAGTTGCGAATGGAGATATCCTCGCTGTCGAGCGCGTTCAGCACGACCATCTGCAGACGAACGACGTACTGCGGGTATCCCTGAATCATATCCGCCATGCAGTCCAGGCCCAGATATTTGAGATTCGGATCTCGGCTGTTCACCAGACGGTCAATCACCGAAGCGGCCTCTTCCAGCAGATCTTCGTTCGGGTAGAGATGAATAATCGCGTGCACACAGTCCGCGGAAATAGCGCACGACAAGTGGTGAGGGAACACGCGATCCGCTCGACGCATCGCGTTCGCAATCGCCACATACACCTCTTCCGACGCGGCCTGGTCATTCTCGCCCAAGGCTCCCAGAATCTACGTCCAATCCGCACCGCTCCGCTCACTCGAATCACCTTCATCTGCACCCACGGCGCCGGGAGCGTGTCGAAATCATAGGCAGGATCGAACTGCCCGGTCACGATTTTGATGAGCAGCTCGCTAAAGAAAGGCACGAGATCGCGGAAGGAGCTGGGATCGGCGAGAATGAAGTCGTGCAGAACGGAGATGCAGGAGAACAACACCGTCACGTTGTAGGATTTGATCAAACGACGCAGCTCATCCGCCATGTCGGTTACACTGTTCGGATCCAATTGGTAGAAGCGCTGCAGCAGCATGATCGCCTTGCAAACGACCGTGGCTCTACGATGAATTCTGGGCCCAAAGCGAACTCTTTATGCTGAAGCGCCTGATACACCAAATGAACCAGCGCGGGAATCATATCGACGGTTAACAACTGGCTCGTAGCGATCAGCGCTGTGGCCACTTCCAAGTAGTTCTTGCTCTGCAGATCCTACAAATAACACAGAGACAGAGACGATGCCATCTGGAGACGATTCACGATCATGAAACGGAATTCATGCTCTGGAGGTATACAAAGCGCAGCAGTAATGTATCCCGCTTTTTTATTCACAATGTTTGGGTCGGAACATAATTCGATTGCTTTCAGATAGCCAAAGGGCGTTTCATATCCAAGCATCTCACAGTAGACCATGCGAATCAGCGTTTCACGCAGATCGTTCTAGAATCGAGCAAGTGACACAAATCTACTCCCCTCAGATCTTTTTCTCTGAACTTCCTTTTCAGGTTAGCCAATTCTGCCTGAATCACAATGTCCTCTTCCTAGAGATTACCAAGAATTGTACAGAACCCTACTTCATGTGTTTCGCATGCGGCAACAAGTCTGACAAAATCGTTGAAAGCCTTCGCAAGAATCGCGGATACGCTACGCCCGATATTTCCAGCGACTTTGGAAGCTGAGTTCCCCAAGTCTCCAGCAGCGACCGATAGTCCATGACCAACATTACTTCCCAGAATATGCATCTGGCCACCCAGTTCTTCTGCATAGGCTGACAAGTGTTCACCGACGCCCTTTGCAGCAAATCCGATTGCACTTGCTGCGTTTAACGTTGTATCACGAATATCATTAACAAAATCCATTGATTACACAAGTTTCAATGCACACTTTACAACTCATTAATGAAACTCCCGCTTGATTGACTCTCGTGGATAATTGAATGCTGATTTATTGTATATTGATTTGGCAATCATGTGAGAGGGTACCATCCCTGATGAAAAACTGGAGAGTCAATCTGTGTTTAAAGTAGATATTAATAGGTGCAAATAGATTCAGTACAAAATCAGAATGATGAAGTGATAATTTTGTGTTTGAATACACATATCCAAACGACACACCTGTTTCTGTCAAGTTTATAAACGTTTTTGGCTTATTGAATTTGCAAACTACCTAATTATTGTATATTTCCTAGCAAAGCTATTGAAATTAGCACAAATAGAATGAATAACAAAATACCCATTATTTTCGGCATCCAATTTCAATTCCTATTTTGGCAATTATTACTTATTGATAACATATGCTGAAGGTAGCTATCACCGGAACAAAGCGAATTCAGCATGCGAGACTGTTTGCTTGCTTACGAGGATTCTCCACAACAGCGGAAGAAGCGAAGAATTGTTATGTCTTACCTATGTTTCCGTATCCTTCAGGAAAAATGCACATGGGACATGTTCGAGTGTTGGTCCATTTCATGTTTGCTAATCGGCTAGTTTTTCCATTTCTGATTGTATCTCTCGGTATAAAGCGATGAATGGATACAATGTATTTCTTTGTATTCGTCGTTCATAGTAGGTTATCCATCCAATGGGCTGGGATGCTTTTGGGCTTCCTGCTGAAAATGCAGCAATTGAAAGAAATATTCCTCCCGATATTTGGACAAAGAACAATGTCGAGGAGATGCGGAAACAGATTTCGGGTCTCAATTTCCGGTTTAACTGGGATCGCGAAGTCAAGTTTTTTAAATTTTTCAAAGGGTATTATGTAGTACGAGCACTCCAGAATACTACAAGTGGACGCAATGGCTGTTTCTGAAGCTGTGGGAAAAGGGATACGTAACTCGCCGCAATGGACTAGTCAATTGGGATCCAGTGGACCACACCGTGTTGGCGAACGAGCAGGTGGATGAAGAGGGCCGGTCCTGGCGGAGTGGAGCTTTGATTGAGCGACGAACGTTGACTCAGTGGTACGTATTGACTACCAAGATGAGCGAGAAACTACTCCGTGGATTGGATGATGTGGAAATAAGCACGTTGAGTGATCGCATAGCTGCCCAACTGGCCTTCCGTAGTGAAAACGGCGCAAAGGAAATGGATCGGCAAGTCTTCCGGCGCGGAGTTCACCTTTTCCCTCGCTTCATCCGATCCAAAACTGAACGGAATCCGCGTCTTTACCACACATCCCGAAACCATCTACGGAGTTTCGTTTATCGGCCTCTCTGCCAATCATCCTGTCTCTCTCCATTTTGCAGAAACGGATTCTTCTCTCCGCGAATTCGTTCATTCACACCATCTGCCTTATTTTTTAGCTTCGCCATGTTGGAAAGGCATCCTTCAAAATCGGCCAGGAGCAAGTCGATGGATACAAACTCCCCCTCCAAGCCCTTCATCCACTCACTCACAAGCCAATCGACGTCTATGTCACCAACTACGTGCTTTCTGATTACGGCGAAGGAGCGGTAATGGGCGTTCCTTCCCACGATTCGCGCGACGCTGCGTTTGCTGATCGCTTCCATCTCCCTGTTCTTCCCGTTCTCACGGACTCTCCCTCCCCCACGCTCTGCAATAGCGGTCCGTTCTCGGGACTCTCTGTCTCGGAAGCGACAAAGCGACTGCTCGCGCAGGCAAAGCAAGAAGGCTGGGGCGCAGCGGCGACGAACTATCGACTTCGAGACTGGCTGGTGAGTCGCCAGCGATTCTGGGGAGCTCCGGTTCCTGCCATCCACTGCGAGCATTGCGGAGTCGTTCCTGTGCCTTATCAAGATCTCCCTGTTCGGCTTCCGGCCATGCATGAAGGCGATGTGTCGAAAATGTGTGGATCGGATGCCATGTCTCCACTTCAGCGTAGCGAAGTCGTGCGTTTTGAAGTGTAGGATACGATGATTGGAAGACAGTTTCCTGCCCGTACTGTGGAAATCCGCACGCGCAACGAGACTGCGACACACTCGACACGTTTATGGATTCGTCCTGGTATTTCTACCGCTATCTGGACCCGCAAAACGCGACCGCATTCTGCGACCCTTCCAAAATGAAGCAATTCCCAGTGGTCAACTAGTAATTCTTTGCGAATCGACTGCCATCCAGCTATGTCGGAGGCTCAGAGCATTCCATCATGCATCTTCTCTTCGCTCGCTTCGTCGCGCGCTTCCTTTTTGAGCAGGGCCTTGCTCCCAGCCCCGAGCCTTTCGATCATCTGATCACCCAAGGAATGGTTCTGAGCAGCACATACAAAGATCTGGTCACGGGAGCGTATTTGCCGCCAGAACGCGTGGAGAAGGATGGAAAGGAATGGAAGGCGAAGGAGACGAATCACCCGGTGGAAATGAAGTATTCCAAAATGAGTAAGAGCAAGTACAATGGCGTGGATCCTGTGGAAGTGGTTACGAAATACGGAGGAGATGCGGTTCGGATTGGAATGCTGATGCAGTGTCCTCCCGCGAATGCGTTCATGTACAATAGCGGAATTGTGAACCCTGCTACGGACATGATTAAAAAACTGGAGCGCGTGTGCCAGATTTGTGTGGAAGGCGCAAACCCATCAGGGAAGAAGCTGGATTCGAACAAACTGAACTCGCAGCACAACAAAATTCTACACGATATGGACAAGTTCGACTTCCATAATGTGCTTTCGGGAGTGAACATCATGCTCAACGATCTTCTTCAGGGCAGCTACAGCAAGGCTTACTTGGATTATGTGAAGCGCGTTGTGCTGTTTATGGCTCCATTTGCTCCCGGAAAGTCAGAGGAGTGTTGGAACCAATTGATCCGAGGGAAGTGTGTTAGCGAGAAGGATGGCTTTGACCGCCAGAAATGGCCGCAATCGATGGTTTCTACGAACACGATGGCGATTATCCAAGTCAACGGAAAGATGAAGAAAACACTGAATCTGGAATCAGATCATTGCGAAGACATGAGCGATCAAGTCCTCGTTGCCCATTTAGAGAAGAATGAGGTGGTGAAGAATTTGCTGTCTTTTACTCCGCGAGATATAAAAGTGATTCGTAAGGGGGCTAAAATAGTGATTAACTACATAAAATGATGGAAGTGTTTGAGTGAAAAATGAAAAGAAAAAATGCACGAAGAGGGACTCGAACCCTCGAGTGCGAACACATTACGGCCTTAACGTAACCCCTTGGACCACTCGGGCATCCGTGCTTTGAATAAAGCCATTTTTAGGCCTACTTATTGCTTTCTATAGGGTTTGGATATAGGAAAATGGATTAAACGATTTTCAAGTGGCATCGGATCCAATAAATAAACATGTAAAACATCATCTATCAAACAAAGACAAATCAACGAGAGAATATTACTGTCTCAAAAAAGGGCGATCATCTTTTCGATATGGAAGACAAGGAGTATCAAACGTAAGATCTATGGGCAGACAAACGTCATTCTCGTCCATCTGCTTATGCTTCTTGATATCCAGTTCGCCATTAACAAAGTCCACATAATTCTTCGGCAAGAGCACAACGCCACACTCATAGTTACAAATCGCAATCTGACTTTCCTTCTTTTCGATTTGCCCCCACGCACTGCGCGTAAAGTTATGACTTCCCGCATACACCCATGGCAATCTCGGTCTCTTCTTCAACGGCACATTCATCACTTCCCTTAACCCTTCTCCGAACCCCTACAATACTTCGAGTGCGGCAGCGTTGTTTCCCTCCCAGGCGCGTCTTTATACCGCTTCAGCATTTCCCGTAGAAACGCTTTGGCCGTGTAAACTTTCTGCATAAAAATCAACGAGCCCGCCATTTCCGGCCCGATAATCGAGTTATTCACATACACATTCGTGGGATACACAATGTGGAGCAGATCGGCGAGCTTTCCCTTCTTTTCAACGATTTCTCGCCCTCCGTAACACGATTTCAGCATCGAAAGAATCCAATTTTGGCTCGGATTCCCAATCGAGCTGCATTGCGATAGAATGGGCGGGTTCTTCGGCAGCGACGCCACCTTCTCCATGTAGTCGTTCAATCCTTTCAAAACAGACCGCAATCGCAGCTGGCCGTAATCATTCATGCGATCGCCTTGGTACACTCCCGGCACCGACGCAACGAGCTGCACCGAGACGTTCTCGAAGAAAACTCCGCGGAAAGCGTTGAAGATGCGTTCCTCCGGCACGCAGCACTTCCGAAGGAACGAAATTAGCTGGGTTCGAAACTCCAAATCGAGCTTTTTGGCGGCAACACGCGTTGAATCCTTCGGTGCGTTGAAAAAATCCTTTGGGTCACTCTCCATTTATGAAAAATACCTGCATCCAGACGCACTGCGACCACATCGTCCAATCCTCCGTCGTGAGATTCGCCGAGGAAATCACGATGCGCAAACGATCCGAGAAGCGAAGCAGAAGCAATTTCGCGTGGAAACAGCCCCGCAGATAGCTCTGGGCGAAGGGAGGGGAGACGATGAGAGCCTTGCCTTCGTTGAAAGAGATGGTTTGCCGATCCGAAACTTCTGGATCGAGGTGTCTGGAGAAGGTAATCTCTGCTGATTGGTGGTGGTCGATGATCGAGTCGAGAACATCCGCAGAGTCTAACTGTTATGCAAAGTGAAGGAAGGGTACAAACAAAAGAGGTCAAGATAATATGCGAAATATCCTTATCATGCTCCAAACTCATTTCTTTACTGAACAACCGCTTGAAATTTACGTAGCAACTCTCTCCGAGATCATGAAGCTTGCGAATTCTAAATAATAGAGTACAATAAAAAGAAAGGAATACCGATTTGTAAAAAGAGTGTTTCCTTTAAAATGAACACTGTTCTCATCGATAACGAATTTACTAGTTCTAAGGAAGAAGAGCAAGAGAACACTACGAAGAATCTTCTTCTGATGAGTCATCACTGGATATTGTGATCGTGTCGTCATCATCGTCATAATTGATAACATACATTTTAGCATCGCCCCACAAATTGGAAGCACCTGCATCTTTTGGCTAGAATAGAGCAGGGAAAAGTCAGTTTACAACGGAAGGGAGGTAGCAAATTGCTTCTTCAACCGTCTTACAGTGAGCTACAGCTTCTTTAATCTCCATGTCAACCAAGTGTCATTCTTACTTGTTCCTCGCTGTATCCAAACGCTCTCAGCAGTTCCTGCATTACGGCCTCAGCAGCTGTGTGAAACAAACAAACCCAACCAAAAAGTGTCAATTCCGTGCCTGCTTGCTGACTTACTTGAAGACCTCGTTCGAGTTGATCTCCTTTCCCTGAATGGTCTCCGACGCGCACCAGAGGTCGGCCAGGAGCTTCTTATCGTCCTCGTTGGTGACATCGACCTTTCTCCAGTTGTAGTAGGCGGCATCGGGGTTCTCGTCCAGCATGGGCTGGATGGCGGTTCCGCGGATCAGCCAGCCTCCCATCACGCGATAGAAGGGCTCGTTGGCGTCCTTCAGGATGTTCATGTTGCCGAACGCGTACTTCCGGAGGGAGTCGGAGCGCTGGATGAATCCGGAGACCAGGTTGGCGGTCATGAATCCACGCGTGTTCTCCTCGTTGTACATGTAGTCGCAGATCCAGCACGACCAGCCCTCCTGATCGTACATCGGCCAGAACTTGTCCATCACCGAGTAGAAGTCGCTGTGCGTGTTCGAGTAGATGCGCTTCCAGTTGTCCAGGTCGAACGGCGACGGCGGCAGAAGCTCCAGCGGGTTCTTCGCCTTTGCCTGGCTCGCAGCCGGCTTCTCCTCCTTGGGCTTCTCCTCCTTGGGCTTCTCTTCCTTCTTCGCCTTCTCCTCCTTCTTAGGCTTCTCCTCCTTCTTCGCCTTCTCCTTCTTCGCTAGAAGTAAGCAAGCAATCACGATCATCCATACGGGCAGCAGGAAGAGCCATCTGCTCGGTGGCCAGATCCACAGGACCCATCACGCAGGCAAACTGAGGCTACTCGTAAGTGCACAGTGGGACATCTCACCTGGTTCACGCAGGTCTCGAACCAACGCATCACGGAAGGATAGGGAGCTCTGTACTCAGGAGCAAAGAGGAACTTCATGCCGTACAGCAGCTGGCAGACAACCACAATATCGGCAAGAGTGATTCTCTCTCCAGCAAGGAACGTATGAGAGGCCAGGTAGGTGTTGAGGGCAGCCAGAGGTCTCTTGAGGGCCTCCTTCGACTGTTCGACCATCTTGGGATTTGGGGGAGCAAATCCCATGATAACTCCGAACCAGGCGCTAATATGAGGAACCAGCTCACAGGTAGCCCAGTCAATCCACTGATCGACCTTTCCCTCCTCGAAGAAGGTGCGTCCCAGCAGTCCGGTGTCGTTTCGCATGCGAGCAACATAACGAGCAATAGCAGTGGACTCAAAGATAGCTCCTTCAGGGGTCTTCAGAACGGGGACCTTTCCGTTGGGGTTCATCTTCAAAAACTCCTCAGATTTGTTCTCCACTCCCATTTCGAACTTAGGGACGTGAATATACACGTTGTTATACTGAGCAGCAATCAGCGCCATCATGGCACGGTTATTTCCCTCGTAAGTGTAGAGAGTCTACAAATTGGATTCTTCTCATTCCTCCCCTACCAGCATTTTGTTCAACAAAATATATTTGTGACTTTCATATATATATGGTCCCTAATTTCTAATAAACAAAATAGTCCCTATTATTGTCTTTCCTATCTAATCTTCTTGAGATCGTTTTGTTTTGCATTTCTCTGCATTGCGTTGCGTTGCATTGCATTGCAATACAACTCAACATCTACACTCCTTTACTTTCTCTGAACAAACACCTCCTCAATCTCCACATTTCCCTCGCTTCGCTTATTCCTCCTGAGCCATGGCAGCCTTCTTCTCCGCCACGCGCTGCTTTCTCTGCTCGTAGGTGAGCTTCTTGGGATGAGCGAACTGCTTGAAGGCGGCAGCATAGTCGAAGTCGCTCTTCTTGGCGGGGGTCGGATCCGCGCGGATCGCCTTGTGCGCGTTCGCGTAGATCTCCTCCAGCATGTCTCCCTCGATTCCGTTCTTGATGTAGCGCGAGAACTGCTTCTCGTAGAGCTCCGCGTTCTCCTCCTTCAGCTGGTTCATGTACTCCGCGATGGGGGCGCCGAAGATCTTGTCGCGGTGCTCCTCCGCGTTGTACTCCTTGTCCTCGCGGCTGTAGCCATAGAAGCGAGTGTTCTTGTGCGGGATGTCCAGACCGCCGTCGTTCGCGCCCTTCAGCACAGCGAACACGCGGGCTCCCGTCGTCGTGCGGCGCAGACCCACATCCAGGTAGCAGCGGAAAGGACGCTTCTCGCCCAGCTCCGCGACGAAGTGCGTCTTCTTCTCGCCCTCGCAGGTCTTCACCTCACCGTCCACCTTCTCGTTGCCCTTGTACATCTCGGCCATGCCCAGCTTCGTCAGCAGACGGCGAGCCACCAGCAGACCCGTGCAGTAAGCAGCAGCGTAGTTCGTCAGACCCAGCTTCACTCCGTAGCGGGGAAGCTCCGCAGAGGTAGCAGCGCACAGAACGCGGTCACCAATGATCTCAGCAGACACGATCTGAGCAATCACCTTGTGGTTGGTGATGCGCACCACCAGGCGGTACTTGGGGGTGTTGTACTTGTTCTTGGCCTGGATGATCAGTCGCTTACGAGCGTAGTAGTCGGTCTTACCCTCTAGGCATCAGCAGACAAACAGAACGCCTCCTACCACGACGACGACGCATCTTGGTCTGGAAACGCTTGAAGTAGGCTTTGTTCTTCAGAACTTTCACGAAAGGCTAGGGGTGAGTAAGGGGAGATCGATTCAAACCATTCTTGTAGAGAATTGAATTAATGTGAGTGAAATGAGTGGTACAGTGTTCGTACAGTGGTTTATGATAGTCAAGAATTCACGAACTCACCATACACAACAGAAACAAACCTCAAAAGGCGAATCTTGTGACAAAAAGACTAAGAGATAGTTATTAATCAACAAAAACGAAAAATTAGAGAAATGTTCGTTATACTTTAAGTAGTAACAATTTGCCCATCCCATATTCCATTCATAGCAGCAACAGTGTGCAAATCGAATGCTTAGCAAAAAACTCCAATCACCACATGAATCGAACAAACAAGCAAAGATGGCTATGCTATCTACGCCTTGGCCTTGGCACGCTCAGGGAAGCAGTCAGCGAAGGTCTTGTTGGGATGCTTGTTTTCAACATGACCCATAAGCTGAGAGTCCGACTGGGAAGCCATGAACTCCGTCTACGCATAACCCACTTCAACAAGCCAATACTCTGCAAATCTGGCAAACTACCTTCGGGGCATTTGCTCCAGTACGAGAAGCTTTTCCAGCCAGACCACCTCCTCCCTGAGGCTTGCTGGCTTCCTTCTCGTGGCGAGCACGAGCCGCTTGCTTCTTCTGAACATTTGAGCCCTTACCCATCTGTGTTTTAGAAAAAGCAACTCAAAACCTACGGCAAGTAAAAAACACTTCGCTAAAAAAATGTATTTTAGAAGTAGCTGGTGGGTTTCAGCTTCCATCGGTTTGATCGGGTTTTTAAAACCCCATTTCCATTTTTTGGAAAAATAGTATTTGTACACGTTTCGATGTTTTCTCGTACGCGAAAGTGTTACAACACGAAAATCTTTCCCAACAAACAGGATGGACAACGAACATTCAAGACCACCACTACAGAAGCTTTCTCATTTGTTCCTTGAACGTGTCGACAGAAGTGTAGAAATAACGATAGAGCTCGCCTTCCTTTCGACTTGCAATGCTGTAATCAATAACTCCATCACGATTAACAAAAAAGAATCGAGGATAATAAATACCATCTACAAATGACCGATACCACACGACCTCTACCAGGTCGAAATTCATCATAGTCGGGTTCCTCGTTATCGTAGCATGAGATCATGACGAAATTGCGACTTAACTCCAGAAGCTCTTTATCATTCTGAAATTTCACACCCGTCTTTTTGCAGGACTCGCACCATTCTTTCCCGATTAAGATGATGCCAGGCTTTTTCGTCTCGCAGATTTCCTGCAGTCCTTCCTTAAACGGCTTCCAGTTGTAGTCCTCACCAAAATACTTTCCAGCGCTCATCCTGTTACCAATAATTGGACTTAAACTAGAGCGGTTAAAACTCAGTTGGAGTCAAAAGGTGAGTATTCACGCCAAGCACCAATGCGTTGCATTGCAGACCTTATTCTCCAATAAAATAACGGTTTCCTAATAGTCGAATTCGTACTCCATGCAAAGAATCTTTAGAAGCAGGTGTATGTCAAAATAACCGGTAGAGCATTCAGAAATAGCAACGGCTACGCCTCTTAATGCTCATTCATGTATATCGGAAACATACGAATCCCCGCGGTTATATAGCTTGATCTAACCCCATCACAAAAAGTTCAGAAACCCAGCAGAAACCATGGCTATGACTATGAGAGCTCTCCGTCTCGGACAGATGTCTGCTAAGAGCATTTCTTGCTATGCTTCTTCCGTGGCACCCGTTTTTGTCAGATTCCATACTCCCTACAACTACTCTTCTCCTGCTAAGCCAAGAACCCTGTGGGAAGGTTTGTGGAATGGTTTTTATTTCGTTCTGTTCTTTATTTTAGCCGATTCCACCAATCTTCACGAGAAGATTTTCCACTACAGCCAGCTCACTGCTGCTTGCCTCGTCCCCGTCTCATTTGTATTAGCACCTTCTGCTCTTTGCGTGAGGGGTATTTTTGTAGATTAACAGTTTAGGTGCCTATTGATTACGTTTTGTGCGTGCTTTATCCTCTTCACGGTTGCATTGGTATGAGCCATATCTTTAGCGATTATTGCGGACCTGTGAGTCTCTCTATTTGGAGTGACAACTAGATGCTCGGAAAGAGTCTGAAGATTGCTACTCTTTTCTTGTCGCTCCTTGGTATGTTTGGACTTCTCTACCTTAATGCTACCTCCGATGGTTTGACTGCCACCATTAAGGCCCTGTGGAGACCCAAGATTCAGAATAAGGAGGAATAAGTGTTATCATTTCTTCCGTGTTTGTTTTTCCAAAACAGGGAACTCTTTTGCGACATTTGCTTTCCAAAGGGATTCGTCTTCGGGACAGATGCTGTCAAAGACGCAGCGGGTGCGCGGCTCGGCTAGGAGGACATCGCACATCTGGTTGAAACGAAGGAAATGTGGCGTCGTGCGATGTGATTTCATTGCCTCTTCGTTATAGTACACCTGGATGTGAAATTTATTGTTATGGAATACTTCACAGAGACGGAAATGGCGCGGATCCTCCTTCTCCTATAGAGAATCCACTTGAATGATGGATTACCTGCACGATATCGAAGCGAGCGATCCCTTTTTCCCTCAAGCTGAAAATTAACCAAAAAACTATTATAGAACGCTACCTCTTATTTCCGTTCGCAATGCACTCCTTTTTGAACTCATTCTCACATCCTACGAGTGATTTCTCGCCATCTACAATTCACCTTTTTTCGTTATGCAGTTAACATGTACTACGATGAGGGAACGTTTCGCCAACCCTGGCATTAAAGTAGTGGAGACTTTGCGGATCGCTTGCATAATGAAATAAAAAATGGAATTGCAATGCTTTTTCGACTGTATTCAGATCGACAATTTGCACTTCAATCGGTATCATGCAAGCGAATGGTAGTGCTACTTAAGTGAGCAATCTTCAGATAGAATTCAAAGACAACGTGGCCGAGTGGTTAAGGCGTTAGCCTGCTAAGTTAATGGGATTTTCCCGCGCGTGTTCGAATCACGTCGTTGTCGTTTTTTACTATTTTGATCTTATAGTAGTATTGATTAATTCTATAGTTACTACTATTATTAATATTATTATTATTTCAAATACTATTTTTTCTTTGATCTCTTTGAAGATTGAAAAATAGGGTGTGTTTTATAAAGAAAAAAGTCTATTGTGTTGTTTTCTTGTTATTTATTCCTTCAAATCAACCCCCCGATTCGTGTCTTTTATGTAGTGTAGTATTTGGGTGTGGTTAGAGGACAACGTGGCCGAGTGGTTAAGGCGTTAGCCTGCTAAGTTAATGGGATTTTCCCGCGCGTGTTCGAATCACGTCGTTGTCGTTTTTTTGTATTCATCAAACAATACAAATTTGATGGGCTTCTACTGTCCCTAGGGGTAGCGATTGAAATTGGAACGCACTCTTTTATTGGGTGCTTGAGAAATGATGATCTGGGGTTGCAATGTGATTCCTTTTTCTCGCTTGATCTTTTTCCCAAGTGCAGCTAAATATAATACAAAGGGATCGATGTCATGGCCAGGCTTTCTAGATACCTTTATTTCAGTTTTAACAAGGAATACCTGCGCCTTTGGTTCCGCTGTTTCCAATATATCCACCCTCCAATACCCAGAAGCATTACACATACGACACATACAACTATTATCGTTCCATTCCATTGCATTGAACTGTCTGAGTCTATGACTTCCACCTCGCCCAAATTTCGCAGCACCTGCAGGCCGTATGGTGGGCTTGACCAATTGAAAAGCTTCATATTTCTAATATCTTTTCACCAATATCACTAACATCGGGATATTGTCTTCAGTAAGTATAAGCTGGAAAACCGCGCTAGAATATACAATTATGCATGGAGAAAGAAAAAGTGAGGGTTAAAACGTATGTATGTTTTCACTTCAATGAAAGACCATCTTCACGAAATCATCAATACCTACACAAGGGATTGACCAACATAGCAATCTAACGGTACTATCGATAGCAACAAAGAGTTGATACCCATATCGAAGATTCAACTAGACTAGGTGTTTTCCTCTTTGATTCTATGCTTTTTTATATGTATGTATAAAGACAGTTCGGTATAGCCTCCAATTCTGTACAAATAATAGAAAGATGTTCATGACGGTCACCATTGATACAATACAAGACATTGATTTTTAAATACTCTGGCTTTTAATATTTACGAAAGCAGGGTTTGATTCGTACTACTCTATAAATATCAAATTAACAGAGCTACATAAGTAGTAGGGGAATGACGGGAAACACGCGGAACCCAAAGTCGCCCCTCCGACCTCATCTACGAGAGTGCGCGGCTCAAAGTCGCCCCTCTGACCCCATCTTTGTTTTCGCGTATTCCCGTCAGAACACAAAAAATCCCCCAAAGTCACCCCTCAGACCCCCTCAACTGGTACCTTGATTTTTGCGTTTCATAAGAATTTCAGCACTCATGAGTAAAACACGAGTGCTGAAATGTGCGATATCCATGACTATTATGGTTGTTATTGCTGGTCAATGTGATCATTTTCGACCATTTTCGGCCATTTTCTGCCATTGCCTACCTGGTCACCTCGATACCCATAACAAGAAACGCGCGGAAACCCATGACTGCCAATTTCGGCAAATTTCTGCAATGTTAACCTGACTTCCATTGTAGGCCATGGTATCCATGGTTGTCCAAAGTGAAAGATTGCTTCCCTTACTTGAGTCTATAATGCCCGAATGCAAGTGTGTGTATGTTGTCGTCCAAGATCCATCTCTTGTTGTCCGTGCAAGTCATAAGTGTCTTAGTCTGCTCCTTCGTGCTGATATTGAAGGCCTGGTTGTTGATACGCTTGAAAGTGCCTTCGATCACTGCGTCTTCCTTCTTCTCTGCTTCAAGGACGCGCTTGTACAGCTCGATGTTCTTCACGCTCATTCTCTCACCATCGATCACCACATTGCGAGGAACTCCCTTCGCTGCGTTGTGTATCACATGCTTCTCATCAACCAAGCAGTACATCTTCGGTCTAAGTCCCACGAACTCAGTGATACGATGTCCGTTGTGCTCGTCCTTGAAGATAGGACCAGGCAACTTCTTGTTGAAATTGAGGAACGAGTCCAATGAAGGGAACTTGCTCTTGTCCACTTCATGCTCGTAGTATTTTACGAGTTCTCCGTAGAAGTAGCTCGTGTTATCCAACTCAGAAAAGTCAAACGACTTGTACATGTCGCACATTTTGTGGACGATGTTACCACGGTCGTTCAACTGCACGATGAGTGAGTCCGTGTCCTGTCCCAATAACTCTACACTGTCGAATGTCGTCTTGAGCACATTGTAATAGAAGTCGTAAATAATGTGCTTCGACATGTCGAGGATAGCGAACCCGATGAAGAAAGGCTTTTCTACCTTGCGCACCGGTGTGTTCAATTTGATGCCGATCAGATTTTCGGAATACATGGTGGTTCCTGCGATCATGTCGTATCCGTGCTTCTGGATGATGGCTTCACGTTCATTCCATGTGCTAGCGAACTTCACCTTCATTCGCTTCAACCCAGTCTCCACGAATTTTCCATAGGTGGAGTTTGCTAATAATTTGTACAGGTTCTTTTCTACGGTGGTTTTTGATTTGGCTCGTTTTTCACTCAGCATGTTGACGTACTCGAATATGAACGGTGCTTGTTTGAAACGGATGATGCGGTGGATGTGCGTGACGTGATAACCCTGTTGAAGACCCAATTGCAGCAGAGAGTAGTGTACGAGATATTTGCGTCGAGGTACAAGATCGCAGATGAGTTTCGGTGTATTCACCTCTTTGACCTTGTCCACAATATCGTTCTTCGCTGCGTACTTCTTGATTCCGTCTGAGTACATACCTGCCTTCTGTACGGGGAAGAATGGCAAGTCATTGAACTTGTCGTGCAGCTCCACTGGTGCCTCGATATCACACTCGATGAAGAACCCATATTTACCGAATGTCTTGAGTGATTGTACCCACCCATTCGGATCACGGTTGATCCTTTCCATTATTTCTCGTCGTTCGGGTACACCCACTAATTCGTAAGGCATCATTCTGTGCATGGCTCCACCATACAGGTTGTTGGCGTCGAGGTAGTAGATGGATGATTGCCCTCCGTTGTTGGCGGTGCTGTCAAGGTTGACTTTGGCATGTCGTTTCACGATCTGAGTGATGCCTCCTCGCAGATTCTTGAGTAGACGCATGAAGTCATCGATCTCATTTGTCTCCATCAATCGAATTCCCTTGCTTTCATAGAATTCACCCATGCGATTCAAGAACACTTTTACGAGTTGTTTCTCCTCAAGTCCCTCATTCGCGTTGATGCGCATGATGTACTGAGCCCATTTCCTTGCGAGGGTCATGAGGCTACTCTCGCTATGATCGCCCTCCATTGTGACCTTTAAGAAGAGCGAATAGGCCATTTGTGGTGCTGTGATGTAGTGCATCGGATCAACACCGAATGCCTTCAGTCGTGGTAACGCGGAAGTGCTCGAATGCATCAGCCATGAGAGTTACATCGAGTACATTGTACAACTCGTAGTATTCACCCCATGTCTTGATGTCGAAGGTCTTCCACAGCTTCACCATGTGTTCATATTCGTCTTGGGGCATCATTTCTCCCTTCATGTCATCAATGCATTGTTCACGAGAAGGAATGGTGGTATTGTTCAATGACTCGTATGATTTGATGAGACTGTAGAACATGGGTTCTTTCCGTGTCAACAGATCGATGTACTCGTCCTTCCATTGCTTACCTCGTGATTCACAGTATTTGCGTAGTTGTTGTTTGGTGTGCACGTACAAATCGAGGTTCCCTCCGAGTGTCTGTGCCACAATGGATCTGAGAGGACTGCTGATGAGCTTCAACGAGTCCTTGAATTGTATGCCATTGTATTCGATCTGCATCTCCTTGTCTTCAGTGGTTGGAATGACCTCCAAGGAGTCACTAGAGGTTGAATGAGCTGCGATGAGTTTCATGATGAATGTGAAATCGTAGTGTGACCCATTGTGGAAGTATACGGGTAGACGATAGTTCTTCTTGTTGAAGGAGAGTTGGAGATTACACTTGGTACAACAGGTGCAGATGTACTGCCCAGCTTTGAAGTTGCATATCCCTCCCTTTCCTGTGGTGTATTCACCTGCCACATGTGCGTGATGTCTCACTTTGTCGTTTTCCAGTTTCTTGTGACAGAAGGGACACACGGTTGTTGCACGAAAGTCCCTCTCGATGCTCGGAGAGTTCTCGAGTGGTAATTCATCGAAGAGATACTCTTTCACTCTGCTCTGCAATTGTGTGAGATAGTCCATGAAAGGACGAAGGTCTTCTTCGCTCTCATGTGGTGCATGGAAGACTCGAAGTTGGTTGTTAATGGCTGGGATACGAGACACGGCTAGACAGGACAACATGATCGGCTTGTGTTTGTTCTTGTCGTCAATGGCCGACTCGAAGTCAGCGTACACGACAACCGGTGCTGGCATTTCATATCGCTGGTTGGTGAATCGCAACCGAGTCTCCTCGTTCGACAAATCGTACTGATCACTCTCATCGACAAGTTCTCGATGTACCTGTACTTCATGATCATGAACGGCTTTGCGAGATCCGAAGAAGTCGTTACAGAATCTGCACTTCGCGTTTCTCGAAAGGTTTTCATTCTTCGCATCACTTCGTCGTGTCACACGATGCTTGAAATCATTCAAGTCCTTGATGTACAAGAAGTGTTTGGGCGTTCCCTCAGGTAGATTCAGATCGTTCAAGATGCAGAGGGAGAGAGGGGAACGTGATTTCTCCTTACCTTTGTACACGACATCGCACGTGAATAAATCGAATTGTTCCTTTGACTTATCGATGTACCCAGGCAAGAGTGTGACCTCGAAGACATTGAGTGATACTTTCAACAATGCCTCCAATGCGGCGAATTTCTCTTCACTCGCATCGAAGGGTGTATTGTCACGAATGCCCATCGCCTCCTCCACCTCGTGAATGGTCACTCCGAACACCTTGTACTTGTCGGGTTGTTTCCACCACTTGTTGTACACGGTTGCATCGCCAATCTTGCGATTCGCGACGATCTTGTGTCCACCTTCACTGGCCAGAATGAGACACCGCTGCAGGCACCGGTTGTCATCGAAATCCGGGTTGAGCGCTGTGCGTCCGATGACGAACGGTGTGTGCTGCTTGTACCCCACGAATGAGCGTAGTGGGAACATCTCGATATGGAAGCCGATCCAACCAGCGTACACGAAGCCACTGCCCTCTGTCTCTTGTTCTTCCACAGCATTTTTGTACCACTTCCGATACTCCTCGATCCAATCGTCGATGCGATCTCGGCGAACGATGCGGAGGTGTCCCAATCGATCATCTGTGAGGTTGAGGATCTTGGAATCTCCGTCATGTGTCCACATGAGGTTGTATGCCATGATGGTGATGAAACATTGATTGTATTCACGCATACCATTGATGATGAACTTTTTCAAGACTTCATTGAATTCATTTGTCTCATCGAATATGAGATTGATGGGTTCCACTTCCTCATCGCTCTTCTCACCCGGTAGTCGAACCCACAACCTGTTGTCAAAATCGTTGTTGAGACGAAAGTCCTTCTTGGTTCGTTTCTCTTTCACCCACTCCTTGTACATGTCTCCTTGCACGGTGTGATAGTACGTGAGTGCATATCCAAGTGACGAGTCGATCACATCACTCAATCGTCCCTGTGATACCTTGCGATCGAAGCGTTCGTATGCCTTATTGCGTCTCATTTCACGTCTCTTCTCCACGGTGTTCAGGTAACCGGGTAAGTGACGTTGTCGCTTCTCACCGAACTTGTGCCCATCCCACTCGTACTCGAGGTAGCGCTCGTTCCATGCCTTGCTTCCCACGACGAGATACTTGCGCTTTCCAGCAGGATCACACACTCGTTTGCGTGACGGACGTTTCGGAGGCTCAGGGAAACTATCACTGTCATCATAGTGTTTCTCAACTTCACGTTTACGCAACCCACGTTTTGAGGGTGCGAAAAAGGCGATATATTCATCGGGTATATTTAATCCAAACACCTTTCTCGAGAGATAGGCTCTCGTGTCAGGAATGGTCTGATCGGTGAACGTATCGCCGATCATGTAGTACTTGGCGGCCAATCGTTTCCAGGTCGGTCCACCGATTTTGATTTGTTTTCCAGTCTCAGGGTTGATAGTATATCCTACGCGTTGTGAACTCATTTATATAAGGGTCACAAAATCTTTAAGTGGTGATACACGTGTGACCAAAGTGAAATAGTTAGGAGCTTGGCTTCCTCCTTGAGCTACCGAAGGCATCCCTAGAATGGGAAAATGGCATGACCATCCGCATCGTACTCGAATTCATCGATGTCGTAGAACTCGGATTCCGATGAATCAGAATCACTAGAATTGGGGTCAGCGAATGCAATGCTAATGTCTGGATCATTATCGTATGCCTTAGCTTCTTCTTTGGTCATTTTCACCCATTGTCCTTTTACGCGTCTGTAGTTGTCATGGAGTAACTCGTAGTATGCTGTGCCACCAATAATCATGGAGCGATTGCTGGGAGAAAGTATTCTCGACTTGGGAACGTACTTCGTCGTACCTGGTGGTAATGGTGTATCGTACAAGCGATTCAATTTCTCGTCGTACTTGTATCCACGCTTGAGAAGGTTCCAGAAGCGAACTCCGTTGATTTGGATTTCTCGGCCAGTATTGGGATTCAAAGTGTGAGTAGGTCTATTCATTTATATATTTATATATTTATATTTTCTCTTTTAACCCTAGATGCTTCCCTAAATGAAGTACAAGAAAACAGAAAACAACACATGGTCTTCCCTGGTACGCACTTGTGAGGACGAGAATATCGAACTCGCCGATATCATCATTCACACCAAGTATCCGATCAATTCCGAGCGTCTATTCGGCTTCAGTGTTTGCACTCCGCAAGCAAATGTGAACTGTGGTTTAATATTGCACGACTATGATTGCATGGAGATGACGTTGGATGAAACTCGTCCACCCTTGTTTACCGAGGATGAATGGGAGTATCTATTGCCTCAATTGAAATCCAACGGTTTGCTCGGTGTGCCTCTGAATATTTTCGGACGGGAACAGCAAACCTATCCTTATGTCGTACCTGTGGTAACCGAGAATCGTGCTGTTTACTTCTTCTCCAACTACTATGTTCGCGTGGTGTACAAAGTGGTGGATGATAAAGTGCCTCCCGAGTTGTCCGATCTGTTCATCGATGATGGTGCGTGCTTGAAGGGTGTGTACGTTCGTGCATATCAAAGACAAAGTAAATAAAAAAGTAAATGTCGTACATTTTCAGCAGCAATGGAAACAACTACACGTTCAAGAAGCTCGACAACATGCTCATCAACATGCCAGAGAAGGACGGTCATCATGTGCTAATTCGAGAGACAGTGGATGGTGTTCCTCAATACTCGTGGGGTAGTACACCTTCCTACATCGTGAAAGCGAATGAAGCATTTGTCTTCGAGTACACACCAGAAACTACCGAATCATTCAATAGCGAGTGGGGTGGTGATGGTATGCCGCCTATGCCGTCCGGATCGTACCTGATAACCACGACTGTCATAACGTACCTTCCTGAAGACATGTTCAACGATTGCACATCAATTGAATCGGTGGTTGAAAAGGGTTATCGAGTGCTAGTCACGTTTGACAACACGCCTATCCTAGACAGACCGTACATCGATACATTGAATAGTCTTGTGTCTCATACTGGTTATGCTGTTGTGAATATTGGGGGAAGCAACGCTTCCCCCTACAACTCTCCTGTCCTTCGTACGTATTCGAATCTTCCTCTCATGCTTCTAGGTGGTGTGAAGAGCATCACGATCGTTTTCGAACATTTAGGCGACGTTGTTTCTGTGGCGGAACAAAGTTCCGCCGGGACGACTTCGTGGGAAGGCGAAGGCTTCCCGGGGCGACAAAGTCGCCCCACTTCGTCGTCCCATTTTGACTCCTCGTAATGGGTCGATGTGACCTTGCTGCATCTCGCAATGCATTGGGTTCCTTTCGACTCTTGGATCGCGTGACTGGTGGTGCTGGCTGTGGTTTGCATTTGCTTGCCAGGAGTTCCCAATGATAGCACTTCTGCTTGCTACCGCTTTCCATATTCTTCACTTCGTACATCAATGGCATGAATCGATCGTCAATGTCAACAACTTCATACAAGTCCTGAGACCATTTGCTGGTCAATGATCGCTTTTCCAGAACGCGAGGTCTTCGTGTCACTCGAACATAATCACCCACATCGAATTGAGGTGTTGTGTCCTTCGCTGTCATGTTGGATGGTTCTGTCTTCTCCGTGTACAAGATGTTGTTGTTCCAAATGTCAGTGGGTGCATATCCGGTGTCTCTGTTCTTCCTTGCATTGTGTCTACGAACGGCACCATCGATCAAGTCGAACCACACACCTTTCGATTGATTGAATGGAACCATGATGTCTTCCTTGATATCTCGAATTGCTCGTTCGGCTAGTACTGCTTTATTCGCTGAATCCATGTGATACATGGTGATGTCATACTTGCCCAAGATGTTGGTACGAAAGATGACATTGGTGAACTCGGTACCTCGATCAGAGCAAATATGCTTTGGTGGTCCGTATGTTTGAATGATATCCTTCATCGCATGCGTGACTTCTGTGGCACTCTTGCTCTTCAGTCGCCGAGCCATCAAGTACTTCGAATATCCATCAATGCATACAAGGACATACTTGTATCCACGATTCTTGTGGAATCCTGTGGACTTCTGTCTGCCCAACACTTCCTGAATCCATTTGTCTTGTTTGGAAGAGAAATCGATGAGATCGATGAAGTATATGTTTCTCTTGAAGCCACTGATGATCACTCGAGTTGCACCTTTTCGCTTGGCTGGTTTCCTTAGTTCCTTGATTTCATTCATAAATGAACCGCTTTATTCAATGGCTGAAAAGTGCATGGAAATGGATGAGTGGAAGAAAGAACCACAAGCTAGTGGTTGACTCGAAATGCAAGGACAGATGTCACTGCCTGTGCGTGTACAATGAGAAGAATGGATCCGATGACGACAGTGGGAGTGATATATCGATCAGTCCGACAGAGATTAAAGTGAAATGAGGGATGCCTAAATAGATTTAAATAATGTAAACATAAATAGAAATACAAATGAACTGTTGGATGAATGATGAACGTCTTGATATCACACGTAAATACGTGCATGATATGATTAATTCATTTGTTGAGGACCCAAAAGGTACAAATTATCATAATGAGTATAATCCTCCATATATGATGATAAAT